GATCTGTTTATCCCTTTAGTTCTGTGAGTAGCTGCTTTATATATTTCCCTGGTTGGGTGCATATATATTAAGAAGTGTTATGTTTTCTTTTTTTGTTAATCCTCACCTGAGGATATTTTTCCATTGCTTTTTCCAAAGAGAATGGAAGAGAAAGAGAGGGATGGAGAGAGAGAGAGAGAGAGAGAGAGAGAGAGAGAGAGAGAAACATCGATGTGACAGAGACATATTGATTGGTTGCCTCCTGCACATGCCCTGACTGAGGAAGGGAGCAAACCCACAACTCAGGTACATGCCCTTAAACCAGAATCAAACCTGTGACCCTTTGATGCACAGGCTGGTGCTCTAACCACCAAGAAACACCAGCCAGGGCAAGTGTTATGTTTTCTTGATGTAGTGTCCCCTTTATTATTATAAAATGTCCATCTTTGTCTCTTGTTATCTTTATTGTCTTAAAATCTATTCTGTCAGATATAAGTATGGTTACACCTGCTTTTCTGTGGTTGTTATTTGCTTGGAGAATCATTTTTCACCCTTTTACTTTGAATCTACCTCTGTCTTTGTAACTTAGATGTGTCTCCTGTAAGCAGCATATGGTTGGGTTTTGTTTTTTATCTCCTCTGCTATTCTGTGCCTCTTTTTTGGTAAATTTAGTCCATTTGCATTTAGGGTAATTATTGATGTCTGAGGATTTCCTATAGCTATTTTATCTTCTGTTTTCTGGTAGCTCTGTGCCTCTAGTGGTTCCTTTCCTTTGTGTTTCTGCCTGTTGTTATCGTTTGGGGGTATTTCATAGTTCTTTCCTCTGTTTCCTCTTTTTTTTAAGTTATGTGTCTTAGTTGGGGATTTTTGTGTGTGGTTACCATTAGGTTTATAAAATATAAAATATAAATTTACATACATACAGTAGTTGTTTTTTTTTTCTTTTGAGTGCATCTTCATCCTCTTTTGCCAGTTCAGACATTTAACCCCTCTCCTTTTATGTTTTATTGTCACAAATTGTCCCTGTGTATGCTGTAAGGTTTTTGATGATCTTACTCATCGTGTTGTGACCTTATAGTCTTTGTTCAGGTAGAATAACACCCTTGAGTCTTTCCTGCAGTGGAGGTTTTCTGGTGATAAAATCCTTCAGCTTCTGTATGTCTGGGAACTTCTTGATTTCTACTTCATATTTAAAGGATAATTTTGCTGAATATATGATTTGTGGCTGGTAATTTCTCGCTTTTAGACATTTGAATATTTGGTTCCACTCTCTTCTGGCTTGTAGCGTTTCTGCTGAGAAGTCAGATGATATTCTGATGAGTTTTCCTTTGTAGGTCACTTCCTTCTTTACCCTGGCTGCTTTGAGAATTTTTTTGTCATTAATTTTTGACAGTTTTAATATACTCTACCGTGGAGAGGGCCTCTTTGGATTGAGGTAACTAGGTTTCTGTTTGCTTCTTTCCATAGATTTTCCATAATTTTTCATCCACTGTTTGTGTTAATAGACTATCCATTCCATGTTCCCTCTCTTCCTCTTCTGCAATGCCTATAAATCTAATATTGCATTTTCTGATGGAGTCAGCTAGGTCTCATAGAGCTCTTTCATTTTTCTTTATGTTCAGGTCTCTCTCTTCTTCCCTCTGCATCATTTCTTTATTCCTATCTTCAATATCACTAATTCTTCCTTCCATCTGTTTTCTACACTCAGCAGTTCACTCTTTTTAAAATATATGTATTTTATTGATATTTTTTACAGAGATGAAGGGAGAGGGATAGAGAGTTAGAAACATCGATGAGAGAGAAACATCGATCAGCTGCCTCCTGCACACGTCCTACTGGGGATGTGCCCACAACCAAGGTACATGCCCTTGACCGGAATTGAACCTGGGACTTTTCAGTCCGCAGGCCAATGCTCTATCCACTGAAATGATGCAGAGGGAAGAAGAGAGAGATCTTATCAAACCAATTAGGGCCAGTAGTTCACTTTTAATCCCCTTAATTGCATGCTGCATTTCCAGAATTTCTGATTGGTTCTTTTTTAAAGTTTCCATCTTTTTGGTAAAATACTTTTTTTGTTCATTGATTTTTTTTTCTGAGTGTACTGAATTGCCTGCCAGTATTTTCTCACATCTCATTGAGTATTTTCAGAACTGCAATCTTGAAATCTCTGTCATTTATAGCACATATTTCCAAATGTTCCAGCTTGCTTTCTAGGTACAGTGGGGCCTTGACTTATGAGTGTCCCAACTAACGAGTTTTTTGAGATACCAGCTGTCTCTGGGCCGATTTTTTTGCATTGAGTTGATAGAGTAATTTGAGTTAACGAGCTGCTTAACGACCTCGGTCTCAGAATGAATTAAACTCGGAAATCAAGGCCCCACTGTACTTTTCATTTTCTTTCTGAGCTTCCTTATTACTGTGGTTATTCATGGTATTTGCTGGCCTCCTTTATCTAGGCATGTATGTATATATGTATGTATGTATTATTGGCCCTTCTCTAGCAGCTTTCTTTGAAATGTTTTTCTACTATTTTCCAGTATACAGTGCTGAATCACAAGATATTTACCTCTGTGATCTCCCAGACTTAACCTCCAAGGCTTCCATAAAACAGTACAGCTGCACTGCTTGGGGGTGGGGTTTGTTTTGCCCTCACCATAATGGCAACCCTGGACCTCTGTGGGTAAATTCACCATCATAGACCACACCTGTCGCCTCTACAAGGGTCTTTAGTAACAGATCAACCCATACAGAGCGAGTTTTCCAGACGTGCTTGGGGGCTGTGGTGAATCATTTGTTCTGATTTTCAGGTTGGATTGATGACTAATGTTAATGAAACACCTGAAGTTGATTACAGTTTAAGAGATACGTAGAAATTTCACATTTTGGAGAGAATCACCTCTCAAGAATGTCCTAATTATATCTTCAGCTGTCGACAAAGAAAAAAACAAATAACATTTTATGTTTCCCATGCACCCCACCAGCAACATATAATACCTGGTATATTCCAGACATTTCTGGTGTGAGTTCATTAGAGCACAAAGTGTCAACAGTGGAATCAGATAAAAGCTGCACGGGTTGACGTTGTTCCATTACAGCACTAAAGTAAGAGAGCAACTGTCAAGGCTCTCTCCCCTCTCCACAGCACCATCAGCTTCCCTTGTGTGTATGGCTTGAGTTTGCTTTCACCCTGGTTTGTTATGTCCTAATTTTTTTAAGAAAGATTTTTTTACTTAATTTTATTGAATTAAAATTTGAAAATTAAAAATGATTTATGCCAATTGTTCTTAGTTTTTGTTTGTTTGTTTGTTTATGTTAATCTTCACTCAAGAATATTTTATCCATTGATTTTTAGAGAGAGTGGAAGGGAGTGGGGAGAGAGAAACATAGATGTGAGAGAGACACATTTATATGAGAGAGACAGATTTATTGCCTCTGGCATGTACCCCAAACAGGGCTGAGGATCAAACCTGCAACCAAGGTATGTGCCCTTGACTGGGAATCAAACCTGCAACCCTTTAAGTTTGGGGGCCGACACAAAGTGCTGAGCCATACCCTCCAGGGTGGTTCTTAGTTTTTTGATTAACAAACCCAAGGCATATGAGACTTTTGTTCTAATTCCTTAAAAACTTATATATGCACAATTTGTTTACATACCATCATTTCAGGGATTTCACAGATGACTGAAGTCTATACTAAAGGACCTTCAATTTTAAGTTCAGAGCTAAGGCCTAGAAGAGAACATAGACATGTGAAACAGTTGATTTTCACCAGAGTATTCCTATCTAATCTTTGTTAGTATACATAATTTTTGTATAGTTTTAACATAGAAACAATTAGGATTTTGTTTTGTACTTAACCTTTATCTTATTGTTTGAAGCTACCAAAACTACCACAAATTCTTCATACATTTTATTTTACTAAATTCCTAAATATCTCTATATATATAAAAGCCTAAGTGACCAAACAACCGGTAGACCGGTCAACCAGTTGTTATGATGCGAACTAACCATCAGGGGGCAGATGCTCAACACAGGAGCTGCCTCCTAGGGGTCAGTGTGCTCCCACAACCAACCTCCTGCAGCCTGCCAACCTCCCTTGGTCCCTCGCCCCCCTGGAAGACCAGCCCCCCCCCCAATAGGTCCTGATCGCCCGCCAGGCTAAGGGACCCCACCTGTGCACAAATTCATGCACCAGTCCTCTAGTATTTTAATAACTTGCTATATCATAATATATTTACACTTGTTCTACTATTGAATATTTAAGTTTCATTCAGCATTTCAATGCTAGAGCTAAAATACAGGAAATATATTTGTGCCTATAGGCAAGTTCTTAGTTTAAGAAGTGTTGGAGAATTGGCCCTTTCTAGTCTCATTACTTTGTTTCCTTCACCTATATCTCTACTCCTTTTTTATGCCATTCTTGCTTTTCTTTACTTGATCTATCTTCTATAATATATAAGGTTAAAGGATGCTCTTGATTACAGTTGAAAGAGGGATATCTTGAAAAAGCAATTTCTCAATAATTATTTTGTTATGTGATAAATTGACATATTTTTTAGCTTAATCTGGGTCTTGATTCTAGTCTTATCTAATTCATATTTTCTTGCTTTGATCTTTCTCATAAGTCTGTCATTACTGGATAGTGAAAACCTTTTTTACACTACTATTATTAAATACTCTATAAAGAATTAATTATAAATAAAAACTTATTTCCAGGTAGCTTTCATTTAGAGCTATTATGTAAAAGTCTGTATTTGATTATTTTTAAATCATGTAACTGAAATTATGAACTATATCACCAAGGTTGTGAAACCAACTGTTGTTAAAAAAAAAAAAGCAGCCCCTGTCCTTTTCTTGAGTAATTCATTCAATCAATCTAAAAGTAGTTTGTCAGAATTTTTTAAAAAAATTAATGATATTCGTTTTCCAGAAATGTTTTATCTCTTTTAAACAAAGATAATGTAATTGCTTAATTTTGCATTGAATACTTTATTCTCTTGCCCCAATTTTTATTGGTCACAGAGTTGTAAATTATGATAACATCAACAAAAAGGACTACTATACAATTAGTGACAAAGCAGTGACACGCATTCATAATGACGAGGACATTGAATATATCGAAATTAATCGATGGGTACAGGAATACCTATATCACAGAGAACTCATTAAGATTCCCATATTTTCACTTTTCCGGAAATGGAAAGCTTTTCATGTATGGAAGAAGAATGTGCGCTCCAAGAAGATCAATGGATGTCGAGAAGCTCTACAAGAGAATTTGTTCATTGTTAATTATGTATGTATTTGTTAATCATATTTTAAAAGAATTACAGAAAAATCAGTGTATCTATTACAGGTGTTGATATAGACTGTCCCTGCACTAGACTATTTCATCTAATATTCTATTTCATGTTAAATGATGACAATTTTCATCTTGTCACATTGAAGAGTCTGGCAGTCTAGTGGTGTTTCTACATTTGACTAGAGTTGTAAGCAAAAGTTGTATTGTTGATCAGGAAATTTGTGTATCCTTTTGGACAGAGTACTAGGCTGGGAACCCCTATTACCTTCTCTCATCTCTGAGGTACTCTTGACTTTATGGTCCAAAATGATTTGGAGGCTTGTTTTCATGGGCCAGTACCTCCCAATGTGTCATATGTTTTCTTCTACCATGGATTCAGACAGGAGGGAAATTTTTAATATTTACTTTGGAGGATAGGGTAGGTAATCATGAAAAAAGTTAGCCTGAAAGATTGTTATCAAGATGTCAGTGATAGGGGCAGGGGCGGGCTGGAGGGGGTCAATGGGGGGAAAGGGAGACATATGTAATACTTTTAACAATAAAGAAGCACTTTAAAAAAGATGTCAGTGATACAGTAAAGAAACATTGAAGTGATATGAATAACACAGATATTAGTGCAGAATAAGTGCATATGATATACCATCGCAGGTCATCCATTCCATCAAGCGTTTTGAATTGTGGAAACTATTCTGACACTTTTGATAGCAATGACACCCCCTAGACCTCTAATTTCAGGAAGGGTCCATCAGGCATTGGAACCCGTTTCACTACCTTTTTACCACCTTTCATTGTTTACCATGTTTTGGGCACTATTCATATATTTGTTACTAGGTAAATAATGTGAAGTATTTCTTCCTGCATTTGTCTCTAAAACTAACCTATTAATCCTTAAAGTTTGTTCTCTTATTTTATGTCATTCTCTCTGTCCACCATTCATACCAATAATGTTTTGGCCTGGATAATAGCTTCTCTTAAATGTAGCCCTAACAGGCTAGAAAGATCTCATCCTTTTAAAAAAATATATATATTTTATTGATTTTTTACAGAGAGGAAGGGAGAGGGATAGAGAGTTAGAAACATCGATCAGAGAGAAACATCGATCGTCTGCCTCCTGCACACCCCCGACTGGGGATGTGCCCGCAACCAAGGTACATGCCCTTGACTGGAATCGAACCTGGGACCCTTCAGTCCGCAGACCGACGCTCTATCCACTGAGCCAGACCAGCTAGGGCAGGTCTCATCCTTTTAATCTTAGATTGACCTAAATGACAGACCCATTGTGTTGGCTTAGGTATATGTTAGATGTTATAATTACCCAAGACAGTTACCACTAGTCTTATATTTGCAATTAGTTCATTGGAGGGGGTGGGGCTGATTCCCTCAAACTAGGTTGAAGGGAAATGTGGTCCTTCAAATTTTTATAATTTTGTCAACAACCAATGTTATTGTCACTTGTGCCTTCATTTTTTATAATGACTTTATTGAAATATAATTCATGTACTATACAGTTCACCTGCTTTAGATACACAATTTAATGATTTTAGTATTTTCACAAAATTGATCAACTGTGACCACAATAAATTTATAACCTTTCTATTACTACAAAAAGAAACCCAGTACACATTATTGATCACTCTCCATTTCTCCTTAACTCCCCTACTACCCCCACCCCAGCTCTAGGCAGCCACTAAACTACTTTTGTCTCTATTGATTTGCCTACTCTGTACATTTCATAAAAATGGAACCATACACTATGTGGTTCTTTGTGACTGGCTTTTTTCAGTTATGATAATGTTTTCAAGATTCATCTATGTTGTAGCATAGCATTTATTTCTATTGGCTAATAATATTCCATTGTAAGGAAGCACATGTTTTATTTATCTATCCATCCAGAAAGTGCTTATACTTTCTGGCTATTATGAATAATGCTGCTATGAACATTTGTATACAAGTTTTTGTCTGGACATATTCCTAGGAGTGGAATGTTTAACCTTTTGAGGAACTACAAAACAGTTTTCCAAACTCACTGCACAATTTTAAATTCCCACCAACAGCATCTAAGAACTTTGGTTTCTTCATATTATCATTATATTTGTCTTTTTCATTATAGTCATTCCTACTGGTGGAAAAATGGTATCTCATTATGATTTTGACTTACATTTTCCTGACAGGTATTGCTAGTGAACATCTTTTCATGTGCCTGTGGGCCATTTGTTTATATTATTTGGAGAATTATTTATTCAGGTAGTTTGTCCATTTTTAAATTGGGTTACTTGTATATTACTATTGAGTTATCAGAATTCTTTATATATTCTGAATACAAATTCCTAACCAGATGTATGATTTGAAAATTTTTTCTCCCATTTTGTGGGTTGCCATTCCACTTTCTTGATAATATCATTTAAAGCACAAATTGAATTTGAATTTTGATGATATCCATTTTATCCATTTTTTATTTTGCTGCTTGTGCTTTTGGTGTTATAGCTAAAAAATTTGCCTAGTCCCTGGTCTAGATTTACCCCTAAGTTTCTTCTTCTAATTGTTGTATAAGTTTAGCTCTTACACTTAGGTCTTTAATTCATCTTGTGTTAATTTTTGCTCATGGTGTAAGGTAGGGGTCCAGCTTCATTCCTTTGCATGTGTCTGTCCAGTTGTTCCAGCACTATTTGTTTACAAGACTATTCTCTCCCCCATTGAATTGTCTTGGCACCCTTGCCCAAAATCAACTGACAATAAATGTGAGGGGTTTTGAACTCTCAATTCTATCCTGTTTATTTATTCTTGTGCCAGTAACACACTGTATTGAATACTGCAGCTTTGTAGTAAATTTTGAAATTAGGAAGTGTGATTCTCCTAGGCCCCTTGAATTTCCACATGAATTTTAACATCAGCTTGTCAATTTCTACAAAGCAGCCAGTTGTGATTTTTTTTATAGGGATTGCTCTAAAGCTGTAGATGAATTTTGTAAGTATTGTCATTTTAACAATATTATCTTTTATGGTCCATGAACATGTAATACCTTCCCATTTATTTAAATCTTCTTGAATTACTTTCAACAATGTTTTGCAGTTTTTCATTTCTTTGTTAACTTATTCCTAAACTTATTCCTAAATATTTTATTCTTTTTGATACTATTACATGTAGAATTGTTTTCTTAATTTTCATTTTAGATTTTTCATATATATACAGTGTATATATACAATACATAAATAGTATGTGTATATATATATATATATATATATATATATATATATAGTTTGTGTATTAGAATGTAGAAATATATTTTATTTTTATATATTAAGCCTGTTTCCTAAAAACTTGCAGAATTTAGATTGACCCTAAAAATTTGGTTGGTGTGTGTGTGTGTGTGTGTGTGTGTGTGTTTCTTATTCAATGAATAAGACTATGTCATCAGCAAATAGATAGTTTTACTCCTCCTCCCCAATATGGATGACTTTTATTTAATTTTCTTGCCTAAGTTCCTGGCTAGAACATTCTGTTGAATAGAAGTGGCAAGAGCAGAAATACTTGTCTTGCTTCTGACCTTAGAGCAGTGGTTCTCAACCTTCCTAATGCCGCGATCCTTTAATACAGTTCCTCATGTTGTGGTGATCCCCAATTTCATTGTTACAAATTGAACATAATTAAAGCATAGTGATTAATCACAAAAACAATATGTAATTATATATGTGTTTTCCGATGGTCTTAGGCGACCCCTATGAAAGGGTCATTCGACTCCCAAAGGGGTCGCGACCCACAGGTTGAGAACCGCTGCCTTAGAGGAAAAGCTTTCAGTCTTTCACCATTAAGTATGATAATAAAGCAGTTGCTTTCTATTTCTAGTTGTTTGTTGAATGTTCATATCATGAAGCCATTATGATGCTGCCAAATGCTTTTCATGCATCTATTGAGATTATCGTGTAATAGGCATGATTTATTATAATAATTGATCATCAGATATTAAACCAACTTTGAATCCCTGGTATAAATAATATTTAGTCATTATGCATAATGCTTTTTATATATTGCTAGATTTGGTTTGCTAGTATTTTTTTAATCTTCATTCGAGGATATGTTTTTATTGATTTTTAGAGGGAGGGAGGAAGGTAGAGGGGGGAAAGGAAGAGAGAGAAACATTTCTGTGAGAGAGAAATATCCATTGGTTGCCTCCCATTCATGCCCCAATCAGGGACCAAACCTGCATCCCAGGTATGTGCCTGATGGGGAATCAAACCCGAAACCTTTTGGTGCATGGGACAACACTCCAAACAACTGAGCCACCTGGCCAGGGCTGATTTTGCTAATATTTTGTTGAAGATATTTGTGTATTTGTGTGTGTGTGTGTGTGTGTGTGTGTGTGTGTGTGTGTGTATATATATATATATATATATATATATATATATATTCATAAGGAAGATTGGTCTGCAGTTTTATTCTTTTCTTGGGATATGTTTGTCTGTCTAGTTTTGGTTTTAGGGTAATACTGGCTTTATAGAATGAGTTGGGAAATGAACCCTCTTCTACTTTTTGAAAGAGTTTATGAAGAATTAGTATTTTTTTTTAAATGTTTGGTAGAATTCACCAATGAAGCCATCTTGGGACTAAGCTTCCTTTTTGCAAGTATCTTCTCGTCTCTTACATTTCCAGTTTTCACTTTTCTCTAGACTTAGGTGTGTATTTAGTATTAATTTTTCGTTATTGTTTAACGGTGCACATCATTTCAACCTGCTAGGTACTTGATGATTTTGCTGGTTTTTTAATAATGTGTTATTTTGTTGTATGTGATACTTTCAGGTAGTTTCTGTTATTTTATTTTTATATTCACTCAAACATTCTCATTTATTTTAATTTGAATGTCCCTTTGTAATGAAAATCTTTTTAATTTTTAGTCAGTCATTGCTTTGCAGACAAATCAATCTTAATTTCATAGATTTACATAATTATTTCTCCACTTATGAAGGGATGCCTCTTGTCCCTTTTGCTGTAGCATTTTCAACACTGGGTCAGAAAGTGTATGAGAGTACTTGAGCCCAGAGTCTCTGGCTGGACCAAGACGTACAATTCTAGTGGGTTCTTTAAGTACCAAATTATATAGACCACCCAGATGTTCTGATGACTCAGGTTAGGGAAAATTAAAGGTTTGGTGCTATGATGAATATAAGGCTAGCAAATCCCAAGAGTTCTTGCATTCCAACTAAAGACAAGGTGTCTCAGCATGACCCTGATTTTCATAAACTTTTTATAGCAAATGCAGCTCTTCTGCACATTATCTTCTAAAGTCTAATGTTTCCCCACAGGCTTTCTGGCCCAGTCACCAGCCTCCAGATGAATAATACTGATTTCCCATCTCTGAAATACTGACACTCATTTCAGTGCAACTGGCAAAAACTCTATTTAAATGAACTTTGACAACAACAATAGCAAACAAAAGCTCATATAATAAGGAAGCTCAAGGGGGTGAATACCTTTATGCATGGCTGATTCAGAAATTCAAATGATATCTCCTCATCTTTATTTTTTTCCTCTTTCCATCTTTCATTTCTGTATTTGTCTGTGTCTGTTTCATTCTCAGTTGGGCTCCTAGAATGAGCATCACCTCCAGCTGTAGGTGCAGTTGGAAAGAGCACTGATTGGCTCAGCTTGGCCACACACCCAATCCTGAACCAATCACTGCACAGCTAGTAGTAGTCTGATAAGCCAGGCTTGGATATGTGCCTGGTCCTCATTCCCGTGATGAAGGAAGTGAGAGCCCACCTTATCAAAACCACATGGTAGTGAGTTTCCCAAGGAAAGAGGGATTCTATCACCAGAATAATTGTAGGTAGGTCAGGGGAAGTGTCCTGGGCAGCAAAAATTAGGGTTACCTCAGTCCTTTACATATTGAAACCCACCATCACGATGACAAATTCTTCCTCCTCTACAATTCTGCTAATAATTTAAAATAATGCTTAATCCTTATCACCTTCATTGGGCACTATTGATATAACAGCTGAAGAATGAACCACCTAATCCAGATTCATCTGGAATTTATTACCAACAGAAACAACAAAGGGGTGAGAGGGGGGTGGGGGACACTTCCAATCTCTCTTATATTCAAGGCAGCTTTCACAATTGTTCTTTATGCTGACGGCCAGCTATTTCGGTTAAGCTAACGTAGTTTCTTGTATATTCTTTTTCTTCCAAAAAATTCCCCATTGTCAAAACTCACTTTTTGGCAGACCATCAATGTCAGCTCTGCTCTCCACCTGGATCCTTACTTTTTTTCCCTTATAATTTTGCTTTGAGGACTTCCTCTGGAGTCCTCTGGACTTCCTTGCTTTCACTGCCCCATTCTGATTACATTGTCGTCCCTACTCCTATACCAGTGATGGTGAACCTTTTGAGCTTGGCGTGTCAGCATTTTGAAAAACCCTAACTTAACTCTGGTGCCATGTCACATATAGAAATTTTTTGATATTTGCAACCATAGTAAAACAAAGACTTATATTTTTGGTATTTATTTTATATATTTAAATGCCACTTAACAAAGAAAAATCAACCAAAAAAATGAGTTCACGTGTCACCTCTGACACGCGTGTCATAGGTTCGCCATCACTGTCCTATACCAATTTCGTTTAATTAGAATCTTATTTCAATTCATAGACTTAGACTCTAAACTTTTGCTTTTTTATTATGCCAATTCCCCCATCAGATGAGCTCTAAGGGCTATATGACTTCCAAATGGTTTCCCACAAAGCTCTCTTCATTTAAGACTTTACTAATTATAACGCCCCTTTATTGCACTTAGAAGAGATAAAGCACTAAATGTTGGTCTGCATAACTGTTGTTTGTCCTGTTTTGAAAGCTCCTAAAAAGTATATAACACATAAACCCGTGTCCCATGCAAATACATTAATGTTAACTTTATTTCTATCATGTAATTGCTCCTCCTTTGATTAGATTAGGGGAAGTCAGAGGGGATGTCCTTGGAACATTCTTAGAAGATGTGCCTTTGAAGCCAACAGCCTAGAACTCTGATTTATGACGTTGGCATAGAGAACGAATAAGTTGAGATCATGTGGCTGAATTTCACAAATGCTTTCCTTCTCCCAGCTCACATTGCAAGACAGGTTTTTAATAGTGACTGAACTTTCTTTGTAGCACCTTTTTACCCACTGAAAACTTAAAGTTAAATTTGTCCTTGTTCTCTGTCACAAACTCTTAGATCAGTAGACAGGCCCCTCCGTTATCATGGTGACCAGACATTGTAAAATCTTCAAGGTAACGCAAAGAATCTTTTAGCCGCCATTGGCCAAACCAGGTGAAATGTAAGATTTACAGACCTTCCCTGGCCGTTGTGGCTTCGCTGGGTGTTGTCCTCTACACCAAGGGTTGCTGGTTTGATTCCCGGGTTGAGGCACATACCCAGGTTGAAGTCTCATCCCTGGTGGGGGACATGTGGGAGGCAGCCGATCAGGGTTTGGCTTTCCCATGGATGTTTTTCTCTTTCTCCCTTCCTCTCACTCTAAAAATCAACAAACTAAAAAAAAAGAAAAAGAAAAGAAAAAAAGATTTACAGAATCCTCTGTAACTTGCCCTCACTTTCATAGCTAAAAAGACATGTATTCTAAATTTAAGGAAGGGAATTCAGACCAATTACATTTGGTAATTCAAAGAATACTTTTAGAACAAAATTTCAGAAGTGTTCCCTTTAACATATGCAAGAATAGCTAAAATTAACGTATAGAGTTATTTTCCTTAACAGCCACTCTTGCTTTCTAAATATCTTTATACTTTAAAAATGCTTTTTAAAACAAAATAATGATATATTTTTATTTTCATTCAGTTTTTGCGACCAGCTCTTCTTAAAATAAATGACATGTGTTATCAATTGAGTTTTATGGGGCTTTGTTATATTGAAAGAGGTCACACCTACACCCTGCAAGAATTTCAGTTTACACAAGTCTCACACCTGAAAGAGGTAAAGACTTTTGTCTATAAGTTTCAAGATCTTTTTTCTATTATTGCTACTTTGGTACCACTAATTATACATATCATTAATGTTTAGGTGACGGATAACCTGGAATATTTTCGAAATGAGGCCAAAGAAGTGGTCAGGAATGCTTGTCGTACTGCTCTGCGCGCTATAGGATTCACTCCTGATGACTGTGATGAGGAAGGTAGGGAGGGGAAAGAGCTTTAACAGATCAGAAGTGGTGGCTTTCTGAAATAGTAACTCTTGCCCATCCTGTGTTACTCAGTGTTTGAGCATCAACCCATGAACCGGGAGGTCACGGTTCAATTCCCAGTCAGGGCACATGCCCAGGTTTCGGGCTCCATTCCCAGTAGAGGGTGTGCAGGAGGCAGCCAATCAATGATTCTCTATCAATATTGATGTTTCTCTCTTTCCCTCTCTCAAAAATCATTAAAAACATATTTTAAAAATAGTAACTCTTGCCCTAGCCAGTTTGGCTCAGTGGATAGAACATCGGCCTGTGGACCAAAGGGTCCCGGGTTCGATTCCGGTCAAGGGCATTTACCTCAGTTGCAGGCTCCTCCCGGGCCTGGGCCCTGGTCAGGGTGCGTGCAGTAGGCAACCAATTGATGTGTTTCTCTCATATCGATATTTTGCTCTCTTTCCTTCTCTCTTCCACTCTCTCTAAAAATCAATGGAAAAATATCCTCAGGTGAGGATTTAAAAATAAATAAATAATAAAACAGTAACTCTTTTTTACTACTTTTCTTAAGTTTAAATAATGATTTATTTTCAGTTCCTCCAAACTTGCAAGATAGATTATGAATTAAATATATGTTGTGGGGGGCGGGGCGGGGGGGACCAGTAAATAGTGCATTTTCCTTGCATGACCCCTGCTTGTATATATATAGTATTTCTAAACTGGTTACAGAACCTTTATTTCACAAGCATTTTATGGTGGACTCTGTGCTTAAAGATATGTCTAACCTACTAGTACAGACAGTAGGTTTGTTAAAATTAAGGGATTGGCTGGATCTCAGGGTTGCCCTCTAGAGGATAATTAAAATGCAGTTGGGGAAAAAGGGTGAAAGTATCACTGGAAAAGAGATAACATAGTACACAGGTCAAATCTTGTTAAAGAGAATGTGAATAAACTGTCTACAGTCTTTTCTTGGGTTGAAATCCTTTTATGTGAAATTCTTTTGGATAACTGGTCTGTTTTCTGATCTCACGAACCAAAGCATTTGTGTGTGTGTGTGTGTGTGTGTATGTGTGTTTTTCAATTTTGCTTGTCTTTTAATCTGTATTGAGGGGGGAAAAATGGAACTTTTACATAAGAATTCTTGTTGTTGTGTCTTCTGCTGTTCTTAGATGATAAGAGATTTTCAGTGACTGGTGGTCTCATTGAGTTGCCTACTTATGTAAACTCTGAGAACATGAAATACACGCAGCAGGCCAGGAAAAGGCGTTATTGCAGGAGGCTGACTTGGTAAGTGACTATTCTTTCTTTTAAGAAAAATTAGGGCATCTGTCATTCTCAATTTTATTCAAAGTTAAAGCCTTTATCCCAGGATTCACTAATAGTGATGAGTTATTTAGAGGATATGGTAACCTGAAGGCAGTCCCAGAAGCCTGCCCCTCCACCTGCCCCCTAGCAAAGCAGCCGCTGGGAGTGGCAAGCTGGTAGAGAGTGGGGGGCATGTCCAAGGCTGAGGGCTCCTCTTTGATCTCTAAGGCTTTGTTTCCCCCTAACCCAGCCTGGGGTATGGTGCTGGCTATGGTAAGAAGCCAGGCACACAAGAGATTTGAACATAGCTATATTGCCACATAAAGTTCCACACTTTCCCGAAAAAAGGTTTTGCAACTGGGAGACAAGCCATCCAGGGTCTCACCAGGGCACTCGCCCTTATTATGTTTTAGCTCTGCCATTGCTTACCAACTGGATCTTAACATTGTTCCAGAGTTTGGATTTCACGCCTTTCTAAAACTTCATTACTACAAATAACTCTTGCAAACAATCACCAAGCATTATCTGATACTATAGGCCAGGGGTGGGCAAACTTTTTGACTCGAGGGCCACAATGGGTTCTTAAACTGGACTGGAGGGCTGGAACAAAAGCATGGATGGAGTGTTTGTGTGAACTAATATAAATTCAACGTAAACATCATTACATAAAAGGGTATGGTCTTTTTTTTTTTTTTAGTTTTATTCATTTCAAACGGGCCGGATCCTGCCCTCGGGCCGTAGTTTGCCCACGGCTGCTATAGACTGATTATTGTTACTCAGTGCTCACTAATTTAGTCCAACTTTTACAACCACCCTATATAATAAAAGCCTAATATGCTAAGTGTCCAGTTATCCAGTCGGCCATTCAACCAATCAAAGTGTAATATGCTAATGATATGCTAAGGCCGCTCAACTGCTTGCTATGATGTGCACTGACCACCAGGGGGCAGACAGTCGACTGGTCGACCAGTTGCTATGATGTGCACTGACCACTAGGGGGCAGATGCTCCAACCAGTAGGTTAGCTTGCTGCTGGGGTCCGGCCCATCGGGACTAAATGAGAGGAGCTGGACATGCCCTGGAGCCCTCCCACGGTCCCTCCCTGGCCCTGATTGTGTACCAGTGGGGTCCCTTGGCCTGGCCTGTGCCCTTTCGCAATCTGGGACCCCTTGGGGGATGTTGGAGAGCCACTTTCAGCCCAACAGCGGAACGACCAGTCACTAGGATGCTCACTGACCACCAGGGGGCAGACAATGCAGGAGTTGCCCCCTGGTGCTCAGTGCTCTCCCACAGGAGGAGTGCTGCTCAGCCAGAAGCCTTCAGCACTAAGGATGTCCGACTGATGGACATCCTCCGAGAGCTCCCGAACTGTGAGAGGGTGCAGGCTGGACTGAGGGACACCTTCCCCCCACCTGCGAGTGCATGAATTTCATGCACCGGGTCTCTAGTCTATTTAATAAATATTAATGGTGCATCAGTTATATGTGAGATAATATGATAATGTTGTCTGTGTCACTGAAGTCAGTGAAGCAGTCCCTGAGGCCATCATCACAGGCCTCCAGGCACTAGAGGCCCCTTGGGCTCCAATTAAGCAGAATAAAAAGTTACTCTAAATGCCTTGCTGACTCAGCCTACATTCTAAGCACTCAAGTAAGGAAACAAAATTTGCATCTTTGGGTTAGCAATTGCCATTAAGCAACATTTATCCAATAGTGAAGATTTCACACTTTACCTTTAGAATGTAAGTTACAGATGTTGTATATTTACTGATTTCTTCTCTAAGGCATTAAAAAAAATCTTATGGCCCTTTTGGCTAGATGCGCTAGGTGCTTTTCCAATAACAACTGTATTGCTCATTAATATTCTATTGAATAGTTAGAACACCTAGCTAAATTGATGCAATACTTTTGAATATGATTGTGTTTTAAAATGAAGAATGTCCAAGAAAAACTCTTCTGAACAGCAAATCTCTGATATTGTAATAAAAAATGGGCACAGAGGAATTATATTTTAAAATTTAAATACTTTAGAGGCACTTTCAAAGATGTGTAGTGAATATAGAAAACTGAAGCTGTGTTTTTTTTCTTTTCAAGCTTTATTCGTCTAAATGATTACCTAATTGAGAACACAATGCACGTCTTAACAGTAAATTCTGTTAACAGTCTTTTGAATTATCTCACTGACAAACTAAAACGAACACCCTCAGCAGACATCATTCAGAAATGGATTACTGAGGAGAAACCTGAAGTCACTGATAAGAAGGTATATCCAGACAAAATTGAGAAAATCCATCGGTCAGCATTTATTGAGTGCTTACTATGTATTATGGATTATGCTATTTTCTGTGTCTTGGAAAAAAGGGAGAAATGCTGCGAGGATTGCTTAGTATAACCAGAGCCTACTATACACATATGAAATGGCAGAATGAAAATCAGCATATCAACAAATATCTTAACAGAGAAAGCACTCACTGTGCTGAGTGTTGCTCTTTCTCTGACAGGAATTTGCTAAAAGTTATTCATGTGTTCATTCAACAGAGATTCCTTAAATACCTACTGTGTACCAATCCCTGCTCTGGGTGTTGTGTATATGGTGATGAAAAGCATAGACAGGATTCTTGCTCCCAAGAAACTTACAGTTTGGGGGCCATTATAGGTATGAACTGGCAGAGAGAAGCAGCTGAGGTGGTATAAATGGAAGAAATGAGAAGAAGCACATCATGAAGCAAACCTTTGTGCTTTGAGTGGATACCTTCTTGGGAGGAAGTTGATCTTAGAGCCAGAGTAATCAAGATGTTTGAGATGAAATAGTACAAATTCTTTCGGTGTATTCTAGCATAGCTGAGAGAGAAATCATATTATCTCATACCACCTTTCCCAACTCCATCCTGCATAACAACTTTATGCCAGATACCTAATAACGTTGCAAAACATGCTTACCTAGTTTCATCAAGCTTCCTACCTCCAAGTCTCAACTTCCTCTCCAGGAAACTCAACTGTGCAGTTTCAAGGACTGATATTCTTTGCTGTAGTTTCCCTTTGTCTCCAAAAGTTGTATGTTCATTGCATACTCCTTTTCATTACTTCCTATTCTCAATTCCTCTTTTTTTCTAAATACTGTTACATCTTAAAAGTAATATTCATTTTTTTTGTAATTGTAAAAGTAATTTATGCCGTGAAGAAAATTTGAAAAACACAAAAAGTACAAGGAAGAGTATCCTTTGCTATCCAAAGATAACTATTTCCAAGGGGGAAAATAAGGTATCATACTTTACTCACTGCTTAATCACCTGTTTTTTCCACTTAGCAATGTTTTGTGAAAAATCTCCCAAGTTGATATATATTTTTCATATAATATTCTCATGTAGAAATATACTATATACTAGTATCTTGTAAATATTAGTAAAAAATCTTCTAGTATTGATCACTGTCTCACTACAAATAATGTTGCAAAGAACATCCTTGTCTATATGTGTTTCAGACACCTGATTTTTCCCCTTAGAAGAAAGTCCTAGCTGTGGAATTGTTGGATCAGAAATATGCTCACTTGTTAAGGCTTTGATACTAATGAATAACTCTCCAGAAAATTTTGTGCCAATTTACAAACTTCCTAGCAATATTTGAGAATGAGCGTTACCCATGTGCACACTAGATAGTATCATGCATTTTCATCTTTGTTAATCTGATGGATGTAAAGTAGTATATCACTGCTTTTAAATGTTATATTCCTTTAATTGCTACCCCAGTGCAGGGATAAGAGCATAGGAATGATGATCAGAAAGACCTGGGTCTGCCACTTACTAAGCAATGTGTCTTTCTCCAGATTCTGTTTTCTCAGGGGAGTAACAATGATACCTGCTACATATGATTGGTATGGGATTTACATGAATACTTAGCATTTCCTGACACACAGTAAATGCTCAATAAATGTTATTACTGAATAAATTATCTTCAGGAAGAGAAGTAGGAGGTTGATTGATCATTTGTACTAGTACATTACTATTTATGTATTAATTATATAATACTAGAGGCCCGGTGCACGAAATCTGTGCAAGGGGCTTGGCCCTCACAGCCTCGGCCGGCCCTTGCAGCTCCTCACAGCCTCAGAAGGTCATCCGGATGGTCATTCTATTGTTCGGTCAAATTAGCATATTAGCTCTTTATTATATAGGATTAAAATATATTTCTACTGAGTATATCAAGTAGATTTCTATTTAAATATTACTAACCTTCTATCTGCTATACACATTGTTCAGTTCCTTATTTACCTTTCCATCTTGTTGATAGTATTTTTTCAAGGAGTTTTACAGTGCTGTCTAGTTTTTCAATATCAGCCTTTATTTTTTCATTTCTGTGGTAATATTCTTTGAAAGACATGCCAACATTGTAAAATCGGCTAATTGTATAAGCTTAAGTTTGCATGCCTCTTGTAATAGACAAGTTGCCTGCCTTACACCTTGGTACTTGTATCTCTATAACACTGCGCATGTGTTCGTTTCAGGTGGCTGCTGGGTTGGAAAAGCTGGAAGAAGATGAGTCACTCATCCCCATGTTCCTCACAGAACTGATCTTGACAGTGGAGTCACTACTGTTTGAACCTTCTCTGGAAGACTTTCTGGTGTGTATTTATATAGATCACATCACCTAAAAGTTTAACACTTTTTCCTTAACTTGAGACAGATTAGAAGTTCGGTAGGGACACCATCAAGAGAACCTACAAGTTCTAAACAAAATTTAGAATTCATTATAGGCATCGCTCAAGAGGAGTTCAAGAAATCACTCTGTTGCAAGTACCATTTTTGAAATCGTGTAAAGCATGCTGCATCTGAGAAAATTTTGCTATTTCAGTTCTCAGTGGCTGTGAAATAAGTTACCACCAGTTTGGCAGCTTTTTTAAAAAGCAAGCATTTGCTATTGCACAGTTCCTGTGTTCATGGGTCTGGGCACTGCTTCGCTTCTACTCTGCCTCAGGACCTCCCCAGGCTGCCATTGGCTGGGATGAGGCCTCCTCAGAGGTTAGACAGGAAGCAGATCCACTTCCAAGCTCCCTCAGGTGGTTAGAAAAATTCATCTCTATGCAACTGTGGGACTGAGGTCCCTTTTTTCTTGAGGGACGTCAGCTGGGAACCACTTTAGGTCCTAGAAACCTCGAGTAGTTTCTTGCCCCGTGGCAAACGCTGTAAGCAGTTCACAATACGGGTCTTTGCTTCGTCCAGACTGGCTGGGGAATCTCCTTCAGGAAGGGCCCAATCACCCTTTTAAGGGTTTTCATTTGATTCCGTCAGATCTACCCAGCACGGTCACCTTCTGATTAACTCAAAGGCAACAGAATTGGGATCTTAATTACATCTGCAAAATCCCTTCAAATTTCCATACAATGTAACCTAATCAATGGAGTGGCAGCCCATCAGATGCACAGGTCCCTCCCATTCTCACGAGAGGAGCATTCAGGGCATGTACACCAGACGGAGGGAACCTTGGGAGCCACCTTGGACCTCTGCCTTCCACCTTTTGTACATGTGGAGATAGTAAACCAGTAAAAGTCTATATTTTCTGTCCTTAGCGGGTATACTGGGGCGCAGAAACACTAGTAATCAGGCTCTCTAGAGATTCTGATCCACACTCTGCAATTAGTAAGCTCTTTGCCCTTGAGAAACCATGTGCCTCTTCAGGGTTCAGTTTATGCATCTGTAAGATGAGGAGGCAGATGAGTTTTCAGGTTGCTTCCAACACCAGCAGACTGTGATTCTGTCATTTATCAGATGAGCCATTGCAGGATATTTACAGGGACAAGCAGACTGCTGAGGGCCCTGTGGTTGGGCTTTGCTCAAGAGTTCCCACACAGAGAGGCACTGGGCTCTCATGTCTCTCTGGCCAGAAGATTCGTGACCTTCACATGGAAGGCAAAGGCCCTTGGGCAGCAGATGGCACAAGAAAGGTCTCTCCAACAGCAGCTGGCTGCTCTCCGTTAGCCTCAAGTGACAGGCCTTGGAAAACCTTGACACTTTCCCTATTTATTTTTTATTTTTATTTTATTTATTTTTTCAATCTTTATTGTTGAGATGATTACAGAGGTCCCTCTTTCCCCGCCATAGCTCCCCTCCACCCAGTTCCCACCCCACCCAGGCCCTCGCCACCCTATTGTCTGTGTCCATAGGTACTGAATACATGCATATAAGATCTTTGTCTAATCTCTTCCCCCACCTCCCCACACCCCTTCCCTCTGAGAATTGTCAGTCTCTTCCATTTCCATGCCCCTGATTCTATTCCATTTACCAGTTTATTCTGTTCATCATATTTTTTATTCATTTGATTTTTAGATTCACTTGTTGATAGATATGTATTTGTTGTCACTTTGTTGTTCATAATTTTTTTATTTTTACTTTTTTCTTCTTCTTCCTCTTTTTAAAGAATACCCTTCAGCATTTCATATAATACTGGTTTGGTGGTGATGAACTCCTTTAGCTTTTTCTTGTCTGTGAAGCTCTTTATCTGACCTTCAATTCTAAATGATAGCTTTGCTGGGTAGAGTAATCTTGGTTGTAGGTTCTTGCTATTGATCACTTTGAATATTTCTTGCCACCCCTTCTGGCCTACATAGTTTCTGTTGAGAAATCAGCAGACAGTTGTATGGGTGCTTTCTTATAGGTAACTAACTGTTTTTCTCTTGCTGCTTTTAAGATTCTCTCTTTGTCTTTTGCCTTTGGCATTTTAATTATGATGTGTCTTGGTGTGGTCATCTTTGGATTCCTCTTGTTTGGGCTTCTCTGTGCTTCCTGGACTTGTAAGTCTATTTCTTTCACCAGGTAAGGGAAGTTTTCTGTCATTTCTTCAAATAGGTTTTCAATATCTTGCTCTCTCTCTTCTTCTGGCACCCCCATAATTCAGATGTTGGTACGCTTGAAGTTGTCCCAGAGGCTCCTTACACTATCCCCATATTTTTGTATTCTTTTTTCTTTTTGCTCTTCTGGTTGGGTGTTTTTTTGCTTCCTTGTATTTCAAATCATTGACTTGATTCTCAGAATCCTCTAGTCTACTGTTGAATCCCTGTATATTATTCTTAATTTCAGTCAGTGTATGCTTAATTTCTGACTGGTCCTTTTCCTTTTTTTCGCCATTCTCACTAAGATCCTTGAAGGTCTCACTAAGTTCCTTGGAGGTTTCTAGAAGATTCTTGAGTAACCTTATAACTGTGGTTTTGAGTTCTATATCCAATAGTTTGCTTTCTTCCATTTCTTTCATTTGTGACATGTTTCTTTGTCTCTGCATTTTGGCTGCTTCCCTGTGTTTGTTTCTATGTATTGGATAGCTTCTAAGTCTCCTTGAGTTGATAGAGTGGCCTTGTGTAATAAGTGTCCTATAAGACCCAGTGGCTCAGCCTCCCCAATCACCTGAAGTGGACACTCTTGGTGCACCTCTTTTTGGGCTGTGTGCACAGTTTTGTTGTAGTTGAGCCTTGATTGCTCTTGGTGTCACTGGGAAGAATTGACCTCCAGGCCAATTGGCTGTGGGGACCAGCTGCTACTACAGTGGTAGAGCTGCTGTGCAGGAGACACCCTTATGAGGCAGGACTTGCTTCAGTGGGGCTTTGCTGCTCACTGAGTCTTCCCCTTGAGTGTGTCACATATGGATGTGAAGAGTTGTAATCTGATATGGTCTCACACTGACCACTGGGTACACTGGCTCTTGGGTCTCTGGGAGGTGTAAAGTTAGCCACTGCCTGGGGCCATGCAGCAGGAGCTATAGAGAGATCTGCAGATTCCTCCTCTTTGTATCAGGTTTAGAAGTGCCCAGATGAGGCCCAGGTGTGAAGCACGGCAGGCTGGTACTGGTGCCAGCCTTGGGCCTTCTATTGATTGCTTTGGGGCTCCCTCACCCAGCTGCAGCTTGTTTGACAGGTTTTAGGCTGAGAAAGGACAGGCCATTCATATGCAAAAGCCGCTGTGTACAGCTTGGGTGGGGTTGTAAATTCGGTGGGGCAGGTTCTCAGGGAATCACTAGGGCGGAGCAAACAGAAATGGTTGCCAGTCAGCCCTACACCAGGGAGGTCCCAGCACAAGAACAATGACCTCTGTGAGCACTTCTGTCTGGAAGAAAGCTGCCCCCAAGTTCCTGCCCAAGTGCCAGATAGTCCAGTTTCTCCCCATATGTGTCTGGGTCCCTCAGAGCCTCGCCCGGCACTGGAGGTCAGAGCAAGTGGGAGCTTGTAAGTTCAGTTCGCGGTGCTGGCCTTTTAAGAGGAGCAGCTGGGTCACTCAGCCCCAATATGGTGCTGGACCAGCCCGTTCCACGCCTCTGCACCTCCTACCAGTCTCAATGCACTTTCTTCTTTACCTCTCTAATTGTAGTACTTCCACTCAGCCAGCTTTCCCACGGTTCTGGATGATAGTTGTTTTGTATTTTAGTTGTAATTTTGATGTGGTTGTGGGATGCAGCAAGAGTAGGCCTTTACCTATGCCACCATCTTGGTTCTTTCCTTTTTAATTTTATTTTTTTTTGAAATATGCTCTTTATTTCTCTTTGGCCCACATGGGTATTTTTAATTCCTACACCTAAAGTTGTAGGCCATGCTATGGACATAATCCCATGTTCACACCACACATAAGATTTTACTTTGTGTAACCCCAAACTAGCCAATAACCGTATAAACAGGACTATCACTCATGAATTTTCTAAATTATTTTATTATCATTTTGGTCATTAGTCTTAATGTGCATCCCCATCTAGTTTCCCAAACACAGGCAGAGCTTAGTCTAAAGGAAAATTATATACCTAAGTCTTCACATCTTACATTGTTCTTGCTTGAGTTATCTATGGCTTTCTATATTCATATATTTCTCAATTATTTTTCTTCCTGTTGTGTTTGACTATATATTGCTTCCACCTCTGTCTGGAAATAGACTTCACACTTTTCTATAATTTCTCTTGTGTTTTTTTTTCTTTCAGTCCTCTATCTTAGAGCCTTTTTTTTTTGTCTGACCTTTGATTGTTTCTGTCCTGAAAGGCTTCCTCTTCTTCACATGCTATATATTTTCTGTGTGGATGCCTATTGTTCTAACTACCACTTCTAGAATGGATATTTATGAATATATATATTTCCAGCCAGTACTTTTCTTCCAGACTGAGATCTGGAAATCTCCACGATTAACTCTAACTCACCAAAATAAATTGAACTTATAACTTCTTCCAAAACTTGCTCCTTCTTACATACCTCCATCTTAATGAAAGGCATTACCCAGATGCTCAAGACAGCAATGGGAAATCTTCCTAGTTTCCCTCTTACCTCTTTGAGATCAACTTACTGAATCCTGTGTGTTCATCATTACTTGAAGTCCCTCTCAGTGGGAACTTCATCATCTCTCACCTGGCCTGCGTTAATAGTCTGTTCTGATCTACCTGCCTCTCTTCCTTCTAATGCATTTTCTACATTGCTGACAGTAAGATTATTTTATAGGCACATTTAATCATGTCACTTAAAATTAAAATTTCTCCATGCCTATGATAGCATTTTTCAAAGGATGCTCTGTAAGGTGTTGATAGGCATCCTAGGAGAAAGGCGGTTGTGATATGCATCAGATTATTTAAAATCCTATTCCCCAGATCCAGAGGAGACTCCTGTTTAACCCAAGATTTCTTCCCAAATGTACTTGGCATGGGGACCTTTTTATCCATAGGCTTGTCCCTGGTCACAACCTGGGGAGTACTGGCCTAGAGGGGACCAACTGCATCATGTCCTGTTTCTCCAGTTAAATGACTTAAGGCACTCAACCCTACCAGCCCCTTCAGGCCTCTCACACACAATGACTTACAAGGATTGTCCTCCTGTCTTGTATACTTCACAAACCCCCAATTAATTATTTATTTTATTGATTAAATTTATTGGGGTGACATTGGTATCTGCTTATTTTTTAAGACTTATTTCAAGAAGTACCTTTTCTTTACCTCATTTTCTCTAGTTAGATTTTGTATTTATTATAAATAACATATATATGTATGCTAAGCAACTGGCCAACCAGCCAACTGGCTGGTAGCTATGACACGCACTGACCACCAGGGGGAAGATGCTCAATGCAGGAGCTGCTGAGTGATCGCAACTTTGCAGAGTGCCCTCTCGCACTACGGGACCCTTCAGGGGATGTCAGACTACCAGTTTCGGCCTGATCCCCATAGGCCAGGCCGAGAAACCCCACCTGCCAGAAGGACCCTGCTCACTTGCAGACACTAGGGAGGGACCGAGAGAGGTTGGCTCCAGGGCGTGTCTGGCCATCTCACCCAGTCCCACCCCACCAGCCACCTTCTCATTAATTTCTTTTCAATGTGCACAAATCTGTACACCAGGCCTCTAGTAAATTAATAAATGCTCATTGAAGTGAATTTGACAAACACAAAAATATTATTAAAATCATCTATAATTTCATGTGTCAGAAATAGGAATAACCCTTTAACATTTTTATATTTCCCCCACTTTTGTTTCACCGATATACCAACACACCTAACTTACCATGAGATTTTATAAATACATTTTTAAATGGAATATTACATATCCATTTTATCCTGCTCTCTCTCTCTTTTAAACTTAACACTTATCATAAGTTTTTCCCCATATCATTGATTAATCTTTGGAGACACCATGTTGAAGGGTTTTCTAATTTTCCATTGTATAAATTTATTACAGTCTAACTATACTCCTGTTTTTAAACACTTAGGTATTTCTTTAATAAGTTTTTATTGTAATAATACTGCAGTCAGTATCCTTGCACATGAATCTTTATTTACATATCTATTTTTTCTCTTAGGATAGATTTTTATAATGGAAATTACTACTCAAAAGAATATAAACTTTTAACCCACACTTTAAATTTTCTCTGATTCTCTTTGGCATACTCTGACCTGCCTTCCCTATGATTTTTCTGTGTTTTGTTCATATTTCAAATATAGAATTCATCATATGTGTTATAAATTTTATCCACTTCTCTTTCAATTAGAAAATATATTTTCTGAAGGCAGTGGCTGTGTCTTCTGATTTCTCATATACTTAGAATCAACATAGTATCTGCCATGGTTTAATTAGCTATTCTTACTTATTTTAGCATTTCAGAAAATTCAAAATAATTCATAAATATAACCATGTATGTGTTTACATTTATGTTTCTTCTTTTCTCTCTAACAGTATGGTATTTCAGGTGCAATTAATCAGTTTCAGAGCACCGTGTTATCAGTTCCTAATCTCGTGCCTGACACATATTTTGATGCTTTCACCAGACCTTATATTAACAACAAACTTGAAGAAAAAACTTGTGGATTTGGTCCCAGCTTGTCTTCAGTATTTGATGATGATAAGAATTTTCACACAATTATCTTTCAAATAAAGGTATATTTACTTTTACTGAAACTCATATTTAAGAAATTGAGCAATATGTTTTCTTCCTTTCTTATCTTTGAATTGAATGCTACTTAATCTCTAAATGGTAAACTGTTTTTTTTATAAAGTCTTAGTTGGCCCTAGCCGGTTTGCTCAGTGGATAGAACGTCAGCCTGTGGATCAAAGGGTCCTGGGTTCAATTCTGGTCAAGGGCACTGCTGTACTTTGGTTGCAGGCTCCTCCCCGGACCAGGCCCTGGTCTGGGCTCGTGCAGAAGGCAACCAATCAATGTGTTTCTCTCACATGGATGTTTCTTTCACATGTCTTTCCCTCTCCCTACCACTCTCCCTAAAAATCAATGGAAAAATATCTTCAGGTGAGAGTTAACAAAATAAGTAAGTAAATAAATAAATAGTCCTGGTTGATCAGAACACTGACAACAGGAAAAGGAATTAAAAGTGCAAGATATTTGAGACAACATTACTTCTGGGGTAGAAAATGAGATTTAAAAAGAACAAGAAAGGAACAAAAGGAAATATTTTTATCATACAGGAGATGCAATCCTATATAATAAAGAGCTAATATGCTAATTAGACTGAACAACCTTCTGGACAACCTTCCAGATGAAGCTGGGGCTGTGAGGGCTAAACCCCTTGCACGCATTTTGTGCATCGGGCCTCTAGTAAAACATAAATGGAGCATAAATAGAGACACATGAGCCATCATAGGAATAGGCAGGTACCTCCAATACATACTAAAATGTGTAGGGGAAAGTATGATGAGAAACAGGATAGTCTCTCAAAGTACCTCTGCATAAGATATTTATTGACTTCAAGAGGGAAAATAGTAAGGTTGCAGTGACAAAGACTGACAGACACCACCTTAACGAACACGTTAACATCACCAGTAGTGCAACAAATTGACATTACACCTCTTTTGACGTGATGCACTGAGAACTCCTGTTGCTTCTGTGGTATTACTGCCAAAATGTGCAACTGAATCTTAGCACTAGGCAGTATAAGCACACATACAAATGAGATATATTTTTCAAAAATGAAAGACAAATAAAGATTGAGGAATTGTTCCAGATTAAAGGAAACCAAAAGATATAACAAGATGATAAACATGATCCTGGATAGGATAGTGAATCAGAAAAAAAAAATTTGTTTTCTATGAAAGACATTTTTGGAAAAAATAGCAAAATTTGTATAAGGTCTATAATTAGATTATAGAATTAATGTTAATGTTAATTTCCTGATTTAGATTATTGTACCATGCTCATGTAAAAAGACATCCTTGTTTTTAGTAAATACATCTGAAATATTTAAGGGTAAAGTCTCTCATGTCATCACCTTTCTCCCAAATGGTTCATAGTAAAATGATATACATAGAGAGAGAATGATAAAGCAAATATAATAAGGAATTTTAGTGAATTTTGGTGACAGATATATGGAATTCTTTGTACTATTCCAGCAATGTGAATGCGAAGTTATTTCAGAATACAGAGTTTCAAATCATATTTTGAACATGTTGCTATGACCTGTATGATCACAAATAAGAGATACTATTAAGTAAGCTCAAAGGAGACACAAGTTTGACAGTTTCTTCCTCTCAATTAAAGAAAAAACATATTTTTATTTATTTTTTTTATTGATTTCAAAGAGAAGGGAAGAGTGGAAGAAAGAGATAGATAGAAACATCAATGATGAGAGGGAATCATTGATCAGCTGCCTTCTGCATGCCCCACACTGGGGATTGAGCCCGTAACCCAGGCATGTACCCTGAGCAGGAATTGAACCGTGACCTTCTGGTTCATAGGTCGATGCTCAACCACTAAGCCACACCGGTCGGGCCTTCCTCTCAATTTTTAATGTAAAGAAATAAACAGTCGTAAGAGTGCAGAAGAATAGATAAGAGCCTATTAAAAGGAAATAAATGAACAAATAGCTAAATGTAACCATATAGGGTGTGTGCTCTTTTATGTCATTAAACTTTCTACTACTAGCCATTCTCCATAAAGCATGACTAGCCTGGGTATGTTGGGAATGAGCAATTCCATTGATGGCCTCTAGTTTTCCCTGGGACAAATTGTAGACATTTGCAAAAAAATCTTGATAGGAAAAATAAGGGAAAGCTATGGAGTGCAGCCAGGGAGTCATGGACCAAGGCTAACTGTCTTTCACAGGCATTGAACTATGATCATATATATTGACACAAGTAATAAGGGACTGAAATGATGGGCAATTATTGTTTTGATTTGAAGAAATTTTGTGGGGACAAGGTGGTTGTAGCCAAGTTTAAGTGAAGGAAAGGGTTTTATTAGGGGAAATTATGAAAGACATTTTGGAATATGCCTGGCCACTACAGAGGACTTCACAGTAAGATTAAGCCATTCATTCTCTAGATATGCTGAACACTTTTGCCTTTGCTCAAAAATACTTCAACTGAGACATACCATTTGCAATTTGGAAACAGACATTCTCTTGCCATATGATTATTAGTGATGTGTACGTTCACTGTGAAGCTAAAAAATTACCAGTTTTCGTTCTTTCAATCATAAGAAACAGATTCAAAGATTTTAAAAAATGTTAACTTTGTAAGAGACTCGTTAGCTGCTGCTCCTGGACCTGTAGGATGGCATCTTCCCTGAGTTATGTACCCCCAGGTCAAAGCATATTGTTGGACCCAGAGCAGGCATTTGTATTTGTTTGTTTATTTACATTGAATTGAATTCTGCTCAGGAAAAATAAAATTGTATTTCTCTGTTTATTTATAACATTTAGGAAACCATAAAGGCAGCATTTGAATCTGCCCAACTATATGCAGCTACATTTGAAAAGTTCCAGTTATTTTTCAGGGAAAATGAAAGTCTTGACTTAGAAGCTCTTAAACTTCAGGAGCCTGGTAACTTTTCTAATTTTCCTTACTAATTATTTTTGATAGGGACCTCGAGGTTTATCATCTTCTAGGTTTGTTTGGTGGTGAGTGGTGGTTTCCTGGCATTTCAGCACATGGAATAGGCTGAACCCAAGCAACCAATTCCAATCACTTTGAGCTTCTACTCACAGCCTTGAGCCCAAGGCCTCCCAGTCTCCTGCTACCACATCCTCACATTGGACAACTTTAATCCTTCAAGTTCCCATCAGGATGAGATCACCAGACTCCCAGGTTTCCCTTCATCTAGTCTTGCCTCGGTTCGTCCATCCTGTCCCAGTCCTGGAACCAGAGTCTCACAGGCACTGTCTGATGGCTGGGACTTTGGAGTTCCTTGGCCTGGGCTCCTGAGGGCTGTGTTTCTCATGATTTTGGAAACTCTGGCAATTCCTAAACCTCTAAACCCAGTTGTTTGCTAGAGATTAATAGAAGGTAACTTTGCCCCTTAGATAGCAGGCCTTGCCTGTTATCATATTCCCTCAAAATACTGTAACATTGCCTTGCACATATTATAGGTATTTAATAAATGTCTGTTTGAATGAACTTTGAGTCAGAGTGTCCCCTGAACAGCCCCAGAAGATGATCAGGGAACAGGTTCTGGCTTCCTCACATTGTCAGCCTATCTTACCACTACGTTTCTGTAAGTCAGTGTTTACTCGTAACTTCTGTACTTGCTGAACACTAATAACTTGCTAGATACTGTGCTAAGTAATTTCTCAGGTATCTCACCTAATCCTTATAGTTCTATGAGGTGAGTATTGGTATTCTCATTTTACAAATAAAAAAATGAAGACATCTATACTAATAAAAGGGTAATATGCTAATTAGAGCAGACGTCTTCTGGACGTCCTTCCAGATAAAGCTGCAGTGGTTGCGAGGGCCAAAGGCAGGCAACCATGGCAGTGACTGGTGGCAGCTGCAAGGCCCCGGGCTCAGGCAGCAGTGGGCTCAGGCCTCACAGCTGCGGCGGCCGGCAGTGGCAGCAGCAACAGCGGAGTGATAGGGTGGCGTCTTCCCCTGATCGGCCGGTTGCCTCCCACAGAAGGAGGCCAGACTGTGGCTTAGGCCCGCTCCCTGGGGAGTGGGCCTAAGCTGTCAGTAGGACATCCCCTGAGGGCTCCTGGACTGTGAGAGGGGACAGGCCGGGCTGAGGGACACCGCCTCCCCCCAGTGCATGAATTTTTGTGCACCAGGCCTCTAGTATAGAGATAAGGAAACTGCAAAATTGCACAGCTAGTAAATGGTATAGAAACACTTTTCTCTGACTTGAAAGCTTGCCTGCTTAACCACTGTACATACTACCTGTCTATCTCAAAAAGAGATAGAAAATAAATCTTATTTCTCTTCTATCAGCTTTGCTCTTCTGTTTCTCTTTGGCTGTGTGACTATGGTAAAAGAGAAACATGGTTATTAGATCAATAACCTTATTGATCTAAATTTCTTTATGTATAAAATGAGAGTATTGGACCAAACTGGTGTTTCCCAAACTGGTATCTCTTAGAACACTATTAGAAAGGATATTTACATGATACCAGGTAAAAAGACTCTGTGTTCGCCCTGGCCAGTTGGCTCAGTTGGTTGGAGCATCATCCTGTACACCAAAAGATTGCAGGTTCTATTCCTAGTCAGGGCACATACCTAGGTTACAGGTTCAATCTCCCGTCAGGGTGCTTGAGGAAGGCAGCCAATCAATGTTTCTCTCTTACATTAATGTTTCTCTCTCTCCTCTCTCCCTCCCTTTCACTCTCTCTAAAATCAATAAACATAGGGTAGGTAATTGTCCTTTTTTCTATTGTGAGGAAGCTGAATCAGGAAGATTAAGTGACATGTGGGTTTAAAGACTAACCCTAGGTCTTCAAACACTCTGTCTGGTGTGCTCTTTATACATGTCAAACTCCCCCTGTATTCAGGAGAGGAGAGGACATGGATGAAGGCAGGAGTCAACACTCTTGCTCTCCAGGATGCACTCAGGAGCTCAATCTGACCCACGTGGAGGAAGTAATTGGAAATAAGCTAAACTTGAGAGGGTACAGGATTTTGAAAGGCAAGCAGAGTAGTTTAGTACCGTATGACTGTTAGGAAGGGTTGTGTTTGACCAGTAGCCTGATAAAAGGGTATTTCAAGGATAACCAGGCTTCCACTGGTTTCAGGTGGACGGGGGAAGGGAGGAAATGGAGGCAGGAAGATCATCAAAACCCAACTGCAGCACATGGCAGGTGCAAGCTGGCAAAGGCCCTGAGCATGATGTGCGAGCAGGTTGGCAGAGGTGGTGGAAAGAGGAACGGGGAAAACTTGAGCTATGCTTGATCTCTTGTGTCTCAAGCGTTTATTGTTAATATCCTCAAGATGCTTTCCTTTGTGGAGAACCCTTAGACCGAGCCCAATTTCAAATCAACCTGACTCTAGAATCTAGTCCAGCCGTGGGCAAACTACGGCCCGCGGGCCGGATCCGGCCCGTTTGAAATGAATAAAACTAAAAAAAAAAAAAAAAAAACCCGTACCCTTTTATGTAATGATGTTTACTTTGAATTTATATTAGTTCACACAAACACTCCATCCATGCTTTTGTTCCAGCCCTCCGGTCCAGTTTAAGAACCCATTGTGGCCCTCGAGTCAAAAAGTTTGCCCACCCCTGAACTAGTCCATTCCAGACGATATCCTCTACTGCAATTATGCTATTTTTACCTGCCATCTCTTAATAGGAGCTGGGAACATATTTACATATTTGTTACTTTAAAACATTTAATTATTACTTATTAGCTTTTTATTACAAGAATCTATATATTTAAAAGCCTAAGAGACCATTAGGACTGGACAACCAGATGACTGGCCGGTAGCTATGACGCACACTGACCACCAGGGGGCAGATGCTCAATGCAGGAGCTGCCCCCTGGTGGTCAGTGCAGTCCCACAGCCAACCTCCCACGGCCAGCCAACCTTCCGCAGCCCCTCCCCCTGGCCAGTCGGGCCCCCATGGCCCTGATCGGGGCTGGGCCAGATGGCCTCGATCGGCCCTGATCGCCGGCGGGGCTGTGGGACCCCACCTGTGCACGAATTCATGCACCAGGCCTCTAGTAAAATATAAAGAACTATGAGTTAACATGTTAAAGTTACACAAAGAAGCTTACATAGGAATAACATAAATACATATGTATATTTATTAATGCAATGATTTTTAATATATTTCACAACAACCCTTCAAAACCTAATCTAATGTGTTGCTTTATGTGAATTATTTTATGTAGATGTTAAGTTCTTCAGTGAACAACTGGAAAAGTATCACAGACAGCACAAGGATGCTTTAGCCCTAAGACCCACCAGAAATGTCGGCTTGCTGCTCATTGACACGAAGCTGCTGAAGGAAAAACTGATTCCATCACCTTTGCGATGTTTGGAGGTAACTATGAACTAGGAAAAAATTTTAATTATGGCCTCTACAATTATTTTATGACTTTTCTACTGCAAATAAACTGTATTTTCTAGTATTGCCAGTATTTAAAATGAACATAAGTCTACTGGGCATTCTTAATTTCTAGGAAAAGTTCCACATTCTGCTTCCTGTTCCAAGCACAGTCAGCTTTCAGATGCGGAAGGAGGGGGACTGCAAGCCTCCGACTAGCCTCTTACTCTTACTCCTTTTTCCTTTGTTGGAGAATTTCAAGGCTTCTTGGTGTCACGTTCTGTGGGAATGCTTCCTCATTCTAGGATGCTGAGGTCACACTCGGGAGATCGTTTCCTGATCTGACACTGTCCCTAAAGACCTGGTTATATTTTGGTACTTGGCAAGCGGTAGCTCACAGGGTCCGTCCAGCCCCCCACCTGGTTTGTACAGTTTATGAGAACACAGCTGTGACTGTTGGCTTAGGTGTCGTGTGGTCTGTGGGTGCTTTCTCACTACAAGGGCAGAGCCGAGTCGTTGTGACAGAGACTGTATGTCCTGCAAATCTAAAACAGTTACTCTCTGGCCCTTACAGAAAACTTCTGAGCCCTTTATAGAAGACGGCTCAGAAGTGCTGGTACCTGTTCTGTTGTAATTAGCTGTGTGACCTTGGGCTTTCTCCTAGAGCTTTGCTTCTTCATCTGTTGAAAAAGACGAAATGTACAATTGGAGCAAATTCAATTCAATTTCAGCAGTTTGAACACTACTGTATACCAAGCCAAAGAAAACTGCTCTCAAACTGGCTTAAGCAATCGGAAAACTTATAGGCTATGCAGCTTTAAAAAAAAGAAAAAAAGGAAGAGTGGGGGGCGAATGGGCATCAGGGAGGTTTGGTGTAGTGACTCCGTGGTGTTACCAAGACTCTGTTTCTTTTCATTGTCTTTACGGAGCCTCCTGCTGTGCCAGCTTCGTCGTAAAGCTCACATTCCCACACATTTGTGACTTGGTGGTGAAATGCTCCACAGGCTCATTATTGCCTTGTTTCTGTGCCGAGACAGAAAGGAAGATTGGGATGCTGAGCACACATTTCTCTCAGCCTTAAACAGTAGTACTGGACCTCTGTCTAATTGAATCAACGAAGACCAGAGGTCCACCCTTACCCAATCACACTGGCCAACGGCAGCCAGCCTCCCGTGTGCCTAGTGATCAGTCGGCCTCCACCTTCGTTTCTGAAGGAGAAATTGATCCATTTTCCCCCAAACCACATGGCTACCACCCGGCATGAAAGGAGCAGAATTGACGTTGGGGAGGACACGACAATGTCACTACACAGGGCAAAGTAACAGAAAGGGTGTTTACAAGAGCTCCGAGAGTTTAGACTACTTTTAAATAAGTTGTGCAATGTAGTTTGTTCTGGAAATGATCTTCACAACCTGCCCTTCCTGTTGGTTCATTTACCTGGCAGGGATTTAATGTGAAAGAAAAAAAAAAAGTCCCTTTATATACACTGCTGCTTCCAACACTTGCTCATTGAACAGATGGTCAATTAGGGTTGACCTGCAATGTATAGTAAAATGAAAATATAATCAAAGTTATGATTGACATTTTCTTTTTCTTTCCTAGGTGCTAAATTATATGCTGCCTTGTCAAAGCAAGCAAAAAGTGGATGCCATTATCTCTGAGGCACAAGATGCAGAGTACAAACTTGAATTTGTTCCATCGACCACCATAGAATATGTTAACAGCTTAGTATTTCTTGATGAAATTCAAGAAAGGGTGAGTTGATTCCTACAACTCATTATTGCAGATCTTGTGATAGGTAATGACAGATAAAAGAAACTGAGGGGCCCCGACTGGTTTGGCTCAGTGGATAGAGCGTCGGCCTGTGGACTAAGGGGTCCTGGGTTTGATTCTTGCCAAGGGTACATGTCCAGGTTGCAGGCTCGACCCCCAGTGGGGGGCATGCACTCTCTCTCTCTCTCTCTCTCTCTCTCTCTCTCTCTCTCTCTCCCCCTCTCCCTTCCTCTCTGAAATCATTAAAAACAAAAAGAAACGGAGGGATTGAAGCTCAAGAAACAGCTGTGGAAATATCAGAAACACTTTCAGACAAAGTAAGCAGATGCCCTACACACAACAATGACAGCTAACACTGCTCAGACTCCTACTACTGGTCAGCCATTGCACTGCATTTTTTACAGTCATTACATTTTAAATTCTCACAAAAACATAAGAAGTATAGATCATTTTTATTCTGCAGATCTGGAAATAAGGACTAAAATAGGTTATGTTGAAGGTTTGATCTCTACCCCCAGTCAGAGAGTATGCGGAGGCAACCAATCAATATGTCTCTCTCACATCAATGTTTCTCTCACTCTTTCTCTCTTTCTCTCTTCCTCTCTCTCTCTCTCTCTCTCTCTCTCTCGCTCTCGCTCTCACCCTCCATTCCTTCCACTCTCTCTAAAAATCAATGGAAAAAATATCCTTGGGTGAGGATTAACAACAACAACAAAAAAGGACAGGAACTAGGAACTGGTACAGCCTAGGGCAGTGGTCGGCAAACTGCGGCTCGCGAGCCACATACCACGTGCAGGCGCACAGTACAGTGCGATTGAAACTTCGTGGCCCATGCGCAGAAGTCAGTATTTTATGGAAGAGCCACACTCAAGGGGCCAAAGAGCCACATGTGGCTCGCGAGCCGCAGTTTGACGACCACTGGCCTAGGGAAATCAGAAGGCCTCTCTCTTTCCATCTTTCATCGCTGCTCCTCCCTAGAACTCTAGAGTGGTATTTCTCAAAGAGTGGTCCCCAAACCAGCAGCAGCAGTAGCAATGGGAACTGTTAGAAGTGCATATTCCTCAGCCCCACCTTAGGCCTCTGAATCAGAAACTTGGAGGTGGGGGCTCAACAATCTGTGTTTTAACAAGCTTTCCAAGGTTGAGAACCATTTCTCCGAAAGCCTCTCTCTGCAATCTTCTCCACGTGGAAACAAATGGCCTCTGCCCACAGCTACAGTCTAACTCTTTCCACATTCAAGAGAGGTCAGACTTATGTCAGATTGCTAGCTCCCAATTTGATGCTGCTTGTGACCAAGGAGGTTGAGTCAAGTTTCAGCGGTTCTCAACCTGTGGGTCGCCAACTGTGGGTCGCGACCTCTTTGGGGGTCGAACACCCCTTTCACAGGGGTCACCTAAGACCATCAGAAAACACATATGTAATTACATATTGTTTTTGTGATTAATCACTATGCTTTAATTATGTTCAATTTGTAACAATGAAAATACATCCTGCATATCAGATATTTACATTACGATTCATAACAGTAGCAAAATTACAGTTATGAAGTAGCAACGAAAATAATGGTTGGGGGTCACCACAACATGAGGAACTGTATTAAAGGGTCGTGGCATTAGGAAGGTTGAGAACCACTGAGTTAGATGAACATGGCTGCTTCGTCTATAACCCTATCACGGAGTTGGGGGAGGAGGGTTCTCTCAAAATTGGAGAGTCCCTTGCCAGAAAATTAGGAAAGACGCTGTCCACTGAAGGTAGGACATCAAGGTGAAGATGTTTCGTAGTCAGTTAGAGGTAGAAACAGTCTTTATTAAAGGATAGTGGGAGGCTCATCATAGATTAGAGGTCTGAATCTATGCAGGCAGGAACATGGCCTGTCCATAGCTCAGGGCTGGGCTGGGACAGTCACAGCTCAGCACATATGCCAGGGGCCCTGATATTACAGCTGAGCATCCTCACAGCAGGCGTTGTCCCTGATAACCTTAGATATTGGCACAAAAGAGAAAGGAGAAAAGTAAACATAAGAATAAGGCTAACTGTGCTCAGCTCTGAACAGCTTACCCCCGGGCCTGGTTACCTGGATTGTAACAATGACAGCAGTGATCACCTGACAGGCTTCAGTCAGTTTCCCACGCTCTTCATGTGCTGGCTCTCCTCAGCCATTGCTCAAAGGCTGTCTGGTGTTAGACAAGGCCTACAGGGTGTAACAGGACTCGGATTATTTAACAAGCAACCCATGTTTCCTTTCAGATCGAAACCCTTGAAGATGAAGGCAATGTGGTGATCCAAATGTACAAGCTCATTGAGCAGTATCAGGTTCCCACACCGCCTGAAGACTTTGCTGTCTTTGCAACCATGAAGCCATCCATTGTTGCTGTTCGGAATGCCATCGATAAAGCCGTAGGTGATAGAGACGCAAGCATTAAGCAATTTTGTCTGCATTTGGGTAAAGATCTTGAAGATCTAACCAATGAAGTGAACGACGTCAAGCTGCAAGCACAGGTAAGTTAAGGAAGATTTAAAAAAAAAATGTGTAAAGTTTGACCACTGTATTTTAATTGAACCATTTTGGGAGCCTATTTTATTTTAATCTGACTTTACTTCTGTTTTATATGACTTTATTCTGACCAATTAACATGGTCTTTGAACTTCTATTTCTGAACTCTCTTAAGTACTAAATACACTTCAGACCATTGCAAGCAGAGTATATACATAATAATTGAATTTTATTTATTCTGGCTTGTACTTATTATTCTAAAATGCGTGTTTTTATAATTTGTTAGCATATTTATAGCTACTTCACAATGAGTTTTCTTAGCCACCTATTCGAAAATTTCTATTTAGGAAGAGGCAGAATATAAAGCAATAATGATAATGAAGACTATTTGGTTAACCTGCACTAATTTTACTATACAAAAGATACAAGGGGAATTTTTTTATAATTTAAAATAGACATCTGGGTGGTTCTTAACTGACGCATATATGGACATCTGATTTTGTAATGTTCCATTTTAACATTGACTAAAACTTATCACAGAAGTATAGAACCATATAAAGTTATAATCAAATCAGGATAATTGGGAAAAAGTCAATGTCCATCAGCAAAGGATTAGTAAAATGTGTTAGGGTACATGTACCCAAAGGAATGCAAAACAGACTTTAAAGATTACAATATACATTTAAACGCATTAATGTGGGAATGTAAAAGTAGCTAACATGTATTGTGTACTTGTTATGTGTCAGGTACTAAAGTACTTTTGTATTTTCACACAGAGAAAACTGTACATAACTGTAATATCTGTACAGCTTAGTGAATTATCAGAAAGAGAACACATCATGTAGCCACTACTCGTGTCAAGAACTATAACATGACTGGTTCCTTTAGTGTCCCCTTTTATCACTAACTCTTTCCTCCTCTCCACATGCACCCCCTACCCTGAATTCTAAACTATGAATTAGTCTTGCCTGTTTATGAACTTCAATTACATAGAATCATACAGTAGTATGCCCTTTGATGTTCATTCCTGAGATCCATCCATGTTGCTGTGTGTGAACGTAGGTTATTATCCATGTTCATTATTATATAGTGTTTCATTGTATATCATAATTTAATTATCCACAGTCGATGGACATTGGGATTGTTCGTTTTGGGCAATGATGAATAATGCTTCCAGGATCATTTGCATGTTTTCACTCATTTAACCCTCAGAACCCTGATAAAGTTTTATTAGTCACAGTTTTATAGAGAAGGAGACCAAAACACAAAGAGGTTAAGTAATAATAAATGGAGGAACCAGACTTCAAGCTTAGTCAATCTGCTTCCAATGATTAATAGCCTGGTTAGCTGCTGCACTATATACTGCTTTCCATACAGAGCAGGCAATACAAAGTACGAGTGATTATCCTTTGTTTACAAACAGTACCTACGTGTATAGATGGGTTGCTAGAGAGAGCAGAAGTGCCAGCAAGTGCTTTATGTGTAGTCGTGCATTTTTAAAAGCATGATGCACACGCACAAGAGTGATAGCGGAGGTTCTCTCCAGCAAGTGCTCCTCCTCCAGAGGCTTTGGAATGAATTCATTCTCACTCCAGCCAAGAACTGCAACTTCACCATTTCCATAAATGGTACCATCTTACTGTCAACGACTGCCACTCCTGGTGATAAAGGGAATTGGAGGAAGACACCTAAATGTGGCCATTGATGATCACACAATTTATTTCCGTTTGAAATGTCTCTTTTGTTTTTATTTGGTCTCTTTGGCATAGATTTTAACTCAAAATTGGAACTCCCTGTCAAGCAGGTCTTCACCCTGGCTCCCCTCTCCTCCCCCCTGCAGCTCCATCAGGGGAAATCTGCATTTCCTCCCGGTGGGTGGAGGGGAGGGGTGTCTGGTCCACGTGCTGCCCTCTGGAACACAGGGCTTCCAGTGCAGGTTGGCTGGGGCTGGGGGTCCCGGACAGCTGCCAGCTCAGGGTCCTTCCTGGTTCTTTCAGTGCCATGCTAGCCCCTTCTGCTGCATTCCGCCATGTCTGCCATAGCCTGCAGTCTCAATCTGTGACTTCCTCATCCTGACCTCAGACTTTCTCTGTCCAGCAGTGCTTTCAGCAGTGCCCCTGCCAGCATCAAGGCCATGAGGAGTCCACGATCCCCTGCATGCCACTCCCAGCCAGGAGGCGCCAGAGCGCCAACCCAAGCCCCTTCCTCCTTGGACATCTCCCTTCGCTTTTTCTAACCAAGAACATGTTGCCATTTTGAGTGCAGGGACATGCTGTATCGGGGATGGGATCGTTGGCCTCCCCACACCACGGCTATGACAGCTCTGATTCCTCAGTTGCCTCAGATTCTCCCAAACCTGGTTAGGTGTTTTTACTTTGTTCCTAAATTTTTCCATTCCTGTTCATGGGATGGGGCTTCCACCCATCAGGTCAGCCAGAAAACATGTCTGACCATTGATTCTTTATGTTCTCTCTTCCTCCCTCTCAGAATTCAAAGGCTTTCTATTTTTTTATTATAAAATGAAAATTTGCCTTGTATTATAGTCTCTTCCTGCTTTTCTCTATTGCACTCACCTCTCTTTACCTGAAGTCACATTTGTGGAAGAAGTGTAGGACATGAAAGCAGATGAAGGAAAATATATTAGGTATTATTTAAAACTAGTGGCCCGGTGCATGAAATTTGTGCATGGGGCAGGGGGTGTCCCTCAGCCCGGCCTACACCCTCTCAAATCTGGGACCCCTCAGGGGATGTCCCACTGCCGGTTTAGGCCTGATCCCACAGGCGGTGGGACATCCCTCTCGCAATCCAGGACCGCTGGCTCCTAATCACTCACATGCCTGCCTGCCTGATTGCCCCTAACCACTCTGCCTGCCAGCTTGCTTGCCCCCAACTGCCCCCCCTGCCGGCCTGATCACCCCCAACTGAACCCCCCTGCCAGCCTGCTTGCCCCAACTGCCCTCCCTTCATGGCCTGATCGCCCCTAACCGCCTCTGCCTCGGCCCTGCCACCATGGCTTTGTCCGGAAGGACTTCTGGAAGGTCTTCCGGTCTAATTAGCATAATACCCTTTTATTAGTATAGATCATTGTTATCCCCATGGATAAGATTTTTAATGCATTTCCATAGTTTTTATAATACATATGTGTTGCATTACAATTCAGGTAAAGCCATCATTTTAACATATTTTATAAAAAGCAGAGTGAGAAGAGAATTTGAAAAATATGTTTTGAAAATGTTTGTCAATTTATTGCAATGGTCTACATCAAAAAGCAGGAACTGCTACTCAAAAGCTGCCTTAATTTTACAGGATCCCCAGATTTTGGATATTAATGCCGACCAGGACAAAATAAAGTCCCAACTGACTGAGCTGCAGTTAGTTCTGGATGATCTGCAGAAACGTGCATTTCAATATAAATCTTACCAGAAAAATTTCAAGGTAATGACAGCTCTACATGTGTTCTTATTTTTTTTGAATTTATTTTTATTATTTAGAGTATTACAGATGTCCCCATTTCCTCCCTTTGTCACCCTCCACCTGGCTCTCCCTCCGCCCAGACCTTCACCTAAATATTGTCTGTGTCCAGGTGTTAGAGCACCGGTTTTCAACCTGTGGGTCGACCCCTTTGGCGGTTGAACGACCCTTTCACAGACCATCCTGCATATCAGATATTTACATTATGATTCGTAACAGTAGCAACATTACAGTTATGAAGTAGCAACGAAAATAATTTCGTGGTTGGGTCACAACATGAGGAACTGTATTTAAAGGGCCAGAAGGTTGAGAACCACTGTGTTAGAGACACCTCTCACGGACACCAGAGAGCTGTTACAGGACAGCCCCCTGAGCCAGTGGGAGAGGGCTGTCCCCAACCTCGATCCACGTATTCTCACATAAATGAATTTATACGAGAGACCCTCACTGCGTTGTGAAAAGCCAACTAATTAAAGCATGCATCTTTATTGAAAAAAGCAAAAGCAAAGCAAGCAAACCTATACACTGGCTTATGAAGCAGACGGTCTCTCAGCTCATCTGAAGAGCAGGTTGGGTGGGGGTCTGAGGGATTATATACCCTCCTGTCTATAGGCTTCGGAATTCCTCTGCTGACTATTTTGGTGCAGATTAATTCTCAAGGTCCGTTTTTTTACATTGTTGTGGCCTTCCCAGAATTTATGAGAAGCACCTGGTAATTTTATCTTGCCAAGCCTTGAGATTGCTGGCTTCTCTGCTTAGGGGGTAAAACTGCCCGTTTTTCCCCCTTCTCTTTCCTCCATCCCTTTCTGTATTCTCTCATTAGGGAGGTTTTTAAACCATTTGCTCTGGTGCTCTGGGGAAGATAATGGCTGGTTAGTTAATAGCTGGCTGCAAATTGCCCCATACCGCTTGGCCTTGTTTTAACTTTCCTGTCTCAGTTTCTCTATTCCTCCTGCCCTGGAATCCTGTAACACATGGACTATGCATATATGCATATAAGTTCTTTGGCTAGTCTCTTCCTGCCCTCCTCCCCCCTTCCCTTTGAGAGCTGTCAGTCTACATGTGTTTTTAAAACATGTCCACAGAAATGACACTGATGCACAAGCACTTTCAACAGCGTTACTGTGAACATAGATCAGGGGTGGGCAACCTTTTTGTGAGTGCGTGCCAAAACCAGCAAAATCTCTGACTCAAAATTCTTCTGCGTGCCAACCCTAATTTTTTGAGAACATGTTACGCCTACTTGGTATCTCTTAAGGTGTACATATGTGAAGAACTTTGAAGAAATAAAATTCATTTGAGCGACAAAAACACAGTATACGATGATGAAAAATACGTTTGTTTTTTAATGTATACATGTACACTGACAATCCGACAGAAAACTTTATGACTCCGTTTGATATTATCAGTGGGACTTTTGCTGCTGCATCACTGATGACAGAGATTTTACATCAGGTTTATATTTCGTGACCTTCAGAGATATGCACGAGCTACTACTTTCATCCGTCAGGCTACTCCTATTATGAGACTTAACAAAATTCATCACTGAGAACAAAGATTCACAAGCGTATGTGGATGAAAACATGGAGAGTAACGCTGCTGCAAAGATTTTTAAACAGAAAACATTTTCTGGAATGGCATTCCAAGTCCTCAATAGTTCGTTTTCGACACTATTGCTCTTCCCTTCTCTCGTCAATCCATGTCTATGGTCTTTAAGATAACTTGTTATGTAAAATTATTTATTTATCTAAGATGCACCTACACTGAATTTATCTGAAAAATAAAAAAGTCGATATTAAGAAAAAAATTGTAAATGGAAGATTATAAGAGAGGGTTTCGCGTGCCAGCAAAAGTTACTGGCATGCCATGTTTGGCACGCGTGCCAGGGGTTGCCCACCTCTGACATAGATCCAAGTATGCTGCTCCTGTTGGCTGAAGAATTCAAAGCCCTACCTTAGTGGGGGTGGGGGGCTCACAATTTCAGTGCAAGTGACTTCCCTGGAGGTTCCCCACCTCTGAGCCAAGGCAGTCTTTAAAACACTTCAGGAAAACAGCTTCAGACGTCCCCTCAGCAGCGTTTCTCTCTATAGGATTCGTATACAGCCAGTGGGGTTAAAAAGAGGCAAGAGACCAGTTGGTCCTCTTCATCTTAAATCACCCCATTCCCTCCACCAGCTACTGTGCAAACATCTTCTTCCTCTTCTATCAGCTAAGCCCTAAAGGGAGTCAGTCTCAGTTTCTGAAGATTCATCTGTTTTCCAAAAAAGGCCAAGCATGTATAGGCATGTATGATCCAACTTGAGGAAAAATGCCCACGGTACTCTTGTGATACATGGATATTTTCATTCTAAGGAAATATAAAGAGTTATATTTTGTCACTCAAATGGAAATTTGAATTTACATGAGTGTGTTTTTCTTCATTTGTTTCTCTCTCTCTCCTTTCCCCAGTTAGGCTCCCCACATATTCTGCTTAGTCACTGTATCAAGAATTACTAATAGGAGGATAACAGGTATTTATATCTGAAAATTAAAGAGTGAATTTTGTTACATATTTAAAGGTGGAAGTTTCTAAGTTTGAAGATTTGGAAGTAGTTAGTGCTGAAGTGAAGCTCAAACAATTGCTCTGGGATTAACTCCACCAAGACTGGTTACAGGTAAAAAAAAAAAAAAAAAAAAAAAAAAAAAAGCTCTCAATTCTTAAATTCATGTTTGTTTTAATAAAACTTAAAATCTTTACATCAATTATAATTGTTAAGCAATTTTGGTGAAATATGCAATGTTATCATGTTATGGGAATTATTGTAATTTTTCCAGTGAAAAGCACAAAGGTCTTTCTGTCACTGTACTTTGTAGCATAATGCATGATGGGAAGGCAGCTCCTCATGTCCTCCGTTGAAGAAGGCTAACTGAAGGGAGCACCAGAGGACCTTGACTGCTTTGTGGGTTTTGAACCAGTGCTGTCATGATCCAGTGCACCCAAGTGTCCTTGAGGATTGTAGGTTTTTACTGGGGATCTGTACACTTCAGGTTCCTGCTAGCTTAGGTTCTGTTTTTATTGTCCTTCAAAAAAAAGAAAAGAAAAGGAAGCTATTTGTTCACTGTAGTAGAGTGGAATCAGAGCGATGAAATTTGGGCTCTTCCTTGGAGAGCTCAAAAGTAAATTAAGTTAATTAGGGGGCCAAGTACAATAGAATTTGGTTTCTAGGTTCTATCTTTATATTTAAATTTAACATGACCATCTGTACTTTCAATTGTGAAATGGACGTGTTAGAAATGCCACCAACTTCACAAACACTCTTTTACACTTGCTCATTCATCCTACCAGTGCTGATACCTATAACTAGAAGTCATAGGTCTGGGTTAAATAACAGTGACATAGGATATGTTCTCCAGATAAGGTTCCAGCTGCTGGGGATACCAGTGGAAAATAAAGAGGACAAAGTCCAAACCATCATAGGACTTACCTTTGGTGAGGAAAACAGAAAACAAGCAAACATCTGCTATAATAGCAGAGACTTTTAAGTGCTGTCCTATAACTCACTTGTCACTTATCTCAGAAGTAGAAGCTCCTGAGGAATAAAGAAGCTTAGAGAGTTTTCTGATCACCCCCAAAGATGAGGACAGTGGCTCCCAAAGTGGCAAGAATTCATAAAAAATGCACAAAAAGACCCATTAGGGGTTAGAAAGAAAATGTTGAATCTGGGGGGGGAAAAATGAAAATTTTAAAAATTTTCTGATGCCTCAGTCCCTATGACCATCTGACATTTCAATATATGTGTACACTTATATGTTTATATAACTGAAATATTTTTAAAGATGCATGAATATTTTGGGGTATCTTAAAATCCTTTATATTAAAGGGACACATAATCAAACAGTAGGAGAATACTAGGTGAGAAATTTATAGTTAGCAAGAGTAAAAATTGCTGTATATCGTCTTACAAGGTTGGGTCCTCAGGAATAAATTACAGGATTTGTAATAATGTGTTGATATAGGAGACAAGGACATGAAAAGAATAATAAATATGCCCGATAGACTATTAGAAATCTCAATAAGTAAAGCCACTTCCAAAAAAGTATAGAGTTGAGTTGGATTAACAATTTTGCTACTGGAAAATCTGAATAAAGTAAAAAATTCCGCTGTTTCAATCTAGCCCATTATCTTATATCTTAACTTCTTTTTTTCCTTTAATTTTCATAGTCCAAATTTGACAGCCTGGATCCGGAATCCCTAAACAGCCAAGTCTCTAAATATGCCAAATTTGTGACTCAACTGGAAAAAGGCTTGCCACCCAACAGTGTAGTGCCCCAGCTAAAATCTAAGGTGGAAAAAATGAAAGAAAAGGTAAGTTCGGTAGAAATTATTTCCAAAACTCCAATCAGTAATATTGCTCCATGCCAGTGATACTGACATCGGGAACTGCTCTGCACGCAGAGAGGAAAGAGCAGACAAACTCCATTATTGAGGAGGAACAGTCGGCCGCCCTGTCTTCAACTGGCCAAACTGTGCAGCTGAATCCCATGGCTGGAAGTGGCATTCAGAGTGAGAGTGCTTCCCCATCCACTCAGCCTATAGACGGCGGGACAAGGCCAGGGAAGCCTTGTCCATTGACAGCTCTGCCCCAAACAGCTCTGCCCTTTGTCCAGACGTGCCATGATGTGAGGGAGGTTGGGAAGCTCGGCAGTAGGTGTGCAGGGCTGGCTCTTTGAAACCTGTCACTGCTAAACCAGCGCTTGAAATGGGAAGGAAAAGGGAAATTATTTTTTATTCTTTTAAGCAAAAAAAAGAGATAAAGGACTGAAAGAAGACATGAGTAGGAAGAGTAAGCAAAGCTTCGGGCACAATGCGAAGCAAATGTTCCCTCTTGAAAAGAGTGTTTTTGTAGTTTTTTCTCCTTTAACCTTGCAATATCTAGTCAAAACAGTTCTTAAAGGTTACTTATGTCAGTTTCTTTATTGCCTTTGGTGTGCTTTTAACATATAATTTTAAAAAAATTCACTTGTCACCGTCTGCATTCCATCTTTTGTTCCTTGGAAATCCTGGAACTTGCATACAGTAACCTTGAAATCCAGTAAACTCATTTTTTATGGCATTTAATGGGAAAAGTCACGTAGCCAGCACATCAGTGTTGTACAGAATACTCCCATCACCACCCCCACCACCACCACCACCAAATTACCTTATGTTTTCCCTTTGCAGTTGCTCCATCTTCAGTCCCAACCCCAGGCAACCACTGATCTGTTTTCTGATCCTATAGTCTTTTCTTTTGCAGAATATGATATAAATTGAATGATACAATATGGAGGCTTTTGAGTCTGGCCTCATTCACTTAGAAAAATGCATATAGGCTATGCACTCATATCCAAATACATAACATACTCTTATAACTCAAAAATAAAAAAGGTAAAAAAAACACCTTTAAAATGGGCAAAGGATTCAATAGACATTTCCCCAAAGAAGATCCATAAAAATACGCTGAACATCATTAGTTATCAGGAAAAGACAAATTAAAGTCGCAATAAGATACTATTTTGTACCCACAAGGATGACTGTGATCAGAAAGACAGATTATAGGCAAGGATCTGGAGGAATTGGAAGCATCATATTTTCTGGTGAAATTATAAAGCAGTACAGCCTCATTGGTTTGGCAGTTTCTCAAAGCAACATAAACTTAATTTACCAAGTCACTCCACTCGGTATATACCTAAGAGAACTGAAAACATGTTCACATGAAAATTTGTATATGAATGTTCATAGCAACATTATTCATAACTAGAGGCCCAGTGCACAGATTCGTGCACCAGTGGGGTCCCACAGCCTGGCCTATGCCCTCTCAAAATCCAGGACCCCTCGGGGGATGTCAGAGAGCCAGTTTTGGCCAGATCCCTGCAGGCCTAATTAGAATTTAAAAAATCCCTCAATGTTGTTACATGAAGCAATAGTTCATTAAGTTTTATTGCTGAGTAATATTCCATTGTGTACATTACTACAGTTGATTATCTAATGTTTTTGCTAATGTTATGTGTTCTGTCTTTACATATACAACAAACACAATATATTGTCATTATTTTTGTTTTAGATAGTTAGCTTTTAATATAATAAAAAAGGAAACAAAATTTACCTTTATTCCATTTCCAATGTTCTTTTTTTCTTTGTATGGATGTAAGGTTCTGACTCAGCATATTCATTCTGCCTGAAGAACTTTCTTTAATATTCCTTACTGAGTAGATATGCTAACAATGAATTCCCTAAATTTCTGTTTTAAGAAAGTCGTTAATTTTTTGAGTGATGTTTTCACTGGGTATATAATTCTGAACTGACACGTTTTGTTTTGTTTTCATAAATTTAAAAGTATCCTTTCATTATCTTCTTGCTTGTATGGTTTCTAACAAGAAATCAGCTGCAGTTCTTTTTCTTGATTTTCTGTTGATAACATGTTTTTTTCTGTCTGGCCGCCTTCAAGATTTTATCTTTTCCTTGTTTTTTGGCAGCTTGTAATGCAATATGCCTAGGTGTGTGTTGATGTCATTTTGTTGTTGTTGCAGTTTTTATGGTTTGTATTTATTCTGCTTGGTTTTCTCTGAATTTTTTGGATCTCTGGTTTGGTATCTGTCTTTAATTTTGAAAAAAATGCAATGTAACTGCTTTTTCTTCAAATATCTCTTTTGCTCTGTTTTCTATCTCTTATTCTTCTGGAATTTTTATTACATGTGTTTTAGACGATCTAATATTGTGCCACAGCTCCTGCATATTAGGTTACAGGTTTTCATGGGGGAGGAAGGGGACACTAATTTTTCTCTGTGTATTAGTTTGGGGAATTTCTACTCATTTATCTTCATGTTCACTGATTCCTTAGCTGTGTCAAGTTCATCAAAGGCTCTCCTTATCTCTCTTACTATCTTTTTTATATCTAACATCTATTTAATTATAATTTCCATCTTCGTATTAACATTTTCCATCTGGTGTTGCATGTTGTCTACCTTTCCTATTAAAACCATTAATATATTCATCACACTTACTTTTTAAATTTTATTTATTTATTTATGTATTTATTTATCTTCACCCCAGGAAACTTTCCATTGATTTTTAGGTAGACAGGGAGGGAGGGAGGGGAAGAGAGAGAGAAACATCGATGTGAAAGAGACACATGAATTGGTTCCCTCCCGCATGCACTCTGACCAAGGTCTGGGATGGAACCTGCAACCTAGGTAGGTGCTCTTGGCCAGAAATTAAACCTTTTGACCCATCAGTGTGAGAGCTGACACTTTAACCACTGCGAAACACTGGTCAGGGCATTAATCACACTTCTGTTACAGTCCCTGTCTGTTAATTCTGACGTGTCATATCTGAGTCTGGTTCTGATTGTTTTTTGTCTCTTGGATGCATGTTTGTCTTGTCTTTTAATATACTACTTAAATTTTGGTTACAAGCCAACATTTTTAGATTTGTGTAATATAGTAAGTAATGCCTTTCCTTTCACTTGGCGTTTTGTGTGGCACGTTACGTTACACCTAGGTAGGAACTGGGGTACATTTGAGGTTTGATGTTCCTATAACTGCCTTCAGTATACCACAGCCTTTAAATTGTCCTAGTGATGCCTGTGTGTAGGGTTTGATCTGGTTTGCCAAAGATCATTGTTTCCATTTCCCTCTGACTTTGTGGCCTCCCTTTGTATTGTGCCCAGAAAGAATCTGTCTCTTATAGTTTTCCACTCTGTACTCCACTGTTTTTTCCACTCAATACTTGTTCGCCTGGTAGAAGAAATGAAAGGGGCAGGCCCTCATATTCTGAGTAAACTCTATCTTAACAAGGCATTGTGTCCCTTGTTCTCAGAGTTCTTACTTTCCTAAGTATTCCTGCCCCTCCTCTACCTGTAGTTAGGAGCCTAAAGTGTATTTCTGTCCCTCCCCTGTGGGTAGAGCTTTTTCTTTTCTGTTCCGTTTCTCCAAATATTTATAAATACCTACAATGAGTTATCAGCAATATCCTAGGTGAGAGTTTTTGTTCCTCCCTTCTCTGACATGAAGGCTTTGGGACCAGAAGGAAGCTAGGAGAGTTTGGATGGTTAGTTACAATAGTGGCTGCCGTTTCCTTCTCCTGCCAGCACCATAAGGTAGGCTTTCTGAGGAGTCTCCCCAATCTTTTCTATGAACACCTCTATATGTGTAGCCGCCGGGTACTTCACCCTCTCATGCTACCCCACACTCAGTCTTTAACAATTTATTTTTAAAACTTAACCGAGTCTTCCAACTCACTTAAGTGGCATCCCAGGGCAAGGTTCCCAGATAATCAAACTCTCAGGTTCTGTTTCTTGCTGTGGAGTAAACTGTGGGGACGACAAGTTTGAGTAAGTTCCCTGACCTGCAATTTAGGTTTCTGATGGGTTTGATACAAGTCATTCATTTGAAGTTTGTTCAGATTTTTCGTTGTTGTAAGAGATGTTCTTTCCAAATCTCTACATTCTCGGATTAAAAGCTGTGCTTTTAAGATAAAAAGCATGGGGCCTTTGAGCGTGTTTGTTTTCCAGCTGCCAGTTATCATGGACTTGAGGAACCCAACTTTGAAGGCTAGACATTGGGCAGCTATTGAACACACAGTGGATGCCTCCCTACTGGAACTTGAAACTCCATTAACCTTGGAGAAACTCTCCGAGTTGCATGTTTTCGACTTTGCCCAAGAAATCCAGGACATTTCAGGACAGGCTTCTGGAGAAGCTTCCTTAGAAATCATTCTTAAAAAGGTAAATATGAAAAACATATAACTTTCAGATCAGGTAAGGAAAGGTTTTCATATCAACAACTTTTGGGTTATCTAGATAGATTTTTCAACAGTGCAGCTTTCACCCTCTCATTATCAATCATCCTTCTATTGTTTCCTTATATGTATCATCATTATTATTGTTATCACAATTATAAACATCTTCCTTCTACTAAGCTTATAGCCCAACATAAACATAGCTTGAAATTTGCATGTTTATATAAAAAAACCACTTACCAAAGAATATCTTTTACATCAAAATACATTTTCTTTCAAACTACTAGAAAAGACTATGTGAAATACTTCAAAAGATGTTGAAAAAAGTTCTCTATTTAGTATACTTAACCTCTTTTCCCTAAAAATTCACACATACTTACCAATCAAATGTGTATCAAATGTGTAAAATGATTTTTTCCTTTTAATTACAACACAAAGTGATAGGAAATACACATTAAAGTATCACAAGTTATTCATATGTATTAACATCGTTCAATAAAATTAAGTAAAGCAGGGTTATTTAGCTGAGAAAAGGCTTTTAAAAGTTGTAAAGGAGGAGAATGGGATTATTACGTCTGTTTCACCTATTTCATTTCACATGCATTTATTAAGTACCTAAACATAAATGAACTTAGATATCCTAAGACTTGAATTCTTTCTAAGGTGGAGGATTCATGGAAAACAACTGAATTTGTCGTTCTCCCTCACCGAGACACCAAAGATGTATTTATCCTAGGTGGCACAGACGACATACAGGTGGGTAACTGGGTTATTGAAAACTTATGGTGAATGTTCTGGCCAGAACTAGTTCTAAATCTTTTATGGGAGATTATGATAGAGAAATGGAATATGAGTTATTAAATAAAAAAATTTAATTAGGAAGGAAAAGTATGGGATTTGATAGACATAGATGAGAATGAAGGGCACTTCAAACCATTTAAATGAAGCAAAGAAACATGAATGAGTATTTCAGGTTTATAGCACACCGAGAAGCTAAATTCACTTGAATTTTCTGAGAGTAGGAGTACATGGCCATGCTCTATATGCTGTGTGTTTGGAATATTCTTAGTGACTTAAAATCCAAAGACACATTTGTTTAGCAAAGGGATCTGGGTCTTACAGCTCAATTTAAAAAGCAAAACCCTGGTCTATTAGGTTGTACCCAGGCCAGAACTGGAGATGAAATGGCTTTACCAGGTATCGGCTGGTAGAGCAAGTTCAGATGTTACTCTGGACAGTGGATGGGAGAGCAGACTCAAGATGAAAGTCGGTCAGTATAAGGCCAAGTGATGCTAGGTGATGGGGCTTTTGCTCTCAAGAAGCTTATAATTTAAATAAAGCAACTGAAATCCTTTAGATTAGCAGACTTTTTTTTAAATGCATATGTTCTGTGAGAGTTGCTATAGTGTAAGGGGGAGAAGTGGGGTTGGAGGTAGAGGGAAAACTGTCTATAATCATTCAGAGCTTGATGTGAATTAATCTAAATTTCCTCTTCCTAAAGATAATTGAGGGTAAGTGGTGTTTCATTGGTTAGAAAAGACAGCTAATTTTTCTGTCTTTTGTTAGTTTTGAGTACTTTGAGAAATAAAGGCCTGGATGACTAAATAGTGTTAAGAAGGTGCCAGATACTTTAGAGTGAGAGAGAGAAGAGAGTTGAACCAGACCAAAACAAATGCCAATAATAATTACAGAAACAGCAAAGATTTGGCAATCAGACAACCGTTTATGGCATTTGAGAGGACATGATACTGGGTGGTACGCCATAGCAAATAGGATATGGAGGGAAAGTGGATGGGGAGGTACCAGTATGTCCGGCTAAGCTATTCGTTCAAGAAGCAAGGTTTTAAATAGACTCTTGGGGCTAAATACCTGTAATTATCTTTGAGAGCACAAGCACATGATGTTGCATCATTTTCTTCTTCTTTCTTTATAGGTCCTTCTTGATGACAGCACCATCAATATCAACACCATTGCCTCGTCACGTTATGTTGGGCCACTGAAAACTCGAGTGGATGAATGGCAGAAACAAATTGCTTTATTTAATCAAACACTGGTGAGTTTGATTAAACTCACCGATAAGTTCATTTCAGGGACTCAGAGAACTGGAGGGTCACTGGACCTTAGAAATCATTTGTTCAATCACTTAAATAAGACATAATTTAGATGTAATATTTCATTGATGACACCTTATTCTGTTCAGAATGTAAGGAAAATTCAAATCTGTTGGAGCCCTTCTTTCCAAGATTATCCCATCACCCTTGTATTAGTCATTATTGCTATGAAACAAAATACCACACACTTAGTGGCATAAAATAATATGCATTTATTATTGCGTAGTTTCTGTGGGTCAGTAGTTCGGGTGTGGCTTAACTGGGTCTCCTAGTTTGGACTTCACAAGAATTCAGTGAAGCTGTGGTCCAGGACTGGGTTCTCATCACCGATTCAACTAAGAAGGGATACACTTTCAAGCTCCCTCGGGTTGCTGGCAGAAATGATTTCCTTGCAACTCTGGGATTAAGGGCTTCAGTGTCTTGCTAGCTGTGCTCTGGAGGCCATCCTCAGATCCTTCCTGTTGCCCTGGGTTTTTTTCTATGTGGACTGTCCCCAGCATGATGACTCGCTTCATCAATCTAGCAAGGTAGAGAAAGACTCCCGGCAAGATGAATACACACATAATTGTGCACATCCTGGTACCTTTGCCATGTTCTCCGTGGCTGTAGGCAAGCACCCAACACTCAAGGGCAGAGGATCACACAAGGTTGTGAACAGCAGATCTTGGGGATCACCTTAAGAGTCTGGCCACAACAACCGCCTAGTTGTAGGAAAACACTGTTGCTTGAAGACTCCTTGGTACCTTTTCTTGTGGCACACACCTCCCTTTTATTTGATTCTACTTCAGATTATCCCACCGCAAAGCAGAAAACTCACCCACACGGATTGCACTTTGTTCCCATCCAATCCCTTTCTTAGACTTCAGCTTTTTAGCTTGATTTAATTGTGTTTAGGTTTCTATATACATATTCTAAGATGAAGAATTATCTGTGAAATCATAAAGCCACTGGTAGGGGGGACAAAACACAATTTTTTCCAACTTTGTTTCATAGGGATCTTTCTCAGGAGTTCATCCTCTTCAGTGAACACTTTATAATCTGGCCCGTGCCTAGCCTTCTTGTACTGATGGCCGAGCCCTCTGAAGGGAGGGGCTATCGATCAGCATAAAGGACATGTTCCCATAGAGGATCCTTAAAAGAATCCAATGCTGACTATTGGGGCTCCTCCAGAGATTAGAAAGTGTGAGACCTGGGATAAACCAGGAAGTAGTTTTACCATTAGGGCTTACATGTAACCCCCAAATCTTGAGTAAGAAGTGAGAAACCTTTTCATGGATCTTGGGCAAGAGGCACAGAGAAGGGGAGGTCTATAGACTTGAGTTCTGACTGCATTTCTGGTTTCTTTGATTAACAGTGGTTGTCTCTATGAGGAAAGCAATGAATAATGCTCTTCTTCCTCCCATTCTTCTGTATTTGCCACGTTCTGTCGTTAGCAGGTTTTACTTTTTTGATTGAAAAAAATGAATCATATATTTCTTTTTTTAAAAAAAGGGGGAGAGGAAAGACTATACACATAATTGAAAAACATTTTTTATAATCCTTTCTATACAGGGTGAGGCAAAAGTAGGGTTACAGTTGTTCATGTGGGAAAATAATACAGTAATTAATAGAGAATAATACAAAAAGAAATGATGTTTCATATGCTCATGACTGTAAACCTCCTTTTGTGGCAGCCTGTATTTGGAACTAGTCACTAACCTTACCACTTCCCAACCCTTCAGGTTTCTTTAAATAAGCATCTTGCCACTACTCCCCACCCCCAATGTCTCCTTTGGGGATTTTAACCCTTCTCTGGGTCCATCCTAGCGACCACACAGTAGACTCATTATAACTATTCAGTAGAAAATGGGTTGAAATTGGGGTGAGGTGAGTCTTGAACTCTGTAAGAAGTTTCATTTCAACAGACCCAGAAGAAACCCCAAAAGGAAAACGATACAGTGAGTCTCCACATAATTATTTTTAATGTAGCTGAATGTTTTTAATTGGGGGTTAAAATTTGACCGTGTCCATATTTTCCTCCCAGGAAGAGTGGCTGAACTGCCAGAGAAACTGGTTGTACCTGGAAAGTATTTTTAATGCTCCAGATATTCAGAGGCAATTGCCTGCAGAGTCCAAGATGTTCCTTCAGGTGGATAAGTCATGGAAAGAGATCATGAGGAAGGTGAACAGGTTGCCTAACGCTCTTCGAGCGGCTACTCAACCAGGTATAGAACAAAAATTTAAAGAAGAACAAAAAGACTTTACAATCATCTAAAATTTTTATCATCCATGAGAGTCTAATAATATGTGGTGCGCTCAACTCTTAATTCTAGTTAGCACTGATGACCAGGAGTAGTTGTAATACACTGGACGCTCTTGCAATGTGGATTGAACACTATTATCTTGCGAGCTTTTGCTCTCTTTATAATTTGGGGACACTGCCGCAGCATCAGTCATGCTTCCATTTCACCATTTTGACTACAAGACATAACAGTTACCCCTCCCCCAATGCCCCATTCTGCTAAAGCCCTGACAAAGTTGTAACCATAAAAATGTCCATAACGTATTTTTTTAATCCTCACCTGAGGATATGTTCTCAGTGATTTCAGAGAGAAAGGAGGGAGAAAGAGAAAGAGGGAGGGAGGAAAATAGGGAGAGAGAGGGGGGGAGATCAGGGGAGAGAAAGAGAAACATCAATGTGAGAGAGAAACATCAACTAGTTGCCTTCTGCACATGCCCTGACCAGGGATCGAACCCAAAACTTGGGTATGTTCCCTGACTGGCAATCAAACCCACAACCCTTCAGTGTACAGGACAACACTCCAACCAGCTGAACTACACTGGCCAGGGCTCCATAACTTCCTTTTAATCAACTCATTAAAACCAGTTAAAAACTTTACCACCAGTTGTAATTTAAATCTCAACATTTGAAATGTGTTTTCATAAGTTCCGTTTTCTAGGGATGTGGCATCAAACTCTTTGCAGCATAACCGTGGTTATTGCACTTCGTGATTTGTATCCAAGCCTCAGCAAGCTTGTTTATTCTGCAAATGGCAGCAGATAACCTATCCTGGTAAATACCCGGAACAGCTGCCCTGCCACTGGCAGCCTGCGGGGCTATGCTTTTTGTCTAAAGACTCTTACCATAAAATAGAAGCCGACAGGAAAAAGCTGTATGGCAGGATAGAATTGAAAACTTTAAAACTTCGGGGCTTCTGGAGGCTGCTCACATTCCTCGGCTCCAGGTCCCCTTCTAGCCAGAAATCGCATCACTCCAGCTTCTGGTCTTCTCATCACAGCTCCTTCTCTGCCTCTGACCCTCCCGCCTTCCCCCTTATAAGGACCCCTGTGATTACATTGGGTCCACAGGATGATCCACAATCCTCTCCCATCCCACAAGCCTTCATTTAAAGAGCTGCCAAGTTCCTTTTTCCACATCAACTAGCATACTCTCAGGCTCTGGGGATGGGACATGGAAATCCCTGAAAGACTTCTGCTCTGCCTACCACATCCACTTAATTTGCATAGTCACACCTTTTGCTGCAAAAATATTCATGTGTTTGATTAGAATGCTTCCCCAGTTCTAACTAGACTTATGATACAACTTTTGAAATTTAAAAAAAAAAATCTGATTCCAAAATACATCTAGTCCTAGGGATTTTGGATAAAGTAACCTGTAGACATCATTTCAGGTGATGATAAAGCTATGAAGAAAAATTAAGCAAGGTAAAGGGACTAGAGTAGCCGTGTGTGTGTGTTTGTGTGTGTGTGTGTGTGAGAGAGAGAGAGAGAGAGAGAGAGAGAGAGAGAGAGAGAGAGAGAAGAAGAAGAAGAAGAAGGAGGAGGAGGAGGAGGAGGAGGAGGAGGAGGAGGAGGAGGAGGAGGAGGAGGAAGAAGGCTTTTTTGATAAAGTGATTTCTGAGCAGAAACCTGTAAGAATGAGAGAATGAAATAAGTATGTGCATCTGAGGGAGTATCATTAAAGGCAGAGAGAAGAACAGAGGCACTGGTATGCACAAATATTAGAAAGGAAGCCACTGTGGGTTGGGATTGTGTGCACATGGAGAAGGGCTTAGAAGGTAAGCCCAGAGAGGTGAGCTTGGGTGGGAGCTTGAGGGTTGGATTGGGTCATTGATCACATCCTTTGGGACCATGGAAAAGACTGGGTTTGATTCTTGGGTGGGCGGTTAAGCCAAGCACTGTGATAGGTACCAAACCATCAAAGTTAAGTAAGACATGAATCTTGCTCCTTAAGTTGCTAGAGTTTAGTGATAAAGAAGTAGGATCCCATTGCCACAATTCAGCATCTAAAGACGGCAGAGGAAACAGAAGACATGAGTAAGAAAGTTCAGAGAATGGCTTTTTTGGAGGGTTAAGAAGACAACAGTTTGGCTTTGGTTCATGCACCCTCAACCCTCAAAAGGGAGGAGTGACAGCTAAAAATGTTTCAAATTAAATTCTGTTCAATTATGGTAAATATTAAGGTTAATGTTGATTTCATTAATACTTTACATTCTTAGCCAACCCCACAAATTTTAATTTATTAGATTGTTTTTACCAAATAAAACCAAAGCTTTAAAATGTCATCATATTTTATTTCCCCTAAAATTATATTCTCAATTTTTCTTAACACAATTTTACCAATAACTTTGTTTTTCGATGAACAGGACTCCTGGAGACATTTCAAAATAATAATGCATTACTTGACCAAATTCAGAAGTGTCTAGAGGCGTATTTAGAATCAAAAAGAGTTATCTTTCCCAGGTAAGTTTACAAGCAACCTACGATATTTTTTAGTAGTTAAGACTATCCATTAATTTAGAAGGATATACTTAAAAACAAGCCACAACCTCAAAACATCAGGGAATCAGAGAGGGAAACGAGATAAAGATGTGTGATAATGACAGGCCAGCTAATATCTTGACCAGGGAGTGTAACTCTCAAGGGAGGTGCAAGTTTGGGAAAGGTTTAAGTGGGTAACAACCCAAGGTGCAGGAAGTATTCTTGATGGCAGCGTTACTTCACTGTTGGGTGTATTACGTGTGTGCCCACGGGTCCATGTGTCCACAGATGTGGATGTGAAAAGTTAGAGACCTGTGGTGCCTGAACAGGTTTCTTTAAGTTAATTGGTGGCCTAACAATGTCACTGTAGAAGTTGTCTAAGGGATTATTTCACAAATTAAAATGATTTTTTTACTCATCTTTGCATTCTAAAAACATACCAAATGTGCCCTAACTGGTTTGGCTCAGTGGATAGAGCGTGGCCTGCGGACTGAAGGGTCCCAGGTTCGATTCCAGTCAAGGGCATGTACCTTGGTTGCGGGCACATCCCCACTATGGGGTGTGCAGGAGGCAGTTGTTTGATGTTTCTCTCTCATCGATGTTTCTAACTCTCTATCCCTCTCCCTTCCTTTCTGTAAAAAAATCAATAAAATATATATTTTTTAAAATAAATAAATAAAACATAACGAATGTTATGCTCAGTGCTGAAGAGACAAAGAAGAAAAGGCCATATCGCTGCCCTAATGGAGCTCATGGTTAACAGTTGGACAGTTATGGCCATAGAGCAGCAGTTCTCAACCTGTGGGTCGAGACCCCTTTGGCGGTCGAACGACCCTTTCACAGGGGTCGCCTAAGACCATCCTGCAGATCAGATATTTACATTACGATTCATAACAGTAGCAACATTACAGTTATGAAGTAGCAACGAAAATAATTTTACGTTTGGGTCACAACATGAGGAACTGTATTTAAAGGGCCAGAAGGTTGAGAACCACTGCCATAGACCATTATGATATAGTTATATAAGACCAGAGTATGACAACTTGATTGTAGCAAAAGCTCCCTACTGCAGCCAGTGGGGCACATTGTACCACAATGCAGAGAACATTAGCAATGTGGTTCATCTTTCATGGGTTTTCCCTGTTTGTTGTTGAGGAATAGGAGGAAAGTTCTGTTCTAGACAACGCCTGAAGCAGCCGGGGTTAGGTGGTTATCTGGGTTTCTTGGTTGAGAGGGATTGTTGCCGAGTACCAAGAAGGCTATGTGTGTGCAGAGGAAATGCAAGATCCAAAGATCTGGTTGAATTTTAACAGAAATAGTTGGGCTTTAAAGAATCTTACTAAATCTTACACAAATCTTACTAAAACGTCATTTAAGCAAAACGGAAACAGATGGAAGAGCTTGAGGTTCGGAATGTGCCTTTTGTCTATTTCACTCTTAAATCAGTAGTTCCCCACCTGGATCAAAGATATTTTTTATATTTAAAGAAACAGCTTATGATATGTAAATAAACCCAGGCACAAATTTACCGATGAAAATATTGAGACCCCAAAGGCATCAGCTCTCTTTCTTTCTTTTGTTTAGAATTACATCAGTGAGGTGTGTAATGTTTGTTATGTCAGGAGGCTCTGTGAGGCATTGATTTCACTCTAAAAACCTTATGGAAGCTCTGCATGAGCCATGGACCATCTTAGGTCTTGGAGACACAAGATGAATGCAATACTGTTCCTGCTCTCACAGTCCAAGCTTTACAGCTCTCTGTTTCTTCAGTTAAAAACAAGGCTTGGGGACAAGTTAATTATGAATGTATGTGTTATGTTAAAGAAGCAGGACTAATAGAGTGCAACCAGAAGCATCTTTATTTGTAACTATTGACTGCCTCTGCATTCCCTGCCAGGGACTAGTTTCTTCCTGCCCCTCCAGACAAAATCTTGATAAAGCCTCATGAATTTTCTGGTCATTCTCAGATAATAATATACAAAAAAAGACCTCTTGTCACCTTAACCCAATAAATGATCTGTAATAATCAAAACTCTCAACTCCTTTCAAAGTTAAAATGTCCTCCTTCATGTGCCACCCCTGTTGCCGGGAAGGTGTTAGAATGATGAGGATGTATGATGATCAACGTTCCCATTTTCTGATAATTTTCTGAGGTCTCCAGGGTGGAGCAGGGAAGGGAGGGGAGGCAAGGTGACAGGAGAAACCTGACTTGGTGGCACCCATCTGGTCCCGTCTCTCACCACGTGGGGCCTGTCTTGGACTCCCATCCTTAGGGATCCCTCTCGGGCAGCTTCCTTCACAGAAGCTAAAGTGTCTTCCCTGGCCAGGCTCTCCTCCCTCACCCTCATCCCTGGGCATCCAGACATGCACCCTCTCTAGTTCTTTTCCTAAGGTTTCTTCATGCCTCCAAATGGCCCTGTTGGACAAGTTCTGAGAAAATCCCATGCCTTGTCCACATGCATATATTCACAGAACCAAATAAAGTTCCTGTGACCACCCATCCATCCATCCAACAAATGATATACTGACTACCAGGTGTGTGTGAGGTACTAGGCTAGGTCCTGGGGAAGCAATATATCTTCACTGTAGAAGCTCAAAGACAAGTAGCAAAGGCATGGAACAAATCAGTGTAACAGCAAGAGCCTGCATTTTTTACAATTTTTATGAAAACTATCTGTCTTTTATTTACCAGGTACTAATTCTAGATGTTTGAGGTGCATCTGCACTAACAGGCACCACAACTGTATTTAGAGACATGCGGCGTCTCTAGAATCCCAAGACCAGTGGGCTTGGGGGTCCAGGACATCCGTGGATGGGGAAGAGATGCGGCTGAGGGATTTATCTTGTGTGTCTACATAAGGCTTTGCTTCACCTTCAAGTTACATTTTAAGTATTTTCTTTCATCCAGATTTTACTTCTTGTCAAATGATGAGCTTCTGGAGATTTTGGCCCAGACACGAAATCCCCAGGCTGTGCAGCCGCACTTAAGGAAATGCTTCGACTCCATCTCAAGGCTCGAGTTTGCTATCCTGACTCCTGTTGAAGGGAAAATTCCCTCTGTGGAGGGAGAGCCAGAAAAAGTGTACACTAATGACATTTTAGCGATGCTGTCCCCAGAGGGAGAAACGGTAAGGGGCTTTTTGTTGGTAATTCTTGTTTTTAAACATCTTTATTGTTGAAAGTATTACAAATGTCCCCTTTACCTCCCCTCGCCCCATTGACCCCCTCCACCCCTCACCTACCCACTCCCATCCCAGGCCTACCTCACAATTTTCTCTGTTCATGGGTTATGCATATATGCATATAAGTTCTTTGGTTAATCTCCCCCCACCCCCACCCTTTCCTCTGATATTCATCAGTCTGTTCCATGCTTCCATGTCTCTGGATCTATTTTGTTCATCGTTTTATTTTGTACATAGATCATGTGATACTTGCCTTTCTCAGGCTGGCCTATTTCTCTTAGTGTAATACTCTTCGGGTCCCTATAGGAAAACTTTGTTACTCTTTCAGGGTTGAGGGTAGAGGTTTATTCATTGTCACTCTAAGCATCCATCAAGTGCTCCTGCTACTGGGACTCTGCTGGCTCAGCAGTTTCAGGGGTCACCAAGCTAAAACTCCTGCCCTCAGAGCTCTCTCGTGGAGACATAGTCAAACAAACTTTGCAAAGCAGTTCAGTAAGTGCAGTAGCAGAGGCACATGCTCTGTTCTTGGGAACAGAGTGGAGAAAGGGGAGCCATGTCTTACGCACAAGAAACACAAGAATAGACGAGTTAAGAGCACCGGTTCTACTGCCATGCCTGGATTCAAGACTAATGGGATACGGAAGACTTTCAAGTATTACTATATGTCAGCTACTTAGAGCAGTACCCGGTGGGGGCTCCGAAAGTGTTAGTTCTCATTGTGAGCAGTGGTGTCTCCAGGGCCCTGCACAGGGCCGGACGTGTGGTAAACACCAAGCAAGTGAATGTAGTAGCAGACGGTGGAGAACCAAGTGACTTCACACACACACACACACACACACACACACACACACACACGCATATACAAGCAGAGACAGCCAAGGAAGAGGGAGCGGAACCATGGGAGGGGGAGCATTCCGTACAGAGGAACTGAGCAGGGAAATGTTGAGGATTTCAGTTCAGTTAGAGCACAGTGGTGTCTCTACGGGAGTGAAGGAGCCTGTAAGCACTTTACTTGTCCTGAGTTGATCTTCTTGCAAAAGAATATGCTCATCCCTAGTGCAGAAGAAAGCAGAAGAAGGAAGAAGGGAGGAAGACCATGGCTAGGATCCAGGAGAAACATGACATTTAAAGGGAGGGTTGACAAAGAAGGACAGAATAGGAGACCCAGACAAACAGTCACATCATTGGAAATTCAAAATATAAATATGAAAAGGGTGGAAAATTGTCAATTGGAGTTGACAGCTGGGAGAACATTGCCAACCTTAGTGACCTTAACAGGCTGGAGGAGTGGTTGGGACCAACAATTAGATGGCAGCAAGCAGGAAAAGAAAGTGAAGGAATTTACACAGTGCGTGTAGATAGACTCCTCTTGCAGGGAGTTGGTTCCCAAGGGGAGCAGTAAAATAAAGGAATAAGTGGAGAGGGCAAAGAGAGGGTCAGGGTGGGACAGCAATAGAAAGATCCAGTGTTTGTGGTCAGGCTTTGGTGTTTCCATGGCTCAGCACGGAGGACGGACAGCCTACAAGTCCCACGTGAGCCATACAATTGTTGCTCTGATTACCTTCTAGGTTAGACTGGGAAAAGGTCTCAAGGCCCGAGGCAACGTGGAGGAATGGCTGGGTAAAGTGGAAGAAGCCATGTTCACGTCTTTGCGCCGCCTGTGCAAAGCTGCCATCGCCGACTATCAGGCGAAACCGAGGACAGAATGGGTGATATCTGGCCACGCTTCTCAAGTAAGCGACACTCCTTACGTTTCCAGCTCTGACTCCCTCTTCGGTGAGATGCCTCACGCACTCAAGGAAGATGTTTCCATGCAGGTGATCCTGACCATTTCTCAAATCACTTGGTGCCGCGATTTGACCGAGTGTTTGGAAACAGATGAAAATCGTCTAGAGGCCCTGGAAGCTTTTGAAAAAGTCAACTTTGAGGTGAGATTTTTTAACAGAGTGACACTGAACATATTGCTGTGCAAGATGGTCTTGGTGGCTTTTATTGGCACGGTTAAAACAAATTCCCTTTCTTTCACAGAATTAATGCTCTGACGTGATTTCCAGAGCTTTGGAGTTCTCCCTAAAACCATTTATGTTCCAGTTTTCTTAGGGCCACTGCCTTGGTGTTTGTATATCATTTTATATGAATACTTAATAAAAATAGAAAAAAATAATTCAAGAGGAAAATGTCAGGATTATAATTTTTGCATCCTTTAAGGAGAGATTGTATTTCCTGGGTCCTAATATCTCTCACAGAAGTTCATTCAATCTAGGGAAACACCAGGATTTCTGCCAATTCTATTCTTAGGCTCAAGATGTGCTTTAGAACCCTCACACAATTACCAATAAAACAAATAAGGGAATGAATCTAAATGCAATTCTACAAGAATTTTCAAGCTACAGTTGGGAGCTGCCATTCTGCAGCTCTGCCTAATCTCTCACTCCAAATTCAATTCTACTTCCAAGCAATGTTTCATTTTTAAATAATCACTCTTAAAACAGACAGAGGAGAGAGGACCCTCAGCAGACTTGATGGTCCTCAATATAGTTCAGGTCAAAGAGCCCGGAGAAGAGAGTGGACTCCCTGAGGGAAGTCCTGTTGACTCCTGTGTGGAGGGGGGGTCCCTGCTTCTGGTTTATGGAAAACTCAGCCCAGCAGTTCAAGGCCTTCAGGACTGAAAAATGTCAGTTGCTCTTCTTTGGAAAAGGTTTAGCCATGTAGGTGACAATCGGGAGTTCAATCTATCAAAAACGCTTTTATTTAATTAATCCGTGGCCTACTTAAAATGCTCATGTTTTCTGATAAATCAGAGGAAGCACTACTCCCAAAATGAGGCATTCTACCTTAATCTCACTTAATTTGTAGGGAAAACCCATCTTCTCTAGTGACATCACCACATCATGGTTAAGAGCATGGGCTTTTATGAGAAAAATGTCTACTCGAATCTCATTTTTGCCACCTCTTAACTGTGTGACTGCCATCAAGTTACTCACCCTCTTTGACCTTGTTTCCTCTCATGGAAAATGGGGGTAAAGATAATATATACTTCATAGAAGTGTTGTAGGAATTAAATAAGTTAAACTATTGTCCTGTTTGGTCACAGAATTATCGGTTCTTATTTTTAATTTTATTTTACTATTTTTTAAATTTATTTATTGTCTAAAGTTTTACATATGTCTCCTTTTTCCCTCACTTGACCCCCGCCCCAAGCCATTCCCACCCTGGGCAAGCCGCTACCGCTTCAGTGTCTAGGTCCATTGGTTATGCTAATATGCATGCATACAAGTCCTTTGGTTGATCTCTAAACAGCCCCCTCTCCCCGCCTCCCCTGCCATTTGTCTCTAGATCTATTCTTGTTTATCAAATTATGTTGATTATTATATCCCACATATGAGTGAGATCATGTGATATTTGTCTTTCTCCAACTGGCTTATTTCGCTTAGCATAATGCTCTCCAGTTCCATCCATGCTGTTGCAAATGGTAAAAGTTCCCTCTTTTTTATAGCGGTGTAATATTCCATTGTGTAGATGTACCACAGTTTTTTAATCCACTCATCTGCTAATGGGCACTTAGGTTGTTTCCAAATCTTAGCTATTGTAAATTGTTCTGCTATGAACATAGGGGTGCATATATCCTTTCTGATTGGTGTTTCTGATTTCTTGGGATATAGTCCTAGAAGTAGTATTACTGGGTCAAATGGCAGTTCCATTTTTAATTTTTTGAAGATACTCCATACTGTCTTCCACAGTGGCTGCACCAATCTGCATTCCCACCAGCAGTGCACTAGGGTTCCTTTTTCTCCACATCCTTACCAGCACTTGTCATTTGTTGATTTGTTGATGATAGCCATTCTGACAGGTGTTAGATGGTATCTCATTGTCATTTTGATTTGCATCTCTCAGATGATTAGTGACTTTGAGCATGTTTTCATATGTCTCTCAGCCTTCTGTATGTCCTCTTTCGAAAAGTGTCTATTTAGGTCCTTTGCCCATTTTTTGATTGGATCGTTTATCTTCCTTTTGTTAAGTTGTATGAGTTCTCTTTAAATTTTGGAGATTAAACCCTTATCTGAAATAGCATTGGCAAATATGTTCTCCCATTCAGTGGACTTTCTTTTTGTTTTATTGATGGTTTCTTTTCCTATGCAGAAGCTTTTTATTTTAATTTGTTTATTTTCTACTTAGTCTCCATTGCCCTAGGAGCTGTGTCTATAAAGATATTGCTACAAAATATGTCTGCTATTTTGCTGCCTATGGAGTCTTGTAGGATTTTTATGGTTTCCTGTCTTACGTTTAAGTCCTTTAGCCATTTTGAATTTGTTTTTGTGTATGGTGTAAGTTGGTGATCTAGTTTCATTTTTTTTGCATGTATCTGACCAAATTTCCCAACACCATTTATTGAAGAGACTGTCTTGACTTCATTGTATGCTCTTGCCTCCTCTGTCAAATATTAATTGAGCATAATGGCTTGGGTCAATTTCTGGGTTCTCTGTTCAGTTCCATTGGTCTATATGTCTGTTCTTATGCCAGTACCAGACAGTTTTGAGAACCGTGGCTTGGTAATAGAGCTGGATATCTGGTATTGTGATCCCTCCTACATTGTTCTTCTTTCTCAGGATTTCTCTGGCTATTCAGGGTCTTTTTTTATTCCAGATGAATTTTTGGAGAGTTTGTTCTAGATCTTTGAAGTATGCCATTGGTATTTTAATGGGGATTGCATTGAATCTATAGATTGCTTTGGGTAGTATGGACATTTTAATGATGTTGATTCTACAAATCCATGAACATGGTATGTTCTTCCCTTTGTTTATGTCTTCCTCTATCTCTTTTTTCAATGTCCTATAGTTTTCCAAGTACAGGTCTTTTGCCTCCTTAGTTAAGTTTATTCCTAGGTATCTTAATTTTTTTGTGCAATGGTAAGTGGGATTGTTTTTCTCGTTTCTCTTTCTGTGAGTTCATTATTGGTGTATAAAAAGGCCATAGATTTCTGGGTGTTAATTTTGTATCCTGCTACATTGCCAAATTCATTTATTAGGTCTAGTAGTTTTTTGATGGAGTCTTTGGGGTTTTCTATGTATAGTATCATGTCATCTGCAAATAAGGGCAGTTTTACTTCTTTTCCAATTTGGATGCCTTTTATTTCTTCTTCTTGTCTCATCGCTATGGCTAGCACTTCTAGTACTATATCGAACAGGAGTGGTGAAAGAGGGCATCCCTGTCTTGTTCCTATTCTCAGGGAAAATGAGTTTAGTTTTTGCCCATTGAGTATGATGTTGGCTGTAGGTTTGTCATATAAGGCTTTTATTATGTTGAGCTATGATCCCTCTATTTCCACATTGCTGAGAGTTTTTATCAAGAAAGGATGTTGGATTTTGTCAAATGCTTTTTCTGCATCGATTGATATGATTATGTGATTTTTGTCTCTCAATCTATACTAATAAAAGGGTAATATGCTAATTAGACTGGACGTCTTCTGGACAAGCCATGGTGGCAGAGGCTGAGGCGAGGTGGTTAGGGGTGATCAGGCCAGCAGGGAAGAGCAGTTAGGAGCAATCAGGCAGGCAGGCAGAAGTGGTTAGGGGTGATTGGGCAGGCCAGCAGAGGTGGTGAGGGGCAATCAAGCAGGCAGGCAGAGGGGTTAGGGGCAATCAGGCAGGCAGGGGAGCAGTTAGGGGCATCAGGCCGGCAGGTAGATTAGTTAGGGGCGATCAGGCAGATAGGCAGAGTGGTTAGGGGCGATCAGGCAAGCAGGCAGGTGAGCGGTTATGAGCCAGCAATCCTGGATTGCAAGAGGGATCAGGCCTAAACCGGCAGTCGGACATTCCCCGAGGGGTCCCAGATTGGAGAGGGTACAGGCCGGGCTAGGAACCCTGCCCCCCTTCCTCCATGCACAAATTTCATGCACTGGGCCTCTAGTTTATGTGATGTATCATATTTATTGATTTGCGGATATTGTACCATCCTTACATCCCCAGAATAAACCCCACTTGGTCGTGGTGTATTATCTTTCTAATGTAATGCTGAATCAGATTTGCTAGAATTTTTTTGAGGATGTTAGCATCTATGTTCATCAAGTATATTGACCTGTAGTTCTCTTTCTTTGTGGTGTCTTTATCTGGTTTTGGAATTAGGGTAATGCTGGCTTCATAGAAAGAGCTTGGAAGTGTTGCTTCCTCTTGAATTTTTTTGGAATAGTCTGAGGAGGATAGGTTTTAGTTCTTTGAATGCTTGGTAGAACTCCCCTATAAAGCCATCTGTACCAGGGCTTTTGTTTGCTGGAAGATTTTTGATCACTGCTTCAATTTCTTTGGTAGTTATCAGCCTATTCAGGTTTTTTTTATTCTTCCTGATTGAGTTTTGGGGGCTTGTATTTTTCTAAGAATATGTCCATTTCATCTAGATTGTCCATTTTGTTGAACTAGAGTTGTTCATAGTATTTTTTCATAATCCTTTGTATTTCTGTGGGATTGGTTGTTACTTCACTTCTTTCATTTCTGATTTTGTTTATTTGGATCCCCTCTCTTTGCTTCTTGGTGAGCCTGGCTAGAGGTTCATCAATCTTGTTTACCCTTTCAAAGAACCAGCTCTTGGTTTTGTTGATATTTTGTATTGCTTTTTTTGGTCTCTGTCGTTTATTTCTGCTCTGATCTTTATTCTTTCCTTCCTTCTGCTTACTCTGAGCTTTTCTTGTTGCTCTCTTTCTAATTCTTCAAAGTTAGATGGTTTATAACCAGTTTTTCTTGTTTTTTGAGGTAAGCCTGTAATGCTATGAACTTCCCTCTCAGGATTGCTTTCACTGTGTCCCAAAGATTTTGAATTGTTGTGTTTTCATTTTCGTTTGTTTCCAGGATGTTTTTTATTTCTTCTTTGACCTCTTTGCTAACCCACTCATTGTTTAGTAGTATGCTATTCAGCCTCCATGTATTTGAATTTTTGTGATTGTTTTTATTATAGTTGATTTCTACTTTTATGCCATTGTGATCTGAGAAGATGATTGATATAATTTTTATCTTCTTGAATTTGAAGATATTTTGCCTGTGTACCAATATGTGGTCTATCTTTGAAAATGACCCATGTGAACTTGAGAAGAATGTATATTCTGCGGCTGTGGGGTGAAATGTTCTGAAGATGTCAATTAATTCCATCTGATTTAGTGAGTCATTTAGGATTGATGTTTCTTTGCTGATTTTTTCTTTAGAGGATTTATCCAGTGGTGTAAGGGGTATTAAAGTCTTCTACTATGATTGTATTGCTGTCAATCTCTCCATTGATATCCTACAGAAGTTTTTTTTTATGTATTTGAGTGCCCCTGTATTGGGTGCATATATGTTTACCAGAGTTATACCTTCTTGTTGAATTGCTCCCTTTAGTATTATGAAGTGGCCTTCCTTATCTCTTGTTATGGCTTTTACTTTGAGGTCTAATTTTTCAGATATAAGTATTGCTACCCCAGCTTTTTTTTTTTTCATTTCCATTCTCCTGAAAAACATTTTTCCACCCCTTCACCATCAGTCTGTGTGAGTCCTTTGTTCTGAGGTGGTAACTCTGGTAAACATATATGCACCCAATACAGGAGCACCCAAATACATAAAAAAAAACTTATGTAGGATATCAATGGAGAGATTTACAGCAATACAATCATAGTAGGGGACTTTAATACCCCTTACACCACTGATAAACCCTCTAAACAAAAAATCAGCAAAGAAACATCAATCCTAAATGACTCACTAAATCAGATGGAATTAATTGACATCTTCAGAACATTTCACCCCAACGCCACAGATATATGGGTCATGTTTTCTTATCCACTCAGCTACCCTATGTCTTTTGGTTGGGGCATTTAATCCATTTACATTTAAAGTTATTATTGATAGGTACTTGCTTGTCACCATTTTTTATTCTTTGTGCCTGTGTTCCTTCTTCGCTTCCTATTTCTTCTTTTTACAGCAGTCCCTGTAGCATTTCTTGCATTGCTGGTTTGGTGGTAATAAACTCCCTTAGTCCTTTATTGTCTGTGAAGCTCCGGATTTCACCCTCAACTTCGATTGATAGCCTTGCTGGGTACAGTATTCTTGGATTCAGACCCCTGCTTTGCATGATTCTGTATATTTCATTCCATTCCCTTCTGGCCTTATGTGTTTCTGTTGAGAAACCCATCGATAGTCTGATGGGAGATCCCTTGTAGGTAACTTTCTGTCTCTCTCTGGCAGCCTTTAGGATGCTTACTTTGTCATTGGTGTTTGCCAATTTAATTATAATGTGTCTTGGTGTCAGTCTTTTGGGGTTCATCTTGTCTGGGACTCTGTGAGCTTCTTGAACTTGTGTGAGTTTTTTCTTCTTCCCAATATCAAGGAAGTTTTCTGTCATTATTTCTTCAAACAGGTTTTCTATTCCTTGCTCACTTTCCTCTCCTTCTGGGACCCCTATTATGCAGATGCTATTTCATTTATTGGTGTCCCAAAGTTCCCTTAGGCCAGTGATGGCGAACCTATGACACGCGTGTCAGAGGTGACATGCGAACTCATATTTTGGTTGATTTTTCTTTGTTAAATGGCATTTAAATATATAAAATAAATATCAAAAATATGTCTTTGTTTTACTATGGTTGCAAATATCAAAAAATTTTTATATGTGACACGGCACCAGAGTTAAGTTAGGGTTTTTCAAAATGCTGACACGACGAGCTCAAAAGGTTTGCCATCACTGCCTTAAGCTCTCCTCCTATTTTTAAGTTGTTTTTCCAGTTGCTGCTCTGCTTGGGTATTTTTTCCTACCTTGTTCTAGCTCACTGATGCGGTCCTCCGCTTCTTCTAGTCTACTGTTGATACTTTCTATTGTGTTCTTTATTGCAGTGATGTCATTTTTCATTTCTTCTTGGTTCTTCTTCATTTCCTCTTGGTTCTTACACATATTGTTGAATTTGTCTTCCAACCTTTTCAACGTCCTTATGACCATTGCTCTGAATTCTTTCTCTGACATATTGCTTGCCTCCATTTCATTTACTTCCTTTTCCCATGATTCCTCCTTTTCTTTTGTATGAGGGCTGTTTCTTTGTCTCCCCATGTTCACTCCTCTCAGGGTGTCTGGTTATGTAGCTCTCTCTCTCCTGCGTTGACTTAAAGGCACAAAATACAATACAAGACACAACACACAGGGCACCATGCACAAATGTATTCATGATACCAACAACCCCAAATCCAGGTGACCGCCAGAGAAAAGAAAATTAGGGGAGAGAACAGAATGCAAAAATGATATTAAGAAAAGGAAAAAACGTAAAAGAGAGAAAAAAGAGAAGAAAAAAGAAGGGGAAAAAATATATGTATATGGGGAGAAAACTCCAAAAAACCAACAGCTAATCAAAAAACTGCAAACAACAAACACCCAAACAACAAACACCCAGGTGAATCTGAGGAGGCAGAGCTCTCTCTAGGTGATCTCTGATCTTTCTGTCTATGGATTGCCTCAGCAGCTGTGTTTATTTCACCAATTCCAGGTGGATGTTGTTCGATTCAGCTGTTCCTTCTATCTGCTCTGTGAGAAGGTGCAGGGCTCGTCTGTGTACTTGGTGCTGCTTTGTCTCCCCCTGGGCAAACTTTTTTTAAGTGCCCACGGCTGGGGAGGCTAGAGTCTTGGTGTTCGTGGGTTTGCAGCTGAGGCATCTGGTCCCTGGGCGATGTGGTTGTAGGGTCCCAGGAGGTATCCGAGGTCTCCCCAGTTGAAGGTAAGGCTGGGCTTTCAATCACAGCCGCTCTCCCCTTCAAGATGGTGTGGTCTCTGCGGCAGAGCTGGCTGCTCCAGGAGAGATTTCAGCAGCAATAGAGGCTGCCCAGCCAGGAGAGCCTGGTCCGCCAGTCCCCAACAGTCCTGTGTTATATAGCTATCCCTCACTCACAAATACAGACACTCCCTGTATGTCCACGCACTCTCCTTTCGCTCTCTCACTCACACACTATCCTGCAACCTGCTGTCCTATCAGCCGCCATCTTGGATCCATCTCGATTCTTAAACTTAGATAGTTTTGGCAAATGTCTACTCTGAATTTAACATATGTAAACTGATTTTTAAAAGTTCATTATGATAATTTCTCTTTTATTTTTTTGTTAATCCTCACCCAGATAATTTCTCTTTTAATTTTTAGAGATTAACTGACCTGGCTGCATTAGTTCGAGGCCATCTTTCTAAAATACACAGAAACATCATAACTGCCTTAATTACTATTGATGTACATGCAAGAGACATTGTCACCGATCTTGTTGAAGCCCAGGTACCTGTTTCATTTGAGTAAAATAACATATTATGTCCTGAAACTAGTGCATCTAATATGCATATCATTTTTATCACTTATGTAGGTAGAGGAAGTGGATTCCTTTGACTGGCAGAGACAACTGCGCTATTATTGGGATATAGACGTAGATAACTGTGTGGCTAGAATGGCTCTTTCTCAATACACTTATGGCTATGAATATTTGGGTGCGTGCCCAAGATTAGTTATTACTCCTCTCACGGTAAGTTACTGATCCCTTAGGTTAATGTTGAAACAAGAGTGCTTTATTTTATCAAAAACTAGAGGCCAGATGCACAAAATTTGTGTAAGGGGCTCAGCCCTCGCAGCCGCAGCGGCTGCTTCTGCCTCGGCCCCTGAGGCCTCAGCTTCGTCCGGAAGGTTGTCCGGTCTAATTAGCATATTATGCTTTTATTATTATAAATAGTCTGGAAAAGTTTTCTCTAACATTAACTCTTGAAAGGATTTGCTCTTGACCACATCTTTGTGAAGCCAAGGTTTGCATTAATTCTGTGCCTGGATCTTTGGGTATTTTTCAATTTCTACAAAACCTTTCACAGAAAAGAATGACCTGCCTCCCATAGAAAGGGCAGGACTTATGATTTTGCGGCTAGAATCAGTTCCCTTCAATAATAACAGTTTATCGTTCTAGCTGGTGTGGCTCAGTGGATGGAGTGTCGGCCTGCAGACTGAAGGGTCCTGGGTTCGGTTCTGGTCTAGGGCATATGCCCGGTTGCGGGCTTGATCGCCAGTGGGGAGTGTGGGGGAGGCAGCCAATCAATTATTCTCTTATCATTGATGTTTCTCTCTCTCTTCCTCTCCCTTTCTCTCTGAAATCAATAAAAATATATTAAAATAACAATAATAATAATAACAGTTTACCGATTTCTTCAGGACCGCTGCTACCTATGCCTCATGGGGGCTTTGCAGCTCGACCTGGGAGGTGCCCCAGCTGGTCCTGCTGGCACTGGGAAAACCGAGACTACCAAAGACCTAGCAAAAGCTCTTGCCATCCAGTGTGTGGTCTTTAACTGTTCCGATGGTTTAGACTACAAGGTACGGTCCTGGCATCTGCACCCTCACGTTCAGTGCTTCATGCAGCTTTCTCTACTTGCAGCATGACATAACAAAAGAAGGAGAGAACAGAGTGATGGCAAACAAGAGAAAACTAGTGGGCTAGGGATGGTTACAGTGGAATACATAGAGCAAAGGAGAAGCATCACCATAAGGCAGTCTGGGTGGTCCGGGTAGAAATCAAGGCCAGTGGGGGACTTGTCAAATGCTGGTAAAATTAAAAATGTACTCATGTCAGTAAGTAGAAAGAGGAAAGATGGGTACGTACACAATAAAACAGGGAAACCTAAGAACAAGGAATAAGCTTACAGGACGAGATGAGCTATTCAGAGAATTGTGTATTGAAAATGAAATACATAGGAGGTGAGAATTCATCATTAGATTTTTCCAGGACAGCAGTTGTTGTTTTTGTCAGAGGACCCCTTTACACTCTTAAAAATTATTGAATTCTCATCAGCTTTTGTTTATATATGTGGATTACATCTGTTGCTATTTATTATGTTAGAAATGAAAACTGACACGTTTAAAATATTTATTTTAAAATAATGATAATAAATCTATTACATGTTAGCATAAACATATGATCTGTGAAAAATAACTATTTTCCCAAACAAAAAATTCAGGGAGAATAGTGACATTGTTTTATATTTTTGAAAATTTCTAATGTTTGGCATAATAGACGACAGCCGGATTCTCACATCTACTTCTGCAGTCAGGCTGTTGAGATATGTTATTTTGGTTGAAATAGTTGAAGACAATCTAGCCTCACACAGAGATGTACCCAAAAAAGAGAGGGATATTTTAAGAAGTTCCAGATAATTGTTGATATTCTTCTTTGAAACCACACCAAAACTTGATAAGCAACAGTTTCTTGAAGAGTATTTGCAATGTGAAAATTGAAACCATACCAATGACTTTTTCATAATCTGTAGTCTCGTGAGAAAATGAGAGTAAAAAAAGGCAAATAAGATTTTAATATGACTATGAAAATACTTCTACCTTGCAGAGCCCCCTGAAAGAAACCCTGGGACTTACAGGGTTCCCCAGACAACACTTTGGGAACTGCTCTATTAGCATGTTCATTCCTAATTTGGAAAGTCACACCTCTTAAAAGGTCTAAAGCAGGGGTAGGGAACACCCGGCCCACGGGCCATACAAGGCCCTCAAAATCATTGGGTCTGGCCCTACCAAGGCAGTAGTGGTGAGTTAATTGTTTGACTAAATATAGCAGGCTAATTTTTAAGTTGGCAATTTTGAATGGTCTGCAAATGATGTTATAAATATCTAGATGGCCCATCACAGAAAAAAGGCTCCCCATCCCTGGTCTAAAGGATCGTCAGAAAAAGACAACGGCCATCCTTGTCAATATTCCAGTCAAACATGTGGCAAGAGGAAGACTTCTCACTTGCCACCCCCACCTTACCCCTACCATCGGGAGGAAGGTGGCAGGCACCTCCCCCAGAAGCAGAAACAAGAGAAGGACAAATCATCCATCAGTCTGCATGCAGAGGTGGCTGGCCGTTCGCCGTGGCTTCCTTGGTGGGCTTTTGGGAAGCAGACATGAAGGGAAAGAGAGGAGCTTCCATCTATTAACATTGAGTCTCCTTTCTTTAAATTTTTTTTGTTTTTTACTTTTATTTTTTATTGAGGTATACTTGACATACAACATTATGATAGTTTCAGGTGTGCAACAGAGTGATTCAATGTATTGCAAAATGGTGACCAAAGTCAGTGTAGTTAGCATTCATCACCAAACATGGTTACAGAATGTTTTTTTCTTGTGATGAGAATTTTTAAGATCTATGTTTAAACAATGAGTCTTAAAACTAGAGGAACTTCCATGTCATGATTAATCAGCATGAAAAACAAAATAAAGGCTCTTTTTTTATATGTTAAAAGTAAGTGATTCCAAGCCCTGAGAGCCCACCTGGATCAAAAATCGTCTCTTTAACCTCCCCGGAGCTCTGTGCTTACGTCAGCAAGTTCTGTCCTTATGTCAGCACGTCGTCAGCAGGTGTGATGCATGCCACATAAAATCATTCTGATGGAGAAAAGTTTCATTCTTTTTGTCTTCTGTTGGTGCCACAGGTTTTGGTGTCATTGGTGATCTAGGCCGGGCAGTCCTTGTAACCACTTAGCTGGTTGTGGCCACTTCCCAACTCTGATGACCAGTATCATCGTGAGCTCTGACTTAGATAAACCAACAAACAAAACACCTTCTTGATAAAAACACTCAACATACTAGGAATAGAAGATAACTTCTTCTGTCTGAAAAAAAAAAAAGAGCATGTAAGAAAAACTCACAGCTAACATCTAGTTATTGGTGAAAGACTGAATGATTTCCACCTAAAATTAAGAACAAGACAAGAATGCCTTCTCTCCTCTTTTATTCAACATCGTACTAGTGGCCCTAGGCAGGACACTAATCCCAGAAAATGAAATGAAAGGCATCTAGATTGGAAGGGAAGAAGTAAAATTGTCTCTTCTTATAAATAGCATGATCGTGTATTTTAAAAATCCTGAAGAATACACACACACACAATTAAAACTACTAGTAAACAAAGTTCAGCAAGATTGCAGGATACAAGACCAATATACAGAAATCAATTTAATTCTACGTAAAATAGGAACAAACAATCCAAAAAGAATATTAAGAAAACAATTCCATTAAAATAGCATCAAAAGAACGAATTACTTAGAACTATATTTAACAAAAGATCAGACTTATACTCTGAAAACTACAAAGATGTAGAGCCCCTTAGTTATGGGAAAGACATCAGTAAATATTAATATGTAAAACAGCACCTCCCCAAAGTATGTTACTTAGAATCCTACTACAGCATATGCAGAAAAACACACGAAAAATCTGTGTTCTGCCTCATTTCCCTTTTATATTTTCACATCACAAAGTAGCATGCTAACTATGTTATAAAGTCCCACAATTAGGAGGGAATTTGTTTAGCTTTATTTAATTCAGCAAATCCTAAATGTTTGACCATGGATGCCTTTTGGTCACTAACAGAGCTAATATTCTCACTTTTCTAAAAGTTGAAAGAAATTAAACAGAACCTAAATAAATGGAAACATATCCCACTTTAATGAATTAGAAAACTTCATGTTACTAATATGGCAATTCTCCCCCAATAGATCTACAGATTTAATGCAATCTCTATCAAAATCCCAGCTGGCTTCTTTGCAGAAATGGACAAGCTTATCCTAAAATGTAGTGTATGGAAATTTAGGGGATCCAAAATAGCCAAAGCAGCCTTGGAGGGAGGAAAAGACAAAGTTGGTGAACTCACATTTCCCAACTTCAAAACTTTCTACAAAGCTACTGAGCAATCAGGACAGTGTGGTCACTGGTGGCAAGAGGATAGACAACGGGATCAATAGAATAGAATTAAGAGTTTGGAAATAAGCCTCTTACAGTAAATTGATTTTTTACAAGAGTGAGAAGATAATTTGATGGTCAGTAGTCTTTTCAACAAATAATGCAAAAAAAAATGAAGTTGAACCCCTTTCTCACCCTATATATAAAAACTAACTCAAAATGAATCAAAGACTAAGTCTGTAACAGCTAAAAGAATGAAACTCTTAGAAGACAACATAGGTGTAAGTCTTTGTGACCTTGGATCATGCAATGGCTTCTTAGCTATGACACAAGAAATATAACTAAAAGAAAAATTGGATAGACCAGACATTATCATCAAAATGTAAACCTTTTGCGTTTCAAAGGATAGCATCAAGAATGTGAAAATTCAACCCACAAACTAGGAGAAAATTTTTTACAAATCATGTATCCGATAGGAGGCGTGAATCTAGTACATATAAAGAACTATTAGAGCTCCATTATAAAAAGGCAGGTAATCTAATTTCACAGTGGACAAGGAGTCGAATAGACAGTTCTCCAAAGAAGATAAACAAATGACCAGTAAACACAGGAAAAGATTATCAACATCACCGGCCACTGGGGAACAGAGCAAACTAATCTTACAATGAGACGCCTCATCACACCCACTAGGACAGCTGCAATCAGAGACAGACAATAACAAGTGTTCGCTAGGATGTGGAGAGACTAGAACCCTCAGACACTGCTGCTGGGGTTGCAAAATGCTGTGGAAAACAGTTCAGTGGTTCCTCAAATGTGAAACAGAGTTACTGTAGTACGTAGCAATTCCAGTCCTTGGTATGTTCACTGCCAAGAGAAATGAAAATATATGTCCACGCAAAACACAAATGTTCGTAGTGTCATTATTCATAATAATAAAAAGGTGGAAGTTTCCCAAATGTGTATCAGTTAATGGAGGGATAAACAAAATGTGGAATATCCGTATGGACATTAGGCCTAAAATTAAGGCTCAATATTATATGCTGCTTTAACATCTGGCAAAACTGTGAGGGCCTCAAATGGTCTAACTGTAAGCTCTTCTCTTCATTCTGTATCTAGTGATAAGGTCCCCGAGTCAAGCACCTCTTCTTAGCAAAGGGACGGGGCACGGTGTCTGCTTATTCCTGGCAGGTTTCCGTTCCTTGCCAAACTGCAGAATTATTCAAACAAGCTTATAACATCTTCCTCTGGGAACCAGGGAACAACCCACCTTCTGAATACTACAAAGGCTGCCCCCCATAGCCCCGCAGCCAAGATAAGGAAGCAATTCAAGTCCCCATGATTGGATGATTAAATAAAGAAGAAGTGGTACATATATACAACAGAATATTACTCAGGCATTAAAAAGAACAAAATCTTATCATTTGTGACGACACGGATGGAACTAGAGGGCATTATGCTAAGTGAAATAAGTCAGATAAAGACAAATACCATAGGATTTTACTTACATGTGGAATCTAAAGAAAAAAAATAAATGAACAAACAAAATAGAAACAGACTCATAGATACAGAGAATAGACGAATGATTGCCAGGCGGGAGAGAGGTTTGAGGGACTGGTGAAAAGGGTGAAGGGATTAAGCAGTACAAATTGGTAATTGTAGAATAGCCACATTACAGGGTAGGGAATGCAGTCAATAAAATCTAGATACATGGGCCTGGAGCCAGGCGGGTACTTGAAGAGGGTGAGCGGGCACAGCCACTCCGTAAAGAACATGGTTTTCTAACTTTGCGGTACATCTGAAACCAATACAGAATAATATTGAATGTAAACTATAATGGAAAAAATCCATTTTAAAAACACATTTTGAATTGCCAACGTCAGAATAACGAAGAAGCTTTCACAGTTCACCGTTCACTGACAGGAGCTAAAGGAACGACTTTTATAGAGAAAAGGCAGAAACGAAGCAAGGAGATTATTTGATTGGCTATTTTGTACAAATGCTGAACCCAAAACTTAGTCTCTGAAGAAATGTTCTACTTTAGATGCCCACGTGTGCACATGCGTGCTCCTCCCCTGGTGGGATTCTGCTGCAGAAATTAGAGCCACCGCCTTAACCTGGGCGGCTGCGCTTCCCTCCGTGGTCCGGGTGTTACCTGCCGTCTGCAGTCACTTGTGCAGACAGGGAACGCTGCCATTAGTACCAGTTTTCAGGGTGTTTGTAAGTCCTTAAGTGTGTCGATGCCATGCATTTCTGTGAGAACCTGTCAAGTATTTACACCGGTGAGTGAAGGTTATGAAAAGTGGGAAAGTTGGTCAGATTGTCATTACAGTTGAAATAAAAATGAGCTTCAAATCATTTAAAAAGAGACAGAAAGCTGTTTCCTCTCAGAAAGGCGCCAACTTATGACAGCCCAGGATTCACATAAAACAAATACTTACTTGCACATACTGCCTCTTTCCCTTTTAACATTTCAGCTCAAAATTTAACTTTTGTTGTTGTTGTTAATCCTCACCAGAGGATATTTCCCCATTGGTTTTTAGAGAGAGTAGAAGGAAGAGGGAGAGACAGAGAGAAATATCGATGTGAGAGAGACACATCGATGGGTTGCCTCCTGCACGCACCACGACCAGGGCCAAGGAACCTGCAACGGAGGTTCGTGCCCTTGACCAGAATCGAACTGGGGACAGTTCAGTCCACGGGCTGAGGCTCTATCCACTGAGCCAAACAGGCTAGGGCTCAACATTGAACTTTGAAGGATTCCCCCTTTGTTACACAAAGTTAAACAGGGTAATTTTGATTTCAGATGATGGGACGCTTCTTCAGCGGTCTGGCCCAGTCAGGGGCCTGGTGCTGCTTTGATGAATTTAACCGAATTGACATTGAAGTTTTGTCAGTGATCGCACAGCAGCTCATTACCATTCGGAACGCCAAAGCTGCCAAGGTAAGGCTGGGCAACGCCCCCGAGGCAGCACCTCCAGTGTGTAATTAACCAACAGCCCTTTGCATCTTAGGCAGGAGAGTGCTAACTTGCGCCTGCCTGATGCATGTTTGCAGTGTAATGGGTAAGTACTACAGCGACATGACTTAGCTGGGAGAATTCATTCCTCACGTAGGCAACACAGAAACAAGCGTACGTCGGACACTGTGCTGCCCTGGAACTGTGTTCGTCTTCCCACCCCCAACACACACACACACACACACACATCTCCTACTTCCTTCCTCGCTTTTCTTGTTCTTGCCTTGGACATTTACTTCTCTGCCAGGTTTCTCAACGCTGCTGCTTCTGGGCTCCACTGCCTTCATAATGGCCCCCAGGCTCAGCCTAGTGCTGGTGGAAGGATGGGAGAGGAGTCCTGGGCAATCTAGGGGGACTCAGCTCCCCAGCATCCACTGGACAGAAGCCAAGGAGTGTGGCCCATATGAGCATGTTCCTGGAAAAGGGGTTTATGTTGGGAAGCTGACTGCCGTGAAGTATGGGCCAAGTTTCGTAGTACTCTGTGTTGACTTTCTGAGATACAGTCATGCGATCACCAAAGACTGATGTTCAGACTGTATAAGCCAGAACAGTCTGGCCAGTTATTTAAGTAGCTGCTACCCCAAGATCTTAGAGGGTCCCCCTCCACTACTTTGGCCTCTTCCCAGGGAGCCCTTATGTCATCAGGACCCAGCCGTAGGATTCATGCTGACATAGCACGGGGGCCTCTGGATGCAGCTGTAGCTGCAGGGACAGGGGCCGTTCTTACCGGAAGGTGCCCTGCTAAAGAGCTCTTAGATACAGTGGGGCTTTGACTTACTAGTGTCCCGACTAACGAGTTTTTCGAGATACGAGCCGTCTCTCGGCCGATTTTTTGCTTTGAGTTGCAAGCTAAGATTCGGGTTACGAGCCAGCTTCAGATACCCCACCGCTAGTTGGCGCAGCGAATGTCACAGTGAACGCCACAACATCAGCCCAGCATCACGTGTCTCACTCGTTCACTTTTTGATTTGACATACGAGTAATTTGAGTTACGAGCTCCGTCACGGAACGAATTAAACTCGTAAGTCAGGGCCCCACTGTATTTTGATTATCACCTCTGCAAAAAAAGCAAATTACAGAACAAGTAAAAAGAAAGCAGAAATTGGAATTGAATGAGCTGCTAAATTGTACAAGTTGCTGTACTTTACACTTATTTTACCTCCACATCAAACCTATGTGAAGTACATGGCATTGCCTCAGGTTACTTACGGGTGAAAAGGAATCAAAGAGATTTTAAAATATCTCTGGGAACACCATAGACCTAAATCCATGTGACCTTAAAGTCTGCATCCCTCCAGGTATGTACTCCCTGCCCCTCCCCCCACCCCGATCCTCTGAGGAGGCCTGTATTGAATGCAGGGGCCTCCAGATATACCATAACTCGTAAGTCATTATCACCTTGCTGAGCAGTGACGTGAGAGCAAAGTATGGCGGGAAAGGGAGGAAGGACCAAAGAGAATGGAGGGAGAATGGAAGCCTTGCTGACTGGAGAGTAACCATGTGCAGTTACAGAAAGGTAGGAGGACGTCTGAGACTCCCCAGATCTCACCCTCAGTTTTGCCGGTGGCCAGATGAGATCGTTGGAAAGAGATGCATCCCCTGGAATAGGTGGAGAAACTAAAGCACGGAAACTTGCAAGTTTCAAAAACAGAATCAGCAATTTAGTGGCAGCAGGACTGGTCTCCAGTTGTACCATCCAGCATGTTCTGCTCCAGGATATGACACATCTCCCAGCCCCATTCCAGTCTTGCTCTATATTCTTCATGTTCTTAATAGCGCCTTCATCCCGTGGCCCAGCTAGACCTGGAATTCATCTTGGATTTTTTCCCATTACTGTCAACCCCAGAACTGAAGCCATCAGTCACCAAGTCCGTTTAATTTTACCTGCTAGATGCCTCTTGTCCCTAGTGATAACCCCATAATTCTGGCTCTCATCCTCCCTCTACTAACAATTCCTTAGTGGACCCCCCATCTGACCTCTCCACTGCTATCTTTGACCCTATCACTCTGCTCAAAATTCTTCTCTGCTTCCCCCACCCATAGGACAAAATCTAAATTCCTTAGTCTAGTGCAGTGATGGCGAACCTTTTGAGCTCGGCGTGTCAGCATTTTGAAAAACCCTAACTTAACTCTGGTGCCGTGTCACATATAGAAATTTTTTGATATTTGCAACCATAGTAAAACAAAGACTTATATTTTTGATATTTATTTTATATATTTAAATGCCATTTAACAAAGAAAAATCAACCAAAAAAATGAGTTCGCGTGTCACCTCTGACACGCGTGTCATAGGTTCGCCATCACTGGTCTGGTGTGCAAGATCCCTGATGCTCAGGCCCTGGCCTACTGACACTTTCCTCCTAGAACTCTACCCTTGAGCAGAGTGGATAGCTGGTCATGCCCTGAACGTAGTTTCCTGTTTCTGCTCCCTGTGACTGGAACAGCTGCCCCTGGTTGTCTATGTGAAATGCCTCTCCTCGTTCCTCATTTCTCCAGCAGTCTTCCCTGCTGCTCCTCTGGGCTTTGCTCCCTGTGGCTTTACACACTCCGACACTGTATCATCTATTGCACAGCATGGTCACAGCTTCCAGGTTTGACTCAGCAAGTCCAGGACCTTCTAGGGCTCAGGCATGAGTCTCCTTCAGCTCTCCGCATCCACGCCTAACCCACTGCCTCACCTGCAACAGATGCTCAGCAGGTGTTTGCTGTTGAATGAAAGTGAAGGGATAATTCCAGTGACACTAACAGCTGGGCTTCAATCACCCAAGGATCTAACATCAGATTAGAATTTCTTGGAGAAAACCAGAAAGTGAGGGTGGAGATGTTTAGTGGCCGTTAAGTCTAAGTTGAATTGAGGAGGCTCAGCAAAAGAGGTTGAGGCCTAGAAGATTGCAGGACTGGGTCAAGCAGGAAGAAACTATTGCAGGGGTCCTCAAACTACGGCCCGCGGGCCACGTGCAAATACAAATATTGTATTTGTTCCCGTTTTGTTTTTTTACTTCAAAATAAGATATGTGCAGTGTGCATAGGAATTTGTTCATAGTTTTTTTTTAAACTATAGTCCGGCCCTCCAACTGTCTGAGGGACAGTGCACTGGCCCCCTGTTTAAAAAGTTTGAGGACCCCTGAACTATTGGGCAAGACAGGGGCAGGGAGGCAGAGAGCAGGAAACACTGAGCCCAGAAGAGATTGGTTGGATAGGACAGAACCGGGAGAGAAATGCCCCCTGTTATCCAACAGCAGGATTCATATCTTTTTGCGTGAATGCTCCATTACACACACTTTTTAAAATCCTCACCAGAGGATATTTTTTTCCAGAGAGATGGAGGGAGGGGGAAAAGGGGGAGAAAGAGAAAAAAAAAAACATCGCCATGAGAGAGACACATAGATTGGTTGCCTCCCGCACGCAACCCCACTGGGGCCTGGCAACCTGCAACTGTGGTGTGCGCCCTTGACTGGGAATGGAACCCAAGACCCTTTTTCTGTGGGCCAATGCTCTAACCACTTAGCAAACCAGCCAGGGCTCCATTACACACATTTTGACTCCAGTACTAATCATGTGAAAGAGTTTACAGATGTCTGGAGAAGTGTTAACTTATCCTTTCTCTTTCCTTTAAACAGCTCTCTAGATTCATGTTTGAGGGGCGGGAAATAAAGTTGGTTATGACTTGTGCAGCCTTCATCACAATGAATCCCGGATACGCAGGCAGGACTGAATTGCCAGATAACTTGAAAGCCCTGTTCAGACCTTTTTCAATGATGGTTCCAAATTATGCCTTGATTGCAGAGGTGAGCTTCGCGTTATAAACCAGGAAAAATTTAAGCTTATTTCTTTTATTTTTTATTGAAGTAGAAAGTTTTCTTTATGAATGCACCCTGGCAAATGTATCATTGCTTACTTATAAGAGTAGATATGATTATCACTTAGAATGTTTTGTTCTCTCTGTGTGTGTGTGTGTGTGTGTGTGTGTGTAATGCCTAGAATGGTACAGTGGAGCCTTGACTTACTAGTTTAATTTGTTCCAAGACCGAGCTCGTTAAGGAATTCGTTAACTCAAATTACTCTATCAACTCAATGCAAAAAATCGGCCGAGAGACAGCTGGTATCTCAAAAAACTCGTTAGTCAGGACACTCGTAAGTCAAGGCCCCACTCTATTTGGAATATAGTAGGTCCTTAAATCGAATGAATCGATGAGTTTAATTAAGCAGTTCATTGGGGTTTATCAGTTCATCTCTAGAAATTAAAATGTCTGGAGTCATTCTAGAAATACTATATTGTTCTCACTTCTTGGGCATCTATAATAATAAAAGCATAATATGCAAATCGACCAAACAGCAGAACGACATCCGGATGACCTTCCGGATGACCAAGCTATGACACGCACTAGCACCAGGCCAGCCAAGGCGGGTGAAATGCGATTGGTCAGGGGGGCCCCACCATCGCCCCATGATCGCCCTGTAGAGGAAGGCCCAGGCCACCCTCTGCAGAGCAATCGATGGAGGGGCTCTGCGTTCGATCACGCCAAAGAGGGAGGCCCAGGCCACCGGCCGGCAGGGCTATCGATTATGGGGGTGGGGGGAACTCCACAATCGCCCCACAGAGAGAGGCCCAGGCCAGCCAAACGATCGCACCCCACGCCTGTTGCCCACAGAGGGAGGCAACCGGTGGTGGGGGTGGGGTGGCAGTGCTACCCAGATGGCAAGCAATGGCAGTGGCGGGGCAGGACCAGCTGCCAGCAGCCAGGGGAAGGAAAGCCCTGACAGGCCCTGATCACCAGCCAGGCCTAGGGATTCTACCCGAGGGGTCCCGGATTGCGAGAGGGTGCAGGCAGGGCTGAGGGTCACCCATCCCCCCCCTCCCCGCACAAATTTTGTGCACTGGGCCTCTACTTATTTTATGTTAAAGTCCAGGGATGTTGAGTTGCAGCAATGCTGGTGAAGGGTGGAGGGTGGACATTGGTATGTAGGTCTGTATCAGCTTAATAAAAAATAGTCATCATTAATACATTAAATATTTGTATTGTATTTATTCTTTCTGTGTCTATCTAGGAATCTTTCCATTTAAACTGATTTTTGTTTCTTCATACTAGCTAAGAACCAATGTGACTTCTTGGCACTTTTTGCAAAGGGATAATTTACAGATAGAAAAGCGCACAGATCATAGGAGTACAACTCAGGGAACTCTTACACATGGATTCACTGGTGTGACCATCCAGACCAAAATGTGGGACATTTTCAGGACTCCAGATGGCCCCTTGTGCTCAGCACTGCAGTTCATGACAAGGAACTCCACCCCGTTTAGAAGTTTCCCAGAAAGCACAGATTACCCTGTGGCTAACAGTTCTTTTGATAACAGCTCATTTAAAATATTTCTTTATATGAAGTAAAAGTAATTACCTAAAAATAGAATAAGCCATGCCAAATCCTATCATTAGAAGAATTAAAACTTTTATTAGTATAATGCTTACATCATCACAGTTTCCAGGTTTGACTCAGCAAGTCCAGCAGCTTCTAAAAGGACCCAGGCATGAGTCTCCTTCAGCTCTCTACATCCACGCCTAGCCCACTGCCTCACCTGCAACAGATGCTCCTGAGGTCATGGTGGGGTAGAAGACTGTTAAGGCAGAACATGTCTTCACTAGATCCCCTGTGGACAGGGACAATGAATGACTTGCTCATTGTCCAATGATGGCAGGAAAGAAACCAGTTTTGGAACTCAATCCACCATTTTGTTCACATCTCATGTTTCATCCTATTGATTATCAGTAATTAATTGAAGACATTTAAAAAACCCAGTCTACTGAGTGCTATTCCTATCATTACAGATCGAATGAGTCAGGATCTGCCATCAGTAAATGTTCTTAATTGCCTGCAGTGTGCAGAGCTCTGTGCTGATAGGAAGCTAGACTGAACAAAACAGGCACCAGTAAGAAATCTCTGCATCATCCTAATCCCAATTCCGAGGCCAGCAGCAGTGATTCGGGTAGATTGTGGATTGGAGGAAGGGTCCACACCCCCTCCACTGTTGTTACGGATTTATTAGCCACGGCTGCAGAAACTTGTCCCAGGCAAGGCAGCCTCCTAGGGTGGGGGAGAGGCTGCAGATCTTTGTGTACTTTCCCTAGACTCCCGGGGAGCCTACACCTTCAGATGTGAGAGGCTCAAGTCTTTTCTTTTTTTTTTAATATATTTTATTGATTTTTTACAGAGAGGAAGGGAGAGAGAAACATCGATCAGCTGATAGAGGCTCAAGTCTTGCTTTTGTACTCAGGTCTTATACCACCATCCGGCCTCCACGATGTGAACATTTGCAAGCTGTGGGCTCTCCACTCTTCGAATCAAGTGTCACTAAGGCCACATTTCCATCAATACAAAGGAAGCAGAATCAGGGCTCAGGCCTCCCCATACAATGTCCCACCTTCTACCTCCTTGTGGCATAGAAAACCCTTTTCCCCTCAATCTTTACTACATTTCTTTGTTAAATGATGTGACAACTTGGAGAGCTGTGGTGTCTAATGTAGATTTTGAAGACATTGGTATTATGCTGACATATTTTTGTCAATATAATGTAATAACATGACGTAATATTTTTTTCTAGGTAATTCTATATTCTGAGGGATTTGAATCCAGTAAAATATTAGCAAGAAAAATGACTCAGATGTATAAGCTTTGCAGTGAACAGCTCTCTCAGCAAGATCACTATGACTTCGGCATGAGAGCCGTGAAGTCTGTGCTGGTCATGGCTGGGTAAGAAACCAAGGCGGCCAACAGCGAAACGTCAGAACATGCCATCATACGCGTTCTGTGGGCAATTCACAAACAGCTCTTAAAGTCACATAGGAAGGATTAATAAGTGTCAGCTGCTGCTGTTGTCCTCATTCTTACCTCAACACTCCCATTCACAGCGAAATGGGCATCTCTGCTCATCCCGTGACAGTTCTTACTGTGTGTCTTACATGGCTGTCCCCAGACCAGACCTGAATCTAGACTGGGCTTCGGAGAACTTTCATTTCCCCTGAACTTGTCACATACACTGGGCTTGAGTGTGCAAAAGCTTTTCCCAACATAAGATCGATGACTCCACTTAAAAGGCATACGGTTGTTATGCATATTCAGCAATTAAGTCAGACCTATCACCTGACAAAGCCTGAAGCATTCGGAACACTTCCGTTTTAATCTATCATTTGTCCAGGCTCTTGGTCCAAGACTTCACCTCTGTCCTTACAGTATGGTCCAAGGCGGAGCTGCTTCCTAGTCTCTGATAAAGCACGAGTCTTTTCTCTTTTCAGGCCCCAACTTCTCCCTTCAGATCTTCTTGAAACTCCTGCCTCTGGAATCTCCAGGTTGGCCGGAGTCTCTAAGGACTATTTCCTCTCTTGTCCTTCCTCTCAGGCCAAGATTTGCTAGTCTGGATTCTGTACCTCCAGGGCCCTTCAGCCTGGCTCCTGTATCCTTGGGTTTTCCACAAATATCTCTGCCCTTCCATAAACTCTGTCCTTTCTTTGAAAGAGTTTCAAAGAAAAAACAGACGGTATGGAAAGATATCTGTGTTTCTTCTTTACACAGGATTGATACTTAAGGAGACTGCTAAGACTACTTAGAGAAAGACTGCTAAGACCTCAACTGCAGCACAGTGAGCAAGACAGAAAAATGAGCAATTATCTAGGATACGATGTCGTGAGGGGAACCATAGGGCTGTGCCCAAGGTTTGCCATGAGGGATGGAGGAACCTTCTAGAGGAGAGAGTAATTGGGTTGGGTTTGAAGGGTAAATAAGAGCCAGCAAAGGAGCCGCGCAGGGTGTTCTGGGCTGAGGTAACAGAAAGTCACAGGGATGTTCATCATCATGATGCATCCAGGGGTGCAAGCAAATTCAGGGAGGATTGATGCGAGAGTTTGAGAAAAAATGTCCTTGTCATCGTCCTCAAGGCTGTGTAGCCTGTGCCTGACTCCTGCGCATGCTCTGATGGAGCTGGACACTCGGGATGAAGGGGACACGCTTCTCCCCTTTCAGCAGGAACCTGCAGCGGGGCCCCCCTCTCCCGCCACAGCCCATGGGTTTGGAAAATCACGTTCAATACTATGTTCTCACAAATGTCATCTGAATTATCCTTTTACATTTAGGTCTTTAAAAAGAGAGAACCCAGATCTAAATGAAGATGTGGTGTTGATAAGAGCACTGCGAGACTCCAACTTGCCCAAATTCTTAACAGATGACGCCGTTCTGTTCAGGTAAGTTTCTAGATGTTACAGAATAAAGCATAGCTGCTGTGTAGAGGTCATGGATAGTCTCATCTGCACGCATGTCTGTCTCTAACAGGGTAATAACTCATCGTTTCTAGAGATACTTATTGTCGTTTTAAAAAACACTAGTTTAAAATAAAGGCACTAGCCCTAGGCAGTTTGGCTCAGTGGATAGAGTGTTGACCTGCAGACTGTAGGGTCCTCCTGGGTTCGATTCTGGTCAAGGGCATGTACCCCAGTTGCAGGCTCTGGCCCTGGTCAGGACACATGCGGGAGGCAACCAATTGATGTGTCTCTCTCACATCGATGTTTCTCTGTCTCTCCAAAAATCAATGGAAAAATACCGTCGGGTGAGGATTAACCCAAATAAATAAATAAATTAAATTAAATAAAGGCACTAAAATTTTATTAGCCATCCAATTATTTGTGGTTTTTTCCAAAATATTGATCATCAGGCTGTGTGCTATATAAATTAGAATTGGTTATGAGTTCCTGACCTAAGAAATTTCCCAACACCCCCCCACAAGAAATCAGATTTGAGCTTAACAAATGTGATTGCTTTTATCTATGTATTTCTACTTCTATTAAGTAGTTTTATGTTTATCTAAGACATACATGTAGTAGTTTTCAAAATAAAATAATGTCATAAATTAGTCTCATGAAAAGCAGTGGTTCCCTGCCTTTCACCAACTTACCAAAGGCAAATCATTTTTCCATTGATTGATCGATTCATTCATTCATTTTACTATTTCCCTTCATATTTGTAGTACCATGTTTTTTACATTTCTTGATTTTTCAGTTTTAGATATTACCCATTATGCACATGCAGCTCTTCCCTTAGACCCGCCTTCTCCGTGTAGTCATATTGCAATATAACCTGAGCAAAATATCTAGGATTTCAGTGCTTTATCATAGCTATGTAAACATTATCCACTGCTGAGCTATAGTTTCATTATTAAATTATCTAGCTTTTTATTTTCCCTTCATTTATTACCATCATTCTTATTTTTCATTCCTTTACTTATTTCCTATAAACTTATCATTAATTTGTCTCCAAATTCTACCAGAGTGTAAATACCCTAAAAGCAAACAAATAAACAATTGAAATATTCTATTGAATTTGCCTCTTTGGAGCCCTCTGTCCTGCTCTAATCTGGGCTGCTTACCCATGACCCCTGGTGCAGATCTCTTATCAGGGATGTCCATTGATGACTGTGCTGGGATTTCCTTTGCCCTTGTCTTCTATCAGTGCCCTGGTTTCTCAGAACATGTCTCCTCCTTTTGGTAGGACACAATGATGACAATGTCTCTGCATTTATCTTTGCACAGTTATGATATTTCTATAATTGAGATTCCAGGAAGTTTGCTAGGTCATAGGGTAAGAGGCATTTTTAATTTAGTTAGTCTATCAAGATGGCCTCCAAAGACATTTTACATTTATATAAATGGTTTTATGAAAATGCCCATTTCCCTTTAAGTATTTTAATGAGAGACCAAAAGTCTTTAATGCATGCATTTCTTTAATTATTAGTATCATTTCTTAAGTTCATGAGTCATATATATTTATTATTCTAAGAACATTTTTTCTATTTTACTCTTTTACTTATTGATTTTTGGGGAGTCATAAATTCTATCTAGTATAAGAATTGGAAATATTTCTCCATCATTCATTCTTTAAGTTTGTATATAAAACCTTTTATCTTGCAGAAGATTATTTTTACTCATTTTTTTCTACTTTATCACCATTTTTTAGTTATAGATTTGCTATCTTTCTTAGAAAGACCTTCTTACCACAGTGGTACAAAATTCATCTCTTATATTTTTATCTAGTACCAGTGTGGTCATTTTATATTAAGGTCTTTACTGTATCTCAAATGCATTTGTGTATATAGTGTAAACTAGGTTTTAGCTTCTTTCTTACCCATAGAAACACACCACATTAACTGTTTCCCGCAGAAAGTCCATTTTTCCTTTACTCCCTTTTTTACCTAGTACTAGTTTTCTATTTTTATTTCCATATTATTTTTCTGAGTGTACATATACAGTTATAAGTACATATGTGTGCATCTGGGAAAAGTTGAGTTAGAAATATGATATTAGAAATAATGCCCTGACTGGTTTGGCTCAGTGGATAGAGCATCGGGCTGTGGACTGAAAGGTCCCAGGTTTGATTCCAGTCAAGGGCATGTACCTTGGTTGCGGACACATCCCCAGTAGGGGGTGTGCAGGAGGCAGCTGATCGATGTTTCTCTCTCATCGATGTTTCTAACTCTCTATCCTTCTCCCTTCCTCTCTGTAAAAAATCAATAAAATATATTTTTTTTAAAAAAAGAAAAGAAATAAACTTCGCCTTGACACTACACCATCTACTGTGGACAGTACAGAAACAAGAGATATTGCTTACCTCCAAAGGCTCCCAATATACTTAAGAACATTGGTCTACAGTACAAGAAACAAGCAAAATCAAGCACAATATCAGAGAAATTATAGATTCTGGTATACAACTTAGGATATACTAATACTGTGCGTGTTTAGAAGAAAAGATCAGTGAGAAAAATAAGATTCATTTTAATGTTTAATTGGTTATTTGTAACAAATATGGGGAAAACTCAATGACCAGTGGTTCCTAATTGATTTTATTTTTTAAATTTCAGTGGAATCATATCTGACCTTTTCCCTGGAGTCCAAATTCCAGAACATGATTATGGTATATTGCAGTCAACAATTATAGATGTCATGAATGGGCAAAATCTCCAGCCTGAGACATGTATGGTTAAAAAGGTGATACAGTTCTATGAAACTATGCTGGTAAGGCATGGTGTGATGTTAGTTGGGCCAACCGGAGGTGGCAAGACCACAGTTTACCGAATACTTGCAGAAACTTTAGGGAATTTAAGAAAAATTGGTGTAGACAATCCCTTTTACCAACCAGTTAAAACATATGTTCTTAATCCTAAATCAATTACAATGGGCGAGTTATATGGCGAAGTAAATAGTGTAACCTTGGAGTGGAATGATGGTTTGATGGCACTGAGTGTCCGAGCAGCTGTGCAAGACACTTCAGAAGACCATAAGTGGATCATCAGTGATGGGCCAGTGGATGCTCTTTGGATTGAAAACATGAATACAGTGTTGGATGATAACAAGATGCTTTGCCTGGCTAACAGCGAGAGGATTAAACTCACACCTCAAGTCCACATGCTTTTTGAGGTAAATATGTTATTGAGAAGTTGGGGTATTCCTTTCCCCATTGAGTGCTGGGGGCAGAGTCCTCACAATATCTCCAGAAAAAAGAATTTTCTGAGACTCGTGCAAGAGAATTACATCCTTGGGTCTCCAAAGTCCCATTTCCCTAAATCCAGTTATAGAAGAAGTGTGGAAGCAAAGCCAGCGTCCAGAGTTTCCATTCCATGTTGCAGCCGGGTCCAGTTCATCAGCAGGCGAGTGACAGTCCATTAGTCCCGTGTGTGTGTGTGTGTGTGTGTGTGTGTGTGTGTGTGTGTGTGGGCAGGGGGGGGCGGGAGGTCCATATGGCTGTGGGCCAGGTGGGCGAATGCAGGGGTCCCAAGAGAGCACACCCCCTGCAACAAGATCCCAAGGGCACAAGAGCAACAAGAAAGGCACACTCCTTTGTTTAGGGAACTAAATATCCCAAATTTCACACCCTAGAAGTGGCCACGCCCACCAGGTGTGACTAACAGTGAGCACCTTCACTAGCCCGGCCGCGCCACCCCCCCCCCCTCAACTTTATTGGGCATGCATCTATCCTTTCTCTGTTGGGCCTCTGGGAGTGTAAATTTGTAGCTTCCTGATGAAGCTGCCCAAATGGCATGCCTATAATCTTTGGCCTTCCTTTTGCTCCTTTCCTGTTATTAACAACTAGGTTAATTACAACAGTATCAAATATATATGCCATGCTGTGGAGTGAAGCAATCATTTGTTAGATTGGCATACCACTATAATTATTTTCTCATGCTGATGTATCACTGACTATCTGTAAGGTCCAGCATGGTGTTTTGTTTATGTACCAAATACTTACAATAGTGTCTTTTTGTAATGCATTGTCCATCCTGACGGCCTAAGTCTCTCAAACATTCCTGTCTCTCTATAAACAGGAAGTACAATAAATTCAGGCTTCACCAGCACTTGTTTCTTTTCCTTTGGAAGAATTTCATATATATAGATGAATTCGCATGATTTGAAAGGTACTTAAAGTGAATAAATTACCCCAGCGAGGTATGAATATTTGATGGAGGGTTTGAAAGAGAAATGTGGATCAATTATAGTGACAAAATACTATGGAAGATGATAGCCCTCGTGTATTCATTCATCAAACATTGATTGAATGCCTACTACATGCTAGGTGTTAGACTAGGTGTTGGTATAAGAATGAAACAAGGAAAAAGAGAAAAGAGAAGGAATTTGACAGTATCCTCCTATAATTATGGGGGTTTTCCACCTTATCCTTCACTTAACATTTCTTCCCTATATCTGATTACTTATAGCTCTCCCTCTGTTTCCCATCTAAAGCCTTTCAGCATTAAACTTTGAATTTATGATTCATTAACATTGAAGGTGCAGTAGTAAGGAAATAATCGTATTAGCTGTTTCCTGTTCAACTTTCTTCAATTTTAGGTGCAAGACCTAAGGGTTGCCTCTCCTGCTACAGTCAGTCGATGTGGGATGGTGTTTGTGGATCCTGAGGAGCTGAAATGGATGCCTTACGTTAAAACCTGGATGACGGGTATTTCTAAAAAAGTGAGTGTCTCCATCTGGGAGGGCTCACACTTCCCTTGAGTGCCCACACTGTAATAACACAAGGCTTCATTGTGCTTGATGGAGGGGGTTCTCCAGAAATGTTTATATTCTCCCCACATCCGCCCTCGTTATATATGACCTCAGCCTGCCAGTCTGCCTGGTCGCTCTGGCCTCGGCCTGCTCTGCCTGGCCTCTGCCCAGACTCGTTCCTCTCAAGGACAAACACAAACCACTTCCCTGACTCCTCCAAAACACAGCTAGAAAAGGCTGGGGCATTGCAGAGGATGACACAAGGCTTGAGATAATGAGAGGGGTCACAATGAAGAAGAGGACATTTCAGTCCATGTACCAGCTGTCATCATCTTTAGATCTTAGGGAGCTATAGCACCTCCGAGAGCCAGAGAGAAGAGAAAACCACTTCACCTCCCACTCGGACGTAGGTCATGACCCCAGACACATTCTAACCTCAGAAGTACCATGCCACCCCAAGTGAAGAAAGGCTCTTACATTGTTACTCACAACAGCTCAAGTCCATATTACCTTCTTTAACAAGCCATCTTTTGAAGTATTTTGCCCCATCCCAGTCCCCACTCCAACATCTTGCATTGCTGTGGTGCATTTGTTAAAATTGATGAATCCATATCACCAATGCATCATTGATATTGATATATTATTGGTGTGTCAATATTGACACATTATTGATACATCATCAATAATGTTGCATTGATACATTAACTAAAGTCTATCATTTGCATTAGGGATTATTCTTTGTGTTGTATAATTCTATGGATTTTACAAATGGATAGTATCATGTAGCCATGCCTATAGTTTCAGAGTAGTTTCACTGCCTTAAAAATCTCTGCTCAGTCTCTTCATCTGTCCACTCTCCCTCAACCCACCGACCATTGAGTTTTACTGTCTCCATAGTTTTGTCTTTTCCAGAATATCATGTAGTTGGAATCATATAATTGGCTTTTTAAATTTAGTAGTATGCCTTTCTGTAGTGTAATAGCTCATTTCTTTTTATCCTGGAATAATATTACATTGTAGAGATTTACCAAGTTTATTCATTCACCTACTGAAGGATATCTCAGTTGCTTCCATGTTTTGGCACTTCTGAGTGACTATAGTTTACACTGCTGTATGACATATAGAAAAGTTAAGAGAGTGGATCCTAAGAGTTCTTACTTTCTTTTTTATTGTATTTATTGTGAAATGATAGATGTTAACTAAACTTTTGTGCTAATCATTTCACAGTACAGTTGATCCTTGAATAACACAGGTTTGAATTGTGCAGGTCCACTTACACGTGGATTTTTTTCAATAAATACAGTCGGTGTCTTGTATCCATGGGTTTTGCATCTGGGGATTCAACCAAATGCAGATCAGCAGCAGTATTTTCCCATTCCCAACCGTAGATTCCCAACCACTGATTGAAAATACTGGTGTTGACCCACAGTTGGTTGAATTAGCCATTGAATTTTCAGCTATGTGGGCATTTGCACTGCATCCCCATGTTCAAGGCTCAACTGTATATATAAATCAAACCATCATGCTGTATGCCTTCAATTAATACAGTGATGTATGTCAGTATTTTCAATAAAACTGGAAAAAAATTAAAACCAAAACATAGTTCCTATAAACATCCGTGTTCAGGTTTTTGTGTGGACTTAAGTTTTCAACTCATTTGGGTAAATACATAGGAGTGTGATCGCTGGGTCATATGGTAAATCTAGGTTTAGCTTTGTGAAAATCCACCAGGTTCTCTCCCCTAGTGGCTGTGCCAATTTGCATCCCCCCACCAATGAATGAGCGTTCCTACTGCTCCACATCCTCACCAGTGCATGGGGGTTTTGGTGTTTTAGTAGATATTTTTTAATGTTTTCTCTTATGGTTCTTCTTTTTCATATTCTTAATTGTGGGAGATATCAATATAGAAGACTGCATGAAATACATATTGGCAGTTTAACGAGTGATCATAAAATCAGCACTTGTGTACACATTGCTAGATCAAGATGTAAGACATTATCAGCTACCCAAATCTTCCCAGGTGTCCTGAGTCATAGGAGGCTTTTAAATTTTGTATTCATTTTATATCTTATTCTATTTATACCCTTTAGTCTAAAAGTCACAAAGTGCATTATAAGGTCAATGGGGGAAAAAAAATGAGACATATGTACTACTATTTGTAATACTTTAAACAATAAAATAAAATTTAAAAAAAAGATGTAAACCAACCCTTTTCTAAACTTAATTACATATTTCATCTGGTCTTGCTAAAATATTATTTGTTTGTTTTATTTTCAGCTGAATGAGGAAACCCAAGAATTTTTATTGAGCCTTTTCCGTTATGTTGATGATGGTTTAAATTTTATCAATAAAAAATGCAGCCAAGCGATCCCGCAAGTAAACATTAGCAAAGTGACTACACTCTGTTGCTTATTGGAGTCGTTGATATTTGAGAAAGATGGAATTAATTTCTCAATGGTATGGAAGGTTTTATTACTTCAGTAAAGCTAGAAAATGAGATTATTGTATAGCTCCTTTGCAAATAAATAACTCCAAATTTTCTGTAATATGATCAGTTTTCAAGTTAACTTCTCAGGGGTCTAATGACTATGAGTAGATTAATAGAAGCTAAAAGTTGGAAGGAGTGTTAGAAAGCCTATGGTTCACTCTTATACTCAATTCTTAAATTCCCTTACAGTCTACAACATACTCCTAATATGTGTCTGTCAGCATCTGCTTAAATACTATCATGCAGGCATAAACAGAGTTATAATGATCAGTTGAAAAACAACCTTGAGATTTTTTTTTTTTGGACACTCCTTGCCATTCACTTTCTCATCAGAGTATTTAACTTTGTACTACTATAAAACATCACTTTGTGAACCATTAAATTAAATATAGGAAACATATGCTGTGCCCTTTTTAATTTTTTTTCTTTATTGATTAAGGTATTACAGATGTGTCCTTAAACCCCCTTTACCCCTGTGGTGTCTGTGTCCATTGGTTAGGCTTATATGCATGCATACAAGTCCTTTGGTTGATCTCTTTCTTAAATGTATGAGTCTACACACACACACACACACACACACACATAACCCACAACAGTCTTTTGATTTTGCAGTGTAGGATTCTTTTTATGTTAATGTAAAATATTAAAAGTCTTTCTCTTTGTTCTTTCAGGAACAAACAAAACTGAACACAATGCTATGTCAGACTTTTATATTCTGTTATTTATGGTCTTTGGGTGGAAATCTAACTGAAAACTACGCGGATTCTTTTGACACATTTATTAGAACACAGTTTGATGACAATCCTGATGCCAGGGTAAGAGCCAAATAAATTTAATTTTAACATATTAGTTCTAAATCATTAAAACTGAACTTCAAGACTAAAACCTTAAGAGCCTTAGTTCTACTGCAAATATAAATTCTTCACTGAAAAAAATTTCTAAAATCACTCACTTTTCTTAACCATGGAAAACATTTATTGCATTAAATTTTTAGGAGTCCTCTCCTGTCCATATAAAGAAATTAATGTATAAAACTATAAAAAAATCCATACTATAAATGAATATTGAATTCCAGTTAGTAAACTTATCCTTCACAGTGTTATGGTGTAGCTATTCTGAACCTACTTTCTGTACATTCTAAGATTGAGCAAATGAATAAATGTGCTGAGGATAATGGAAACAGGTTTCTCACTGTTGGAGAAGGGATTTGCAGATATGGAATGCACACTGTGTTATTATATTACAATCAGAGATATTGGTGCTCATGGATTCAAACATATGAATATATATATATATATATATATATATATATATATATGCATATGCATATATATATACAGTGGGGCCTTGACTTATGAGTGTCCCAACTAACGAGTTTTTCGAGATACGAGCCGTCTCTCAGTCAATTTTTTGCTTTGAGTTGCGAGCTAAAATTCGGGTTACGAGCCAGCTTCAGATACCCCACCGCTAGTTGGCGCAGCGAACTTCACAGTGAATGCCACAACATCAGCCCAGCATCACGTGTCTCACTCGTTCACTTTTTGATTTGACATACGAGTAATTTGAGTTACGAGCTCCGTCACAGAACGAATTAAACTCGTAAGTCAAGGCCCCACTGTGTGTGTGTGTGTGTGTGTGTGTGTATTGCACAATGCATAAATTTCATAGCTCTGCATGCTGAGAGGAAATAGAAGCAATGACACCTCCATGGCAGTGAGCATACCCAGATGCTAATTCCTAAATACTGTTCTCCACAAAAGAGAGCTGAGACTCCTACGTGAAAACAACAGCTTATTCCAGGACTGGGGCAGGGAAAGTGCAAGTGAGACCAGAACATCCTCTTATTCAGTCAGATACTGAAGAAGCGCTCCAGGAATGGCAGGACATGGCAAAAGAACCCTGGAGCCAGTTTGGAGGGGTTCCCACTGGTCACATCTGGGCAGATTTCAGCATCAAAATAAACAATGATAGCCTTGAAAGACAAAAGATATTATGTTATACCTCAAAAGCTATTTTTCCTTAAAAATAGAATAGAAAATAGAGTGAATTGCAGATAGCAGGTGTAAATATCACACATACTTGCACACACACATATACTAGTCTGTATGTACTAGGTCACCTTGTCAAATGGATTTCTTACTGAGTCACTGTCAAATCTTGAAACACCACTGCTCTGTACAGCTACCAGAATGAACCTTCTGAAATGCAGTCGAATCCTGTCACCCACCTACTGAGAATCCTTCACTGAACTCTTGCTCCAAACTCTAAAAAGTGAGGCTTTTCATAACCTGGCTCCTGTCTGTGTTCCCGGACTCATGTCTCACTGTGTGCAGTGCTCTCATCGTTCCCAATACACGTAGCACTTTCCATGACTTCAGCCTCCTGACCTGTTTTCTAAACCCGACTCCTGACCCCTGACGCCCTCCTTCCCCACCCCCACCCCCCACCCCATTCCTTCTCTTCCCATCTGACTCTTGCTTGTCCTTCAAGTCGGAGCTGTGCCATCCCCACCTCTTAGAAACCTTCTTAAATCTTCAACCACCCTGCAAATAGAAATGAGCCATCTGTCCTCTGTGGACGTACTAAAGTCCATTAGAACCCCCTTTTCTCTGTGGGTAATAACTAATGTCCTTGTGTCCCCCATGTGAAGTTCAGGGTCACTGAAGGCAGAGTCTGGGTCTCGCTCAGCACTTGACCCCAGCACCAAGCACAGTATTTGTCATAAGTAAACCCCTGAATGTTGAATTGAATTGAAAATGCTTTACCATTCTAATATGGGGTTTTAATACAATCAGCATGTCAGACTTTTTTATGCATTGTGTTGCATGACTATGTTTAAAGAATTGAACTCTGATACTGAAACAACTACTTCTCTACAGAGAAAAAAGAAATCCAAATCCATTCCTGTTCCATGATTGCCTTTGTTTATGCATGCACATTTCCTATCGCCAATGGCGCTTAATTTGACACTTTAGCTTCCCAGTTCTGGCGATCTGTGGAGCATTTACATGGACTTCGATACCAAACGGCTGGACCCCTGGGAACGAATCATACCCTCCTTCAAGTACAGCCGAGATGTCCCGTTTTTTGAAATGCTTGTCCCCACAGTTGACACAGTGCGCTTCGGGTATCTAATGGAAAAACTACTGGCGGTCAGGCACTCGGTATTATTTACTGGGACGACTGGAGTTGGCAAGGTAGGAAACCTTCCGCAAACAAGGTCTCCCCCCAAAATGAGGGTGTGGCGGACCTAGAACTGTAAGCCCCATACATAACACATTATTTCTCAAGGAAAATTGCTGTGGATTTTGATTACTTTTTCAGAAAGAATGTCACTGTGCTGGCTCTGTACTGACCTCGGGAATTACTCTAGTTGGCCAGTTTCTGAATAAATTCCTAATGTCAATACTGTATAGACCAGAGGATCCTGGGGACCAGTGTTTGGTGTTTGGAGGCTTTTATGTTGCATCCCTTGGAATTTCTGGGGCTGCCACTGCATAGATGAGGGTGGGAACTGGCCAAGCAGTTTGTGTCCCCAAATAGACTATTGATGAAGGCCAGTCTATTTCCTCCTGCCTGGTTCCTTCTACCTCACATAGCAACAACATTTAGAAAAAGTAGAGTATATAGGGGAGAATGCTGATTGATTGGGTGTCCACGTAAACAGATATTCACTGTTTCCTCTCTAAATTATTTCTGAAAGAAGTTTGGGTCCTGTGGTTCTTGCTTTTGAATTAATTGACTTGGATAGCAACCAAGATGTATTTTGGTTTGAAACTAAACTAAAAGCTTTTTGCTGAGATAGAGCTGATTAGAACATTTCTTTGGCTCTAGGAGATATAATTACATGGAATCTCCAGGAAAAGAAAGACACATTTCAATCTGGTTCTACCCTCTCTCCTTTTATCCTATTCCTTACTCATTATAATGAATTACTACTGATAAAGACAATTGAAAGTTATTATATTGAATGTGACATCATTAACGTTTGTTTAAATTTGAAGTCTGTTATTGCAAAAGGATTGCTAAATAGAATTCAAGAATCAGCTGGCTATGTTCCTGTTTATCTAAATTTTTCTGCTCAAACTTCATCTGCAAGAACGCAAGAGATCATTGAATCAAAACTGGAAAGGAAAAGAAAAAATATTCTAGGTAAGAATTATCATTTTCATTTGTCTCACCCAAATTAAGTTAATAAGTAACAAAAACAGGGCATGTAATAATTGGATATTTTCTTTGCTTAATTTAATTGTTAATATGATTTTGTTAATGGCATTCTTTCCTGTGCTAATATATCTAGATACCTTACTGTTAACAAGCATGATAGTTTACTTCTATCATCATCTTCAACTCACATCTTCAGTCTCTGCCTCTCCCTGGCTCTTCCCCTCTCTACTCATGCTCTGCTTTTAAACCTGCACTAATGCCCCTTTATTTTTTTTATTCATCTCTGTGTGTTATTTATTTATTTAATAACTAGAGGCCTGGTGCATGAAATTCGTGCGGGGGGGGGGGGGGTGGCGCTGTCCCTCAACCCAGCCTGCATCCAATCTGGGAACCCTCAGGGGAAGTCCGACTGCTCTATGGGATCAGGGCTAAAACAGCAGTCGGACATCGCTCTCGCAATCTATGTCTTTGGATCTATATTTGTTCATCAGTGTATGTTGCTCCCAACCGCTCCCCCGCCTGCCCGAATAATTGGCCCTAAACACTTTTGCCTACCAGGCTGAACACCCCCAAAATAATCCCCTGGCAACCTGGGACTCCCAAAAGCCCCCCCCCTGCCAGTCTGGGAACCGCCAACTGCCCCTCCCCCCCCTTGCAGCCGGGGTGCCCCCAA